GACCCGAGGGACAAGGGGACGAGCAGCACGGAGGTAGTCAGAGAACGGAGGAGGTGCAACAGCAAGGGACGAGGGAGGAGGGGACGGGAGGAGGGGAGGACGAGACGAGTGGGAACGGAGCAACATAGGGTGGGTGGGCAGGACAGGAGAGACGGGACGAGCACGGGAGGGACGGCGAGCCCAAACGTGAGACGGAGGGGTAGGGTCAGGGGACAGCGGAGGAGACACAGGAGGGGAACGAGGAGGAAGACGGGCCGGAGACGAGTCTGGCGGCGGGAACACAGGACCGTAGACAGGGAGGTCAGGAGGCGGTGGGGGAGACACCGGCGCGCGGTCCGGGGAGGGAAGGCCGAGCAGGCGGAGAGCGGAAACCGGCGGCGACGGCTGCTGCGGCGGCGACGACGGCTGGGCCGGAACTCTCGGACCAGCAGAGGCAGAACGACCGTCGGCAGAACACTCAACAGCAGCACCCCCAGAACCAACACCCCCAGAGCGAGAACCCCCTCCAACACCAGCGGCACCCCCAGAAGCCGCAGGACGAACACCCTCCTCCACACCAGCACCCCCAGGGGCCGAGAGCAGCGGCGGCAGTGGCGGCAACGGCTGCGGCGGCGGCGACAGCGGCGACGGCTGCGGCAGCGACAGCGGCGGCGGCGGCGACGAAAGCGGCGACGGCTGCGGCGGCGACGGCGACGGCGGCGGCAGCGGGGTCGGCGACTGCGACAGTGGGGGCGGAGGCACCGGGGAAGGGGGACGCGGCAAGGACGGACCGGGGGTACCACCAGAGTCAGCAGACTCCTCAACGGGGACAACCGACGGGAGGGGAGTGACGTGGGAGACACCAGACGGGGCAGGACGAGGCGGGAGAGGGGCAGGGGCTACCGGGGGAGAGGGAGCAAGGAAAAGGGGGGGGCAACTGGGAGACCTCGGTGAGGGAAGCGGCGGTAGAAGGAGACGGACTCATCAAAGGTGACGTCACGAGAGTGGAGGAAGCGGTGAGACGGCGGGTGGTAGAAAAGCCAGTCAGACGAGTCCAGGGGGAAACCGAGGAAGACACAGGGGACAGTACGGGCAGTGAGCTTGTCCGTGCCAGAGGCACGAACGTGAGCAAGGCAGCCCCAGACGTGGAACGCAGACGCGTCACCGGGGGACCCAGTCCAAAGGAGGGTCGGCGAAACCTGCGGCCGCTGGGAGCGTGGCCACAGGTTAAGCTGGTGAGCCGCGTAGCGAACAGCGAACGGCCACAGAAAATGGGGGGCATCGGCATGGATCATGGAGGTACGGGCGACCTCCATGACCAAGCCGATGCGGCGCTCAGCAACCCCATTCTGCTGTGGCGAGTCCGGCAACGTGTACGACTGGGTGATGCCCTCCGCACGACAGAACTGTCCAAGCCGACCAGAGGCGAACTCGCCGCCACGGTCGGAGTGGAGACACAACACGGGGAGACCGCGGTGGAGACGCGCAGCCACAACCCACGGGAGAAGAACGTCGGGCACGTCGGCCTTCCGCTCCAGGGGAAACACCGTGGTGTAGCGCGTGTAGTCGTCGACAAGCACAAGGAAGTAGCGCTCACCGCGCGGTCCGGGGACGGGGGCAGGGCCCCAAACGTCCAAGTGCAGGGTCTGAAGGGGGGCAGTAGCAGGACGCAGCGAGGAGGAGTGAGGAGCACGGCGGAGCCGACCCTCGACGCAAGGCGTGCACGGTGGCGCAGTCGAGGGAGGAAGGGCAGGGAGCGACGCGGGGAGACCTAAGACAAGACCGTGCTGGGACATGTGACGCAGACGCGGGAGAGCAGGGTGACCTAAGCGGTGGTGCCAGAGAAGGGAGGGGTGAGTGAGGGACCGACACGAGCAAGCTGCAGCGACCTGGGAGGACGCACCAACCGGGGGGGAAGCGGTGTGTAGGGTAAACAGACCGGACACCGGGTCCCGGGGGAACGTCGCAAGGGGGGAACCTGAGACAGCCTCAGAACAGACAGCGAACCGCTCGTGCCCGGGGAACGTGGTGGTGACGCCGAGGTCCTGGAGACAGCCGACACCAACCAGGTTCCTGGAGAACGAGGGAACGTGGAGGCCAGTAAGGGAGCCCGAGGGAACTGCCGGACAGGGAAGGGACGTAGAACTGCGCGCGACGACCGGACCCGCAGAGGGGTCAGCGAGAGAGACAACAGCAGGTGCAGCAAGCGGCGTGAGCGTGGAACGGTCGCGGAAGAAGCAGGCAGAAGCACCAGAGTCGAGAGTGAAGGACAGCGACGCAGTGGCGGGGGCCGGGGACGGAGCCGGTGCAGCGACTAGACTAGGCAACCTAGGCAGTCCTACGCCTGTCGCAGCAGGGGAAGCTAAGCTACACAAGGGTGAAACACCTAAACTAGAGTACACAGGGTAGTAAGATCCATCAACACTAGAAGCGTCAGCATACAAAGCATGCAAAGCAGCACCTATCTGATCCATGTCTAACTCAAAGATCGGCACGCCCTGGCGGAGCAGGCTGTGCCAGTCAGGGAGGTCCGGGGCCGGGCCAAAGCGACGACGAAAAAGATCGTCGAGGCGGCGGAAACAGCGGGCGGTCGGGTGCGGGCGGCGGCACAGAGTGCCGCGGAGAGGCCCGGTCTGAAGCTGGTACTGGCAGGTCACAGCACTGGAGCCGCTGGTAAACGCCAAGCTGCGCGGGCCGCCACCACGGCCACCGCCTCCGGAGGTGCCGGGCCAACCAGGCGGGAGACGAGCCCACGGCTGCGGCTGGGGCTGGTCCTGCTGCTGCTGGGACTGCTGCTCCTGCCCACCGGTGGTAGTCCCCTCAGGCGGACTACCGTCACCACCACCACGACCACTACCACATGCGTCACCACCCCTACCTCCCTGGCGGCCACGGCCACCGCGACGCGAGCGCTGCTGCGGGTGGACAGCAGCAGCCGTCTCGGTAAGAGGGGTCGCCGTGGCGACCGCAGCCGAAACGTCAGTGAACGTGCACGGGGATGGGGCACAGCCGTGAAAGATAGAGACTGGCGGCGCACCGCTCGACTGAGCGATAGTGCGCTGGCGAGTCTCGATCTCAGTGAGGGTGTCGACAAAGGCGGTCAGGGTGAGGTCACCCGGGTGCTGGCTAAGAAAGTGGTCGCGAGCACTAGCGAGGCGGTCTGGCAGGCGCATAGCGATAAAATAGAGCGTCATGCAGAAAGGAGGGGGGAGCGCAGTGAGCTGGGCAGCAGTGCTGGCAGTGCGATAGCGAGTCTCTAGGGCACGCAAATGAGTGGCAAAATCTGCGACAGTAGGGAAGGCAGCCAGGTCTGGGAACAGCATCGGAAAGAGCAAGCGGCCAGCAGAAGCGGAGGCAGGGGTGGAATAGCGAGCAATAACGGCGTCTAAATAAGCTTTGGCCGTTTCAACAGTAGCAAAACGCGAGCGCTCAGACACAGGGAGGGCGTGACTAATAGCAACCTGAGCTACTGCATCGCGTGAGTCCCAGATCGCACAGGCCAGCGCAGCAGTAGAGAAAGCCTCACGGTCATCAGAGGAGGGGTCAGCAGGGAGGGGAGTAGGTGCAGGGGGACGGGGGAGCAAGCCATCAGCATGGACAACCAGAGAGTGGCCATCCTGGCGCTGACCTGTAAGCTGGCGGCGAAGATCGGAGAGCCAGGCGGCGAAGTCAACCGCGTGGCCCTCAGCGTCCAGGCGGAGCACAAAGTCAGCCATCGTGCAGGGTCAGCGGCACAGCTCCTCAGCGACACAGCGGCACAGCAGCACAGCTCCTCAGCGGCACAAGAGCACAGCGGCGCGGGGACACGGCGGCAGCACTCTCCAGTAGGGCAGCAGCTAGGCGTCCCAGCGCAGGCAAGCAGAAGACACAGGGCCCGAGAGGACACGGCAGGCCGAGCAGGGGAGGCGGGCAGGTGCTCTGGGGCCGGGCTGGTGCTGGGAGGGGCCAGGCTGGTGCTGCTGGGGCCGGTCGGGCACGAGGAGGGGCCGGGCAGCGCTGAGGAGAGGCCGGGCGGCGCTAGGAAGGGGCCGGGCGGCACTAGGAGGAGGCCGGGCGGCACTAGGAGGAGGCCGAGCGGCACTAGGAGGAGGCCAGGCGGGCGAGCGCTAACAGCAGGCGCGACAGGGGCCAGCGGGCGCGACGGGGCCTAAGGGGCGCGACGGGGCCCAGCGGGCACGACGGGGCCCAGGGGGGGCGCGACGGGGCCGAGGAGGCGCGACGGGGACCAGCGGGCACGACGGGGCCCAGGGGGGCCGCGACGGGGCCTAACGGGCGCGACGGGGCCCAGGGGGGGCGCGACGGGGCCTAGCAGGCGCGACGGGGCCTAGGAAGCGCGAAGGGGCCCAGCGGGCGCGACGGGGCCTAGGAGGGGCGCGACGGGGCCGAACGGGCGCGACGGGGCCCAGAGGGGGGGGACGCGACGGGGCTTAGGAGGCGCGACGATGCCTAGGAGGCACGACGGGGCTCAGCGGGCTCGACGGGGCCCATGGGGGGCGCGACGGGGCCTAGGAGGCGCAACGGGGCCCAGCGGGGGCGCGTTAGGGCCTAGGGGTCGCGACGGGACCCAGCGGGCGCGACGGGGCCTAGGGGGAGCGCGACGGGGCCAAGGAGGCGCGACGGGGCCCAGCGGGCACGACGGGGCCCAGGGGGGGCGCGACGGGGCCTAACGAGCGCGACGGGGCCCAGGGGGGGCGCGACGGGGCCTAGGGGGCGCGACGGGGCCTAGGAGGCGCGACGGGCGGAAGCGGTAGGCGGGGGGATCCTAACCTAAGCGTGATACCATGTTAACGTAGAAACGAATGATTACTAGAGGTGGAAACCTAGAACAAATACTAGTTGGTTGTACTCACTAGAAGCATACCTCAGTCTAGCCTATAACTTCTACATAGATAATATGTATAAGTTGACACTAAGGGGGGAGGGTAGGTCCTAGAGGGGAAGCGTGAGTGGGCGGGGACCTACCTACTGCTGATACCATCTTAGAACGGAATGAATGATTGATAGAGAGAGAGTACAGGTGGATATATCTAAGTGTTGTACCCTCTAAAAGGTGACCCTATACAGTCTATGCAAACATAAGAGATACACATGTTTGACAAGTACGTGCGCACAGAAGAAAGAAGTATTAACAAGAGGACGACTGAAAATCCTACTTTTGATAAAGTATAAGGTACGTGCGCACAGAAAGTCTCACTAAGTGTTTTTGCTGGTTCCGTTGTATTCACTTAATCAGCACATACACCAATATATTTATATAAGAATGACACGACACACCAGTAGTAGCGGCTCATGTTAGCGGAGGCGGGTAGCACGCACGTTCTTGCTCGCTCGGCTAGCACGACTCGCCTGACTAGCTTGACTTGCACAACTCGCCCGGCTAGCTCGGCTTGCCTGGCTTGCACCACACCCACCACCTCCTCCTCCTCCGCCACCTCCACTTCCACCGCCACCGCCTCCTCCGCCTCCTCCGCCTCCTCCGCCTCCTCCGCCTCCTCCGCCTCCTCGGCCTTCTCGGCCTCCACCACCCCCACCAACCCCCGCCGCCGTCTCCTCCACCATCTCCACCTCCACCCCCTGCTGGTGTGCTGGCTGCTACTACAGGTACAGGGGGAGGGGGAGGGGGGCTTGGTCCCCCTCCAGGATGAAGCAACGAATCCACCTTGGTCCACCTTGTCCACCACCACCACCACCACCACCACCACCACCACCACCACCACCACCACCACCACCACCACCACCACCACCACCACCACCACCACCACCACCACCACCACCACCACCACCACCACCACCACCACCACCACCACCACCACCACCACCACCACCACCACCACCACCACCACCACCACCACCACCACCACCACCACCACCACCACCACCACCACCACCACCACCACCACCACCACCACCACCACCGCCACCACCACCACCAAAACCAGCGCCGCTGCCGCCACTGAAACCAGCGCCGCTGCCGCCAAGACCGCTGCTGCCAACACCGCTGTCACCAACACCGCTGCCGCTGCCAGCAGTTTGTAGAGATGGAGGAGCTTCCAGCAAGGGCCCCACCACCGTGCCATCGCTCAGCCTGCGATGCTTGAACGCGATTAGTTTTGAGGCGCCTCAAAATAGAAGTATAGTTTTGAGGCGCCTCATAACGAGAGATGCATCACCCACGGCCTCCCTTACAGCTCCAGATGCGGTGGCTTCGTCTGGAGTCCCATGGGATCCCAGTGGCTTGTCACGAGATGCCGCAGCCCCAAGCGTTCCTGCTCAGCTCTCACAGGAAGGTGGAAGGAGAGAGAAATAGGGAGAGAGAGAAGGGAGAGGGAGAGAGAGAGAGAGAGAGAGAGAGAGAGAGAGAGAGAGAGAGAGAGAGAGAGAGAGAGAGAGAGAGGGAGAGAGGGAGAGAGGGAGAGAGAAGGGAGAGAGAGAGACAGGGAAGGAGATAGAGAGGGGGAGGGAGAGAGCAAGACACGAAACAGAGAGTGAGGAATCACTCTTCACTTGAAGCGTTGATATGTTTGGTGGCGTGCTGTGTGTCTTCACTTGTGTGTATACTCCACCTCAACGTGGTCAAGCGCAAGACAGACAAGGGCTGCATGTTGACAAGTGTCACTCCGAATACAGATTTATCCGACGCCATTTACCTGAAAGAATCAGCACCAAAAGGCTGCTGGGAACGGCCCAAGGATCGACGCCATCTTAGCATACAAGCTTTAGAGGAACTTCTCGATACAGGAACTCCTTGATACAGGAACTCCTTGATACAGGAACTCCTTGAGACAGGAAACTCAGACAATAGGAAACTGCGACCTGCTAATTTCAAGGTCCGAGCCTCTATTTGTACTTGAGAGACACAGCGAGTGAGAAGCCAAGACCAGGACTCTGCTGGGGGACCTGCTTGGCGTCTGTCACGTCTACCAGTGCGGACGATCGTCGAAGGTCTGTTCCCAGACGTGATGCGACATGTTTTGGGGCGCCTCAAAAAGAGACATGTCGAGTCTTCCATAAAACCGCCGCCGGCAAGGGCTCTATCACTGTGGTCTGTCGCGTGTCCCATCACGCTTTCCGTTGAAAAGTGGTATTCGAGTCAACTCAAGAATCTCGCTCATGTCGGACTCGCCGCTACTTGAGAGAATCTATTATTGAGCCAACGAAACGCTCTAGCACCCACGGAGCATGTCGCATGCGTCGCATGTGTCGCATGTGCCGCGTGTGTCGCATGTGTTGCATCGCTTCTTCGTGAAGCTGCGCGAGCAGTACTCGGATTCGAGAATCCCGCTCAGCAGACGCGATCAGCTGGCGCATCATGCGGATCGCTGCTACTAGCTCAACGGAACCAGGCAGGGTAGTCAAATCTTCCCGTCCGCGAACTGGCTGCTGCTGACAGCACTCAATTTCCTCGATTGCAGTCCTCTACGCTTCGCATAGCGTCAAACCATATTGAAATTATTACATTACTACCCAAACCTCATTACTGTCAAACTTCATAGAAGCTCTATACTACACATTCTACTAGCATCCAATAAAGAGACCTAGGGGCAAGTTGGCCCCTACAACGAGGGAATGCATTCCGAAGTTGAAACCTGCAGCTGTGTCATTCAAGGTAGGAAGCTACAAGTAACACGACAAGTGTATCTGCGACTTTTAGGAAAAAGCTGATAGCCAAATCAGTTAGGAGAAAAGGGCTGCCAAAAGCTCCATGGCCTGCCAATTTCGAAACACCACCAACAGGCACAAAACAAATAGCAGCCATCCCATCCCACCTCACAAATCCCAGTAATTCCAACCAACAATCAACCAGAAGGACAACACAAGCAAACCAGCAGCCATCAGTCAGCACAGGAAATGTTAAAGCAGGAAACAAGGCAGCAATAAACCATTTTAGCTCACAAAAAAACAACGAATTATGATTCAGACAGATGTATGCTCACCTTTGGGTGTAGGGTGGGTGGGCCCGATCGCAGCACATTCCTCAAATACCGCATGCCTCCGCTGTTCCGGATATTACTCCTGTGCGTCGGGCTGTGCTTCGCCAGCTGCAGCAGCGCCTCCACCGCGTCCCTCACCGCCGCAGGGTACTCCAGCCGTAACACGGTTACCAGCGACGGAATCGCCTCGCCCATCGCCTCCCTCCCGTCCGGGACAGTCGCGAGACGCGAGAGCGATTGGCACGTCGCGACAACCGTCTCGTTGTTCAAGTTCGCTTGCAACGTCACTGCCAGGGCTGGAATCACACCCTCCCCTACCAGCTTGCTTCGCTGGGATTCGCTCTGAGCGAGACACGCAACAGCCTCCGCTGCCGCCTGCCGGGATGGAGTATCATAGCCTGGATGCATGCCTTCGTTGTTTGACCCTGTGAGCTGTTTCACCAGCGGGGGGACCGCCCCTGCGTCGATCACCAGCCCCCGAGCGCGTTCCGAAAAGGATGCCGCACATTTCATGACATTGGCTGCGGAGGAGCCCGCCGCGGGGGAGAAATCCGCGCGCTTGAGCGCCTGAATCAGTAGAGGGAGGTGCGTCAGCAGCTCCTGCTTCCCCATCTCGTCGCACGACAGGTTCAGCAGAGCAGCAAGCGCGGATTCCGCTCCCTTAGGGTCCCTCGGGCCCCCAACGGCCAGCGGCAGGAGGGCATCCACAGCCCCCGCCTCCCGGAAAGTCGACCGGTTGGCAGCTGAGATTGACGCGTACCACCCGACGAGCCCTGCCGCCCGGCCCTTCTCCTCCGCCGACCCAAACAGCAGATTCTGCACAATCTGCTGGGGCGCCTCGGGGTCATATGCCGCCAGGTCAGCTTCCGGATCGGCGCACTCGGCCGCCCCGCCACCCATCCCGCCGCCCTCCCCACCATACTCCCCCCCCATATCCCCGTTCCCCCCCGGTCTATCCACGCTGCTAGTCCGGCCCGTCTTGCCTGCGCGGCTGCGGGACCCCCCACTCACGCTACTAGCAGAGCTCCCCCCGCTGCTGGTCTTCCCCATCTTATCCTTCTCCCGCCCACTAGAACTACCAGTGCGAGCCCTGGTAGCATCATCCATGTACTCCATATCCTCCCCAGCCTTCCTCCCGCCCATATCAAACGGTGACTTGGACCGAGCGTCCGTCCCCGCCCCCCCAGTGCTCTTAGACCCAGGCATGGTGCCAGCGCCGGTGCCTGCAGGGTCGTCCTTGCCCCCCCGGTCTCTGCGCTCGGTGCTCCTCCTGTGCTCTCGCTCTCCCCGGACTGCCCTGTTCCTGTCCTTGTGCCTCTCATCCTCCGTCCTCCCACCTCCATCCCCCTCCCCGTCCCTAAACCTCGAATGCTGCTGCTGCTGCTGCTGCTGCTGCGGCTGCTGCTGCTGGTCGTACCTCTCATGCCTGTCATGCCCGCCCTCACCCCCAGCCGCCCCCTCCGCACCTGACCGCCTGCTTCGGCGCTCCCGACCCGCGCTGCCGCTCCCGCCGCTGCCAGTCAGCGACAGCCCTGCAGCATCCCCCGTCATGTCATCTACAGCGTTGGCTAGCAGCATCATGCGGCGGCGGGTGGGGCTGAGGAGCTCCTTGGGGGACTTGGGGACAGACGAGGTGCCCGAGAGCCCGCTGCTGCCGCGCTGCCCAGCGCCGGAGCTGGCTGCAGCTGCTGCAGCTGCTGCAGATGCTCGCTCGCGGGCCAGCTTGGCCTGAGACTCCTTGAACGCGGGGAGCTCGCGCTCCATGCGCATCAGAATGGTGATCAGCTGAAGGGGATTATGGGAGGGGAAGGAGGGGGGGGAAGAGGGAGTGGGGGAAGTCAGAGCGAAAGAGTGAGTGAACTAGCAGCATCATGCAGCGGCGCGTGGGGCTGAGGAGCTCCTTGGGGGACTTGGGGATGGACGAGGTGCCTGAGAGCCCACTGCTGCCCGGAGTTACAGTGCCTGCGCTGGCTGCTGCTGCTGCGGATGCTCGCTCCCAGCCGAGCTTGGCCTGGGAGTCCTTGAACGCGGGGAGGTCGCGTTCCATGCGCATCGGAATGGTGATCAGCAGACAGAAGGAAAGCAGGGATAAGAGAAAGCAGGGAGAGATTTAGAAGGTGACGGCCCGCTGCTGCCCTGCCATGAGCTTGGCCTGGGACTCTTTGAAGGCGGGGAGCTTACTCTCCATGCGCATCACAATCGTGATCAGCTGCAAGAGGGAGACGGGGATTGGAATGAAGCGGACAACGAATGATTGTGATGCGCTTCATTCTTTGTCCGCTTATGAAGCCGACACAGAATGAGAACGCGAGAGGTCGCTGCCGCCCCGCCGCCGTGCGCCTGAGCTGGCAGCAGCTGCTGCTGCAGCTTCCTCCCTCTCCCCTTCCTTCTCCCCTTCCTTCTCCCCTTCCTTCTCCCCTTCCTTCTCCCCCTCCTTCCCCCCTCCTTCCCCTTTTCCCCCCCATTTCCCTTCTCGCACCTCATCCATGAGCGCCTCCTGCGCCTTGTTTCTGCTCTCTGCGGCGTTGCGCTTCTCCAGCGCCACCACCCAGCCCAACTCCCCCTTTTCCCCCCATCTTCCCCCCCTCCCCCGCCCTCTCCGCTGACCTGATTCATGAACGCCTCCTGCGCCTTGTCCCTTGCGCCAGCGCCAATCCCACCCCAACTCCTCCTTTCTTCCAATCCTTCCCCACCATTTCCCCCATTCCCCACCAATTCCTCCCCTCATTCCCCCCCCCCACTGACCTGATCCATGAGCGCTTCCTGCGCCTTGTCTCTGCTCTCCGCGGCCTTGCGCTTCTCCAGCGCGAGCGCCTCCTGCTCCTTGCGGAACGCGCCCGTGCCGTCCATGCCCAGCGCTTCCGCCAGCTGCCCCGCAGGGAACTGGCTCTGCGTGTACGGCGTGCCCAGGCTGCTGCTGCGCCGCACGCCCGCGCCTCCGCTTCCTCCGCCGTCCTGCTGCAGCGCCTGCAGCTGCTGCTTCATCTCGGGCGTGAAAAGGTCCTCGAAACACCCGTCGTGCACCTGCTTGAGCGTCGCCTGGAGCTGGAGAAGGGAAGGAGAGGGGGAAGGGAAGCGCGTGGGAGGGGAGTGCGGAAAGGATGGATGAAAAGGTTTGGGGACGGAGGATGCGGGAAGGCCCCCCCGCGCCCCCGCCGCCTCCGCCGTCCTGCTGCAGCGCCTGCAGCTGCTGCTTCATCTCGGGGGTAGAGAGATCCTCGAAGCACCCGTCTTGCACCTGCTTGAGCGTCGCCTGGAGCTGCAGAAGGGAACGAGAAGGGGACGGAGGGAAGAGAATGAGGGCGGGGAGTGCACGCGATCTGCACCGGCTTGAGCGTCGCCTGGAGCTAACGGGAGGGAAAGGGAGAAACAACCGGGGAGTTTGGAGCGGGGGGAGGGAGGAGAGGGGAGACGGGAAGGACATGCGTCTGCAGCTGCTGCTTCATGTCCGGTGCGAATGCGTCTTCGATTCACGCGTCGTGCACCTGCTTGAGCGTGGATTGGAGCTGCAGAAGGAAAGGAGGGGGCGAGAGAGATAACGAAGAGGAAGGGAGGAGTGAAGGAGAGGGGGAGGGGGGTTGGCGTGGGGGGGGAGGGCGACGGGGAGGGGGGTAAGGGGAACGGAAGCGGGATAAAAGGAGAAGTAGGAACACAGGGAGATAGTTGAACACAGGAAGGCATCAGTCCGGCCTTCTCGGTCCTCCTCTCCTCCTTCATCGGCGCCCAGTTATCCCAGCGAGCTGAGAGTCCGTCTGTTTGTAAACGGCGGAGTTAGACAATGCAGACCGGCCTTACCAATACGTGGCACGCATACAGGAAGGGAACACGAAATATGCGAAACGGCTTAGCCAACGCCCTGATGCGTTCACGAAGGTGAACCCGAGGGGAGTGACGGAAAGCTGATACTATGTGAAGGTCGCAAGTTCAGTTCCTTGACATACAAGCGTGGGACCGACAATGTGACCGACAATGTGACAGACAATATGTCTAAGCGCACAGCCATCAACCGCTAAGACAAGCTTTGCAACTTTAGCATCGTACGAACGAACGACGAGCAGATGGGCTTGCTGGGGAAGTAACTTCTAGGAAAAACGTTTAGGTACCAAACTTTCGTGACTTCTAAGGAGCATTGAAGATAAGTTTCTTAGCGCCCTTTACGTATCTACCGTTCCGGATCATCCGGAATACTTTCTGAGCCCACTCAAAGAGCGTCGAGAAGACTCAGAAGACCAGGCCCTCCAGCTAACCCGCCTGGCCCTCCTGCTAAGGTTACAGAAATTTCTCTGACTTCCTCAACAAAGAACAGGCGGGTTTCAACTGCATACCGAAGTGACGCGTGTAGGGTAACCAGGTACCGTAACATCGTATTGCGTACCTGTGCTGCCAGCTCATCAGGCATGGCTTCTGTGGGAATCGCGAGCAGGCAGGCCTCCAGCTCAGCATGCATGCTCACGAAATCGTCGAGCTTTATCGTTGTGTCCGACACTAGCTGAACACGTGGAAGAACAATTTTAGGGGGAAAACACGGGAATTTTAGGGGAAAAAAAAGGCACATTGAATAGTGGAGAGCCGCCAGGAGCACTTAGCGAGCATTGCATGCCTGAGTGCTTCGATCTTAATAGTCTCGACATGGAGGCGCTTAAAAATGAGGCAGGGAAAACGACGGAGGCGGAGGCAGGCAGTGAAATTTTGGACAAACGAGAGCAAAACGGGAGTCAGATTTGGGAAGCCTCGGATCCAATCGCATGTCCAATGTTCACTCATAGCCAAGTTCAACCGGAACCGAGACAGGAAACAACCTGGCAAAGTTCAACCATAGTTAATTTTGCACCGAACAAACTAATCTGCAGATGAGACCTAAAAAGTGAAGACCTGGGAAGTTGGAACCTAACCAGCCATTTTTTATGCAAGGAAGCGATCAGGTAAATGCAGTTTTAAAAAAGCTAGGGCTGCAGGAAGCGTCGAACCTGCATGAGCTTGCTCCGCGCGCTGATGCAGCGCTGCAGCAGCCCTGTGCACTTCCTCAGGAGATCCTCCAGCTTCTGAAACGCCTTCTTCGCCGCGTCCGTCGTCGCTCCCCAGTTCTTAAACTTCTTGCAGTTCTCCAGGAGCGAGTGGATGCTCGCGACGGAGTCTAGAACCATGCTGAAGTTCTTAGAGTACGCACATGTGGACATGTTTTCCTTGAGCTGCAACGCGAACTGCGTTAGAGTCATGCAGCTCGCTATAAGGAGGGTTAACACCATGTCCATCATCTTGGCGAATTTTTGTGAAGGTCCGAAATAAGGAATAAGAGGAGGATACAGAAATAGGGTTAAGGATGTTAAACCCTCCGATCAGCTACTGGCTTGAGTTTCCAGCTACCTGATGCCTGGTAACTTGGAATGAGGAGAATATAAAGACGATTCGGAACTAATCGGAGGGATACCTGTTTTCTTCGGATGGACAACAATCGGAAGTGTCTATAAATTCCAGGCACTCGTCAAGCTCAATGTCTGAACAATCTGCTGACAGAATAAAGACATTGCAGGGAAGAATGACAATCTCTATCTCTGATCTCCCTCCCCCCTGACACCCCTCTCCCGCCAATCTCCAGTCTCGCTTTCTCCCCCCGCCGTGCATCCAGTTGGGTTGAGCTGATGGACCCTGGGAACTCCTCAAACCAATCCCTTGAACTCATCGAGATTGGTTGGATGGAACTTTTTTTTTTAAGCCCAGGTCCCAGTGGAGCATTTCGGGAACTGGCTATAAGGTCCTTTTCTAACCAAAATTCGGACCAGGTACCTTGGTAAAGCATTACTGGATGATACCATAGGAAATCGAGATGCAAGAGTGTCCAGCCCTGATTGGAATAAGTTTCGAGATGAGCACTTCTCCGTGAATCACCAGCAGCCCTTCCTTCCAACCACCATGTTCCAATCGTCCCAGCTACAGTGATCTTGAACTTCTGCCCGACCACCGAACTGAACATTGATCAGGGGACTTCGACAGTGACCTCTCTTTCGTTTTCGGCTTCCGGTGTAGCTCGGCGTGTTGGAGCTTACTACAGTTTCTGTAGTTTGCAGCTATTTCAAGTACGGTACAATTTTCAAAAATTCCACTCGGGAAGCACCCTCATCCCTCTGTCACAGCAACCTGATCCGGACACGGGAAAATAAGTTTCGCGCTTCGCACGTCCGCTAGCCGTCAGGAAACTTTCACGACAGGTTATCTGTACCTGTCGCCGTCTATCAAAGAGGTGGTGAGACCCATTGTTGCTGGCTTGCTCTGTTGCTTGCGCCATCCGCGCTTGTGGCCTACGCGTCCAACTACAAGAATACAGAACAATCAAAACCAATTTGAGATAACCAACCTTCAAGGAAAATGCAGCAGCTTACACATCTTCTCAACAAAAAGAGGTGGACGGACATGAATCAAGCCCCGGGCCTGCTTGAAACCTCTACAGGAAATGGAGCATCATTCAGGACCAAGAAATCAGCATTTCCCTCTGCCAGTAGCCATGGCAACAAGGCATCTCGATTCACAACCAATCGCCCTCTGTTCCATGGAGCTGGAGCAAAGGGGAGTTGCAGTGATTGGACGGCTTGCATCATAGCTTTATTAACCGGTGCTGCATCAGCTTCCTCCTTGTTAGGACTCTCGTCTCCCCACCTGAAGCATAAGGATGGTTGGGCAATTATAGGAGCATGCAATAATGAACCAGGATATACCCTCCAAAAGAGAAGTCGGTTTTGGAAACAGCTAAGGCTGAGTTGTGGAAAATATGTGACAGTAACATTTCAGAGTCTGAAATAGAGTACTTCACCAATTCTCACCTTGTGACTATACTGAAGAGGGGAGGGAGGTCTGCTGGTTCCAGCACAGCCGTTTCATGCACTTGAGAGAGCCAGTGATGCAAGAACACAGATGCCGCCCCTTGCGACATGCTGCAGGAGGGTTTGTAATGCATACAGAACTTTAAGCCAAGCCAGAATCAAGGATTTTGAAAAGGATGGAAGAGGTGAGGCTGTGGGAGGATGGAAGGTGGAGGGGGGGGGGGGGGGGGAGAGAAAAGGAAAAGTGGCTGGGGGTTTCGTCCGAAAGGTCCAGTTCCAGTTCCACAATGTAGGAGAGAAAGGAGAGATAGGAGAGATAGGAGAGATAGGAGATTCTGAATGGAGGACGAGGCCAGTTCTCGATCGACCAAGATCCACAAGGTCGGAGTCTGAGCAGAACTGTGTGTAATGAGTCGATGTTTTAGTCGACTCATTCCACAAGGTCGGAGTCTGAGCAGAACTGTGTGTAATGAGTCGATGTTTTAGTCGACTCATTCCACAAGGTCGGAGTCTGAGCAGAACTGTGTGTAATGAGTCGATGTTTTAGTCGACTCATTACACAAGGTCGGAGTCTGAGCAGAACTGTGTGTAATGAGTCGATGTTTTAGTCGACTCATTACACAAGGTCGGAGTCTGAGCAGAACTGTGTGTAATGAGTCGATGTTTTAGTCGACTCATTCCACAAGGTCGGAGTCTGAGCAGAACTGTGTGTAATGAGTCGATGTTTTAGTCGACTCATTCCACAAGGTCGGAGTCTGAGCAGAACTGTGTGTAATGAGTCGATGTTTTAGTCGACTCATTCCACAAGGTCGGAGTCTGAGCAGAACTGTGTGTAATGAGTCGATGTTTTAGTCGACTCATTCCACAAGGTCGGAGTCTGAGCAGAACTGTGTGTAATGAGTCGATGTTTTAGTCGACTCATTACACAAGGTCGGAGTCTGAGCAGAACTGTGTGTAATGAGTCGATGTTTTAGTCGACTCATTCCACAAGGTCGGAGTCTGAGCAGAACTGTGTGTAATGAGTCGATGTTTTAGTCGACTCATTACACAAGGTCGGAGTCTGAGCAGAACTGTGTGTAATGAGTCGATGTTTTAGTCGACTCATTCCACAAGGTCGGAGTCTGAGCAGAACTGTGTGTAATGAGTCGATGTTTTAGTCGACTCATTCCACAAGGTGGGAGTCTGAGCAGAACTGTGTGTAATGAGTCGATGTTTTAGTCGACTCATTCCACAAGGTCGGAGTCTGAGCAGAACTGTGTGTAATGAGTCGATGTTTTAGTCGACTCATTCCACAAGGTCGGAGTCTGAGCAGAACTGTGTGTAATGAGTCGATGTTTTAGTCGACTCATTCCACAAGGTCGGAGTCTGAGCAGAACTGTGTGTAATGAGTCGATGTTTTAGTCGACTCATTCCACAAGGTCGGAGTCTGAGCAGAACTGTGTGTAATGAGTCGATGTTTTAGTCGACTCATTCCACAAGGTCGGAGTCTGAGCAGAACTGTGTGTAATGAGTCGATGTTTTAGTCGACTCATTCCACAAGGTCGGAGTCTGAGCAGAACTGTGTGTAATGAGTCGATGTTTTAGTCGACTCATTCCACAAGGTCGGAGTCTGAGCAGAACTGTGTGTAATGAGTCGATGTTTTAGTCGACTCATTACACAAGGTCGGAGTCTGAGCAGAACTGTGTGTAATGAGTCGATGTTTTAGTCGACTCATTACACAAGGTCGGAGTCTGAGCAGAACTGTGTGTAATGAGTCGATGTTTTAGTCGACTCATTCCACAAGGTCGGAGTCTGAGCAGAACTGTGTGTAATGAGTCGATGTTTTAGTCGACTCATTACACAAGGTCGGAGTCTGAGCAGAACTGTGTGTAATGAGTCGATGTTTTAGTCGACTCATTCCACAAGGTCGGAGTCTGAGCAGAACTGTGTGTAATGAGTCGATGTTTTAGTCGACTCATTACACAAGGTCGGAGTCTGAGCAGAACTGTGTGTAATGAGTCGATGTTTTAGTCGACTCATTCCACAAGGTCGGAGTCTGAGCAGAACTGTGTGTAATGAGTCGATGTTTTAGTCGACTCATTCCACAAGGTCGGAGTCTGAGCAGAACTGTGTGTAATGAGTCGATGTTTTAGTCGACTCATTACACAAGGTCGGAGTCTGAGCAGAACTGTGTGTAATGAGTCGATGTTTTAGTCGACTCATTACACAAGGTCGGGAGTCTGAGCAGAACTGTGTGTAATGAGTCGATGTTTTAGTCGACTCATTCCACAAGGTCGGAGTCTGAGCAGAACTGTGTGTAATGAGTCGATGTTTTAGTCGACTCATTCCACAAGGTCGGAGTCTGAGCAGAACTGTGTGTAATGAGTCGATGTTTTAGTCGACTCATTCCACAAGGTCGGAGTCTGAGCAGAACTGTGTGTAATGAGTCGATGTTTTAGTCGACTCATTACACAAGGTCGGAGTCTGAGCAGAACTGTGTGTAATGAGTCGATGTTTTAGTCGACTCATTCCACAAGGTCGGAGTCTGAGCAGAACTGTGTGTAATGAGTCGATGTTTTAGTCGACTCATTCACAAGGTCGGAGTCTGAGCAGAACTGTGTGTAATGAGTCGATGTTTTAGTCGACTCATTCCACAAGGTCGGAGTCTGAGCAGAACTGTGTGTAATGAGTCGATGTTTTAGTCGACTCATTACACAAGGTCGGAGTCTGAGCAGAACTGTGTGTAATGAGTCGATGTTTTAGTCGACTCATTCCACAAGGTCGGAGTCTGAGCAGAACTGTGTGTAATGAGTCGATGTTTTAGTCGACTCATTACACAAGGTCGGAGTCTGAGCAGAACTGTGTGTAATGAGTCGATGTTTTAGTCGACTCATTCCACAAGGTCGGAGTCTGAGCAGAACTGTGTGTAATGAGTCGATGTTTTAGTCGACTCATTACACAAGGTCGGAGTCTGAGCAGAACTGTGTGTAATGAGTCGATGTTTTAGTCGACTCATTACACAAGGTCGGAGTCTGAGCAGAACTGTGTGTAATGAGTCGATGTTTTAGTCGACTCATTCCACAAGGTCGGAGTCTGAGCAGAACTGTGTGTAATGAGTCGATGTTTTAGTCGACTCATTCCACAAGGTCGGAGTCTGAGCAGAACTGTGTGTAATGAGTCGATGTTTTAGTCGACTCATTACACAAGGTCGGAGTCTGAGCAGAACTGTGTGTAATGAGTCGATGTTTTAGTCGACTCATTCCACAAGGTCGGAGTCTGAGCAGAACTGTGTGTAATGAGTCGATGTTTTAGTCGACTCATTCCACAAGGTCGGAGTCTGAGCAGAACTGTGTGTAATGAGTCGATGTTTTAGTCGACTCATTCCACAAGGTCGGAGTCTGAGCAGAACTGTGTGTAATGAGTCGATGTTTTAGTCGACTCATTCCACAAGGTCGGAGTCTGAGCAGAACTGTGTGTAATGAGTCGATGTTTTAGTCGACTCATTCCACAAGGTCGGAGTCTGAGCAGAACTGTGTGTAATGAGTCGATGTTTTAGTCGACTCATTACACAAGGTCGGAGTCTGAGCAGAACTGTGTGTAATGAGTCGATGTTTTAGTCGACTCATTCCACAAGGTCGGAGTCTGAGCAGAACTGTGTGTAATGAGTCGATGTTTTAGTCGACTCATTCCACAAGGTCGGAGTCTGAGCAGAACTGTGTGTAATGAGTCGATGTTTTAGTCGACTCATTCCACAAGGTCGGAGTCTGAGCAGAACTGTGTGTAATGAGTCGATGTTTTAGTCGACTCATTACACAAGGTCGGAGTCTGAGCAGAACTGTGTGTAATGAGTCGATGTTTTAGTCGACTCATTCCACAAGGTCGGAGTCTGAGCAGAACTGTGTGTAATGAGTCGATGTTTTAGTCGACTCATTCCACAAGGTCGGAGTCTGAGCAGAACTGTGTGTAATGAGTCGATGTTTTAGTCGACTCATTACACAAGGTCGGAGTCTGAGCAGAACTGTGTGTAATGAGTCGATGTTTTAGTCGACTCATTCCACAAGGTCGGAGTCTGAGCAGAACTGTGTGTAATGAGTCGATGTTTTAGTCGACTCATTCCACAAGGTCGGAGTCTGAGCAGAACTGTGTGTAATGAGTCGATGTTTTAGTCGACTCATTCCACAAGGTCGGAGTCTGAGCAGAACTGTGTGTAATGAGTCGATGTTTTAGTCGACTCATTACACAAGGTCGGAGTCTGAGCAGAACTGTGTGTAATGAGTCGATGTTTTAGTCGACTCATTCCACAAGGTCGGAGTCTGAGCAGAACTGTGTGTAATGAGTCGATGTTTTAGTCGACTCATTCCACAAGGTCGGAGTCTGAGCAGAACTGTGTGTAATGAGTCGATGTTTTAGTCGACTCATTACACAAGGTCGGAGTCTGAGCAGAACTGTGTGTAATGAGTCGATGTTTTAGTCGACTCATTCCACAAGGTCGGGAGTCTGAGCAGAACTGTGTGTAATGAGTCGATGTTTTAGTCGACTCATTCCACAAGGTCGGAGTCTGAGCAGAACTGTGTGTAATGAGTCGATGTTTTAGTCGACTCATTACACAAGGTCGGAGTCTGAGCAGAACTGTGTGTAATGAGTCGATGTTTTAGTCGACTCATTCCACAAGGTCGGAGTCTGAGCAGAACTGTGTGTAATGAGTCGATGTTTTAGTCGACTCATTACACAAGGTCGGAGTCTGAGCAGAACTGTGTGTAATGAGTCGATGTTTTAGTCGACTCATTCCACAAGGTCGGAGTCTGAGCAGAACTGTGTGTAATGAGTCGATGTTTTAGTCGACTCATTCCACAAGGTCGGAGTCTGAGCAGAACTGTGTGTAATGAGTCGATGTTTTAGTCGACTCATTCCACAAGGTCGGAGTCTGAGCAGAACTGTGTGTAATGAGTCGATGTTTTAGTCGACTCATTCCACAAGGTCGGAGTCTGAGCAGAACTGTGTGTAATGAGTCGATGTTTTAGTCGACTCATTCCACAAGGTCGGAGTCTGAGCAGAACTGTGTGTAATGAGTCGATGTTTTAGTCGACTCATTACACAAGGTCGGAGTCTGAGCAGAACTGTGTGTAATGAGTCGATGTTTTAGTCGACTCATTCCACAAGGTCGGAGTCTGAGCAGAACTGTGTGTAATGAGTCGATGTTTTAGTCGACTCATTCCACAAGGTCGGAGTCTGAGCAGAACTGTGTGTAATGAGTCGATGTTTTAGTCGACTCATTACACAAGGTCGGAGTCTGAGCAGAACTGTGTGTAATGAGTCGATGTTTTAGTCGACTCATTCCACAAGGTCGGAGTCTGAGCAGAACTGTGTGTAATGAGTCGATGTTTTAGTCGACTCATTCCACAAGGTCGGAGTCTGAGCAGAACTGTGTGTAATGAGTCGATGTTTTAGTCGACTCATTCCACAAGGTCGGAGTCTGAGCAGAACTGTGTGTAATGAGTCGATGTTTTAGTCGACTCATTCCACAAGGTCGGAGTCTGAGCAGAACTGTGTGTAATGAGTCGATGTTTTAGTCGACTCATTACACAAGGTCGGAGTCTGAGCAGAACTGTGTGTAATGAGTCGATGTTTTAGTCGACTCATTCCACAAGGTCGGAGTCTGAGCAGAACTGTGTGTAATGAGTCGATGTTTTAGTCGACTCATTCCACAAGGTCGGAGTCTGAGCAGAACTGTGTGTAATGAGTCGATGTTTTAGTCGACTCATTCCACAAGGTCGGAGTCTGAGCAGAACTGTGTGTAATGAGTCGATGTTTTAGTCGACTCATTACACAAGGTCGGAGTCTGAGCAGAACTGTGTGTAATGAGTCGATGTTTTAGTCGACTCATTCCACAAGGTCGGAGTCTGAGCAGAACTGTGTGTAATGAGTCGATGTTTTAGTCGACTCATTCCACAAGGTCGGAGTCTGAGCAGAACTGTGTGTAATGAGTCGATGTTTTAGTCGACTCATTACACAAGGTCGGAGTCTGAGCAGAACTGTGTGTAATGAGTCGATGTTTTAGTCGACTCATTCCACAAGGTCGGAGTCTGAGCAGAACTGTGTGTAATGAGTCGATGTTTTAGTCGACTCATTCCACAAGGTCGGAGTCTGAGCAGAACTGTGTGTAATGAGTCGATGTTTTAGTCGACTCATTCCACAAGGTCGGAGTCTGAGCAGAACTGTGTGTAATGAGTCGATGTTTTAGTCGACTCATTACACAAGGTCGGAGTCTGAGCAGAACTGTGTGTAATGAGTCGATGTTTTAGTCGACTCATTCCACAAGGTCGGAGTCTGAGCAGAACTGTGTGTAATGAGTCGATGTTTTAGTCGACTCATTCCACAAGGTCGGAGTCTGAGCAGAACTGTGTGTAATGAGTCGATGTTTTAGTCGACTCATTACACAAGGTCGGAGTCTGAGCAGAACTGTGTGTAATGAGTCGATGTTTTAGTCGACTCATTCCACAAGGTGGGAGTCTGAGCAGAACTGTGTGTAATGAGTCGATGTTTTAGTCGACTCATTCCACAAGGTCGGAGTCTGAGCAGAACTGTGTGTAATGAGTCGATGTTTTAGTCGACTCATTACACAAGGTCGGAGTCTGAGCAGAACTGTGTGTAATGAGTCGATGTTTTAGTCGACTCATTCCACAAGGTCGGAGTCTGAGCAGAACTGTGTGTAATGAGTCGATGTTTTAGTCGACTCATTACACAAGGTCGGAGTCTGAGCAGAACTGTGTGTAATGAGTCGATGTTTTAGTCGACTCATTCCACAAGGTCGGAGTCTGAGCAGAACTGTGTGTAATGAGTCGATGTTTTAGTCGACTCATTCCACAAGGTCGGAGTCTGAGCAGAACTGTGTGTAATGAGTCGATGTTTTAGTCGACTCATTCCACAAGGTCGGAGTCTGAGCAGAACTGTGTGTAATGAGTCGATGTTTTAGTCGACTCATTACACAAGGTCGGAGTCTGAGCAGAACTGTGTGTAATGAGTCGATGTTTTAGTCGACTCATTACACAAGGTCGGAGTCTGAGCAGAACTGTGTGTAATGAGTCGATGTTTTAGTCGACTCATTCCACAAGGTCGGAGTCTGAGCAGAACTGTGTGTAATGAGTCGATGTTTTAGTCGACTCATTCCACAAGGTCGGAGTCTGAGCAGAACTGTGTGTAATGAGTCGATGTTTTAGTCGACTCATTCCACAAGGTCGGAGTCTGAGCAGAACTGTGTGTAATGAGTCGATGTTTTAGTCGACTCATTCCACAAGGTCGGAGTCTGAGCAGAACTGTGTGTAATGAGTCGATGTTTTAGTCGACTCATTCCACAAGGTCGGAGTCTGAGCAGAACTGTGTGTAATGAGTCGATGTTTTAGTCGACTCATTCCACAAGGTCGGAGTCTGAGCAGAACTGTGTGTAATGAGTCGATGTTTTAGTCGACTCATTCCACAAGGTCGGAGTCTGAGCAGAACTGTGTGTAATGAGTCGATGTTTTAGTCGACTCATTCCACAAGGTCGGAGTCTGAGCAGAACTGTGTGTAATGAGTCGATGTTTTAGTCGACTCATTACACAAGGTCGGAGTCTGAGCAGAACTGTGTGTAATGAGTCGATGTTTTAGTCGACTCATTCCACAAGGTCGGAGTCTGAGCAGAACTGTGTGTAATGAGTCGATGTTTTAGTCGACTCATTCCACAAGGTCGGAGTCTGAGCAGAACTGTGTGTAATGAGTCGATGTTTTAGTCGACTCATTACACAAGGTCGGAGTCTGAGCAGAACTGTGTGTAATGAGTCGATGTTTTAGTCGACTCATTCCACAAGGTCGGAGTCTGAGCAGAACTGTGTGTAATGAGTCGATGTTTTAGTCGACTCATTACACAAGGTCGGAGTCTGAGCAGAACTGTGTGTAATGAGTCGATGTTTTAGTCGACTCATTCCACAAGGTCGGAGTCTGAGCAGAACTGACCGGTGCACATCGAGAGACCACAGGGTCGGGGAGCGGTAGGAGGCTTCCGGGAAGACGGCGAGGGTTGTGGCTGGGGAGTGCAGCTTGAGTGCCGTGGCTCGCCTGCCCGCCCACCACAGGGCGTCCATGAGGGCGTTGAGGAACACACGGTTCACTGCCACTCCCTCCCTCTGCAAGGGGTGCACACAATACAAGAGCAACACACACAAAGGCACTCGAGTCAGCGTGAGCTCAGCTTGAGCGCCGTGGCTCGCCTGCCCGCCCCGCCCACCAGAGGGAGTCCATGAGATAGGAACTATCTGTCCATGAGTGCGTTCAAGAAAACATGGAACAGAGGCATAGTTTTGAGGCGCCTCAAAACTAGACTTCAAGAAAACACTGAACAGAGGGATTGGGGAAATCGCGTGAAAGCATTGAGGAACACACCCACTGCAAGGCAAGTGAGTGCTGGGGGAAGGGAGTGGGGTGCACGTCTCAAAGCAGGGGACGCCCAATCTAGAGGCTTATGCATTCCTAAGTCAGGGTTTCGGGAGTCGGGTTGAAGATTTAGGGCATTCAAGCTGACCTTGAGCCGCCCAAAAAAGTCTTCGACCATCAGCCAGACCTCATCCAATTCGTATCGCTCCACCACATGCATGCATGTATGGCAGTCCCTCCATCGCTATTAGGGAATCAACCATCCTATCTCACCTTGAGCCGCCCAAAGAAGTCCTCCGCGATCGGCCAGAACTCCTCCGACTCGTACCGGCCCACCAGCAGCCCTCGCACTATGCGGTGCTCCTCGCCTGTGCCTCCCCCCTCCATCTCCGCTAATAGCCGCCTCATGTCCTGCCACCTGGGGTTGTTGGGGGGGGGGGGGGAAGGGGAAGTTGGACACAGAAATAGATAGATGCACCTGGCTCATATCGTCCCACCGGCAGCCCTGGCTCACTATGCGGTGCTCCTCGCCCGTTCCCCCCCCCTCTCCATCTCCGCTAATAGCCGCCTCATGTCCTGCCACCTGAGAGGGCGTGGAGTTGGAGAGGGAGGGGGAAAGAGGAGCGGACGGGGAGGGGGGAACACAGTTCGTATCGCCCCACCAGCAGCCCCCCTCTCACTATGCGGTGCTCCTCGCCCGTTCCCCCCCCTCTCCATCTCTGCATCTAGCCGACTCATGTCCTGCCACTTGGGAAAGTAGGCGGGGGCAAAGATCTTTTTGGTCAGCAACATAAAATACCTAGCCTCCTTCTTTGGCTCCCCTCCTCTCCCTCTCACCTTTCCTTCTCTTCCTCCTTTCCCGTCCTCGCACACAGTTCCTTGGACACACAGTGAGCGCACACAGTGAGCGCACACAGTGAGCGCACACAGTGCCAGCAGGTGGCAGTAGCTGGCAGCAGGCAGCACCATGCCCTCCTCTCTTATATCCGTTGTTTTTGCATACGCTGCCTCAAGCGCGCCCTCCCCCTCTTTTCGAGATCTTGGTGCCAAAGGAATTGTTCCGCCTATGCTTCGCACCTTCCTCATCTCGCACACAGTGCCAGCAGGTGGCAGTAGCTGGCAGCAGGCGGCACCATGCCCTCCTCTCTTATATCCGTTGTTTTCGCATACACTGCCTCAAGCTGCATGCGTTCCCATGCCCGAATGGACTCAAAAGCAGACTCATACGTTCCCATGCCCGAATGGGCTCAAAAGCAGACTCATACGTTCCCATGCCCGAATGGACTCAAAAGCAGACTCATACGTTCCCATGCCCGAATGGACTCAAAAGCAGACTCATACGTTCCCATGCCCGAATGGGCTCAAAAGCAGACTCATACGTTCCCATGCCCGAATGGGCTCAAATGCAGACTCATACGTTCCCATGCCCGAATGGGCTCAAATGCAGACTCATACGTTCCCATGCCCGAATGGACTCAAAAGCAGACTCATACGTTCCCATGCCCGAATGGGCTCAAAAGCAGACTCATACGTTCCCATGCCCGAATGGACTCAAAAGCAGACTCATACGTTCCCATGCCCGAATGGACTCAAAAGCAGACTCATACGTTCCCATGCCCGAATGGGCTCAAAAGCAGACTCATACGTTCCCATGCCCGAATGGGCTCAAATGCAGACTCATACGTTCCCATGCCCGAATGGGCTCAAATGCAGACTCATACGTTCCCATGCCCGAATGGGCTCAAATGCAGACTCATACGTTCCCATGCCCGAATGGGCTCAAAAGCAGACTCATACTTTCCCATGCCCGAATGGACTCAAAAGCAGACTCATACGTTCCCATGCCCGAATGGGCAGACCCATTCCCTTGCTCTCCATTCGTCTGTAATGAGTCGATTTTTGAGTCGACTCATTTTGTAATGAGCCCGAATGGACTCAAAAATCGACTCATTACACACGCATTCCCCTGCTCTCCATTCGTCCCTTCCCATCTTCTCACCTTCCTCGTCTCGCACAAAGGGCTAAGAGATGGCAGTAGCTGGCAGCAGGCGGCACCATGCCCTCCTCCCTTATCTCCGTCGTTTGGGCATATGCCGCCTCAAACGTGCCGGCTGCACTGTATGCTGCCACCATTGCAGCATGGGTTGCCAGGGAGGGGCGGCAGTTGGCTTGCTCCATATCCTGCCAGGGGTGAGGGGGAGAGGGACAGAGGCGAGCAGGCAGGAGGGGTATGTGATCTGGCATGTGCCGGCTGCACTGTATGCTGCTACCATGGCTGCGTGCGTTTCCAGGGAAGGGCGGCAGTTGGCTTACTCCATATCCTGCCAGGGGTGATGAGAAAATGCAACGATACATGGGTATTTGCCCTAGCAGGCCAGCTGGCTGCACTGTATGCTGCTACCAGGGCTCCATGCGTTGCCAGAGAGGGGCGGCGGTTGGCTTGCTCCACATCCTGTGTGATATGGCAGAGAGGGGGTAGAGGAGAGGAGGGTTGCTGGATATGTGGTCTGAAACAAATGCATTTTGCGTGAGCACCATTAATCTCGTCTCGCTTGGCATACGGCTCGTTGCACTAACATCCCGATACACTCACATCCCGGTACACTCACATCCTGGTACACTCACATCCCGGTACACTCGCATCATTGACTTTAGTGGCTTCGTCATACAGTCCCCTTTTAGTGAGGGCCTCGACAGTTGCATCGAAGGTTCTAAGAGACGCGTGAGCAGGGTACAGGCCCAAAGCTCAATTGGAATACATGGCATCTCATTGAACTCACCTCGTTGACTTTTATGGCTTCATCATACAGGCCCCCTTTAGTGAAGGCCTCGATAAGAGCATTGAAGGTCCTCAGAGAGGCATCAGCAGGGTAAGGGCCCGAGCCTCCAGAGAGAGAGGAGGAGGAGGAGGAGGAGGAGGGGGAGGAGGGAGAGGAGGAGTTGGGGGAAGAGGCGAGCGAAAGAGAGGCGTTTCCAGCAGTGGTGGAGCCAGGGAGCGAACCCCCTCCTGCCCCAGCAGTTCTCCCCCCATCTGACTGCACCATGAGTGCGAAAATGAATGCTGCATCGTCGTGCATGCCCCCTGCTGCGTACGCTTCCATCAAGGCGAGGAAGGGACCCTGTGGGAGGGAAGGGGGGGGGGGGGGGGGGGGGGGGGTGGTGAGGGGGTGGAGGGGGGTAGAGGGGGGTGGAGGGGAGTGGAGGGGGGTGGAGGGGGTAGAGGGGGGTGGAAGAGGGGTGGAGGGGGTGGAGGGGGGTGGAGGGGGGGGTGTGAGATGAGGGGTGTGTGGGGGAGGGGGAAGATAGGGATGTATGTAGCTGGGCTCAACTTTTAGGGCACCTCAACTGTAGCCAGGGGCATGCCTGCTGCTGCTGCTCCTCCCCGTCCTGCTCTCCGCCCACCTGGTTGCACCATGCGTGCAAAGATGAACTCTGGTGATTTTTGAGTCGACTCAAAAACCGTCCTCCTCTCCGCCCACCTGGTTTGACAAGCCCGCTGGTTGCACCATGCGTGCAAAGATGAACTCTGCATCGTCCACTCCCGCCTCCCCCCCCCCCTGCACGACGATGATTTTTTAGTCGACTCAAAAATCTCCTACAAATTCAAGAGAGTTTTTTCAGAGCAAAAATTTTTCTCTACCAAACGATTAGTGTTTGACAAGCCCGCTGGTTGCACCATGCGTGCAAAGATGAACTCTGCATCGTCCACTCCCTCCTCCTCCCCCCCTGCACGACGATGCAGCGCTCATCATGAGCACGGCGCCTGCTGCAGTGCGATGTACTCTTCCTTCCATCAGGGAGAGGGAGGGAGGAATCCGAAGGGGGGAGGAGGGAGTGGAAGAGGAGCGGAGCGGGTGAAGTGGCCACAGCAAGTGGCAAAAAAACCAGCTCCTTCAGGCAGAGAATGAGGCCCCATTTACACGCCTGATCTCACGATTGGGTCACTCCTGCCTCCCTGCCTGCTCACCTGCCTCCCTGCTTGCTTAAAGCCTTCCTAGCCACTCACCGGTTGGTCCGTAAGCCCCATCTCCATGCTCTCGTGCAGCGCAGTGAGGCGCCCACCTCCCCCACCTAGTCACACCTGCCCGCCTGCCCATACGACCTAGTCACACTAGGTACTGCTTGTTCCCCCACCTAGTCACACCTGCCCGCCTGCCCATACGACCTAGTCACACTAGGTACTGCTTGTTCCCCCACCTAGTCACACCTGCCCGCCTGCTCATACGACCTAGTCACACTAGGTACTGCTTGTTACCCCACAAGCCACTCACCGGTTGTTCAGTTAGCCCCATCTCCATGCTCTCGTGCAGCGCTGTGAGGGCATGGTCATACATGCCTGCCTGCCATGCTCTTGCGTGCGCTTATCAAAACCCACTGGTAGAAGCCTGCTCCCCAGCCTTAAAACTCACTGGTTGGTCAGTTAACCCCATCTCCATGCTCTCGTGCAGTGCTGTGAGGGCATGGTCGTACATGCCTGCCTGCCCATACGCGCTAATCAGAGCCTCCATTAACGAGGATGACGGCTGCACCTGTGACCGCTCTCGCATGAATCTGGGGGATAGGAGGAAGGGAGGGGGGGGAGAGGGGAGGAGGGGATGGTAAGGAGAGGGCGTGAGGGGGCAGTGGAGGAGAGGAGGGGAGAGGAGGCAGCGGAGAGGGGGAGAGGGGAGAGGGGAGAGGGGGCAGCGGGGGCAGCGAGGGCAGCAGGGGCAGCAGGGCCATCGGGGGCAGTGGGGGCAGCAGGGAGGGGGGAGGAGGGGGGAGGGGAGGGGGGGGGCGGGGGGGGAGGGGAAGAGGGGGAAGGAGGGAAGGAAGGATGAAAGAGTGATGGGACGAGAGTGATGGACAGGATAATAACTGCACTTGCGATGCGATGGCTCCCGTGTGAATGTGGAGAAGGGGTGGCGGGATACGAGAGGAGAGAAGAGTTTTGAGGGGCCTAAAAAATGACTGCACTTGTGAACAGACGACTTTTGAGGCGCCTCAAAAGTCGTCAAAGGCGCCTCAAAGGTCGTCAAAGGAGCCTCAAAGGTCGTCAAAGACGCCTTAAAAGTTGTCAAAGGCGCCTTAAAAGTCGTCAAAAAAATGTCTGCACTTGCGATGGCTCCCGTGTGAATGTGGAGAAGGGGTGGCGGGGGAAGAGAGGAGAGAAGCGGGAGGGGGAGATAGAGGTAAGGCTGACGGCTGCAACAGGGATCACTCATGCAGAAGGGGTGTGTGTGTGGGGGGGGGAGGAGATGGGACCCTCAGACAGACACTTTTCACACACCTGTATATCTCGGTTGCCTCAGTGGTAAGCCCACGCAGCCCGCACGCCACGAGCAGGGATGTGAAAGCCCCCCGCCTCCACCTCCAAACCATCCCTGAACAGCCAGAAGGCCTCTAGGAGAACACAAGTACCTGCATATCTCGGTTGCCTCAGTGGTAAGCCCACTCAGCCCGCACGCCACGAGCAGCGAAGTGAAAGCCCCCCGCCTCCACCCCACCCCATCCCCCTCATCCCGGAACAGCCACGAACCCTCTCCAACAAACATAGCTACCTGTATACAGTATACCTCAGTGGCCTCAGCAGTAAGTCCCCCCAACCCGCACACCACCAGCAGCAAAGTGAGAGCTCTCTCATCCACCTCCACCTCGTTTCCCTCATCCCGGAACAGCCACAACCCCTCTCCAACAAACATACTTACCTGTATATTTCAGTGGCCTCAGTTGTCAACCCCCCAATCCGCATGCCACTAGCAGTGAGGTGAAAGGCCCCTCATCCACCTCCACCCCATCCTCCTCTCGGGCAAACATAATTGTCCAACAGGCAACTGAAGCCGCTCAAGGGAACATACGTACCTGTATATCTCAGTTGCTTCGTAAGCCCCCCCAGCCCGCACGCCACGAGCAGCGAAGTGAAAGCCCCCTCATCCACCTCCACCCCATCCTCCTCCCTCCATGTCTGTCTGGAAACAGCCTCAAAGCCTCTAGGAAGAACATATTCACCTGTATATCTCGGTTGCTTCAGTCGTAAGCCCCCCGAGCCCGCACGCCACGAGCAGCGAGGTGAAGGCCCCCTCATCCACCTCCACCCCATCCTCCTCCATGTCGCGAAACAGCCGGGAAGCTTCCCGGAAGAACCCCCCCGAGATGAACACGTCAAGCAGCGCGCGGTACGTGGCCAGGTCGGGCTTGCGGCCCGACGCCTTCATCTGCGTGAATACTGAGCGCACGTGGTGGTAGCTGCCATTCGAGCCAAGGGCTTTAAGGAGAGCGGTGTAGGTTGCGACATTAGGGATGCAGCCTGCTGCCTGCATCTCGTTGAACACCTGGCAGGGAGAGCAAGAATAGTTTACGGTGGAGTGGAGGGGATGGGAGGGGAGGGGAGAGGGGGGGGAGGGGAGGGGGATGGGAGGAGAAATGAATTGTGATCTCGGAAGACCCCCCTATCCCCGAGATGAACACGTCAAGCAGCGCGCGGTACGTGGCCAGGTCGGGCTTGCGGCCCGACGCCTTCATCTGCGTGAATACTGATCGCACGTGGTGGTAGCTGCCATTCGAGCCAAGGGCCTTCAATAAAGCCGTGTATGTAGCGACATTACGGATGCAGCCCGCTGCCTGCATCTCGTTGAACACCTGGCGGGGGGAGAGGGGTGGGGAAGGGAAAGGGGCAGGGCAAGGAGCAGGGAAAGGAGCAGGGAAAGGAGCAGGGAAAGGAATGGAGCCAGGCCGGGCTTGCAGCCCGCTGCCTTCATTTGAGTGAAGACCGACCACACGTGGTGGAGTGGAAGTTGCTGTTGGACTCGAGGGCTAAGAGGAGAGCGGTGTAAGTGGCGATGCAGCCTGCCTGCTGCATCTCGATGAACATCTGCCAAGAGAGAGAGGAGGGGAGGAAAGAAGCCAAAAGGATATGTTACGTTACATGTATACACTAGATATACATTAATAATCACCTCTTGAGCTGCTTGGTAGGTACTCTCTCCCCCACGCATAGGCATCCATGAGTATGTTGTATGCTGGCACGCTAGCCAGCCACATATCAGCGGGGCATACCTCTGTTGTACTCACCAATGCACACTCACCTCTTGAGCTGCCTGGTACTCTCTCCCCCCCACCCCACGCGTAGGCGTCGATGAGCATGTTGTAGGCTGACACGGCAGCCACCGGGAGACGGCGCATGTGCGCACACATACACATTAGCACCTTATCCTTACCTCTTGAGCTGCCTGGTACTCTCCCCCCCATGCATAGGCGTCGATGAGCATGTTGTAGGCTGACACGTCAGCCACCACCCCTTCCTCCCCTGACATCTCCTGAAACAGACGACGCACGCCGCCCAGCTGGCCACCCCTGCGGTGCGTGTCGACCAATGAGGCGTACGAGAGAGCGTTGGGCGGCACCTGAGGAGGGGTGGGGGGAGAATATCAATAGTAAACCAGGGAGGTGATTACAAGGGAGGTGATTACAACGGAGGTGATTACAACGGAGGTGATTACACTAATCGATTCTTTGCACAGATCAAATATAGTTTTGAGGCGCCTCAAAAGTAGACTCCTATCACGCGGATTTTGCACAGATCAAATACACCGGGAAGCAATCATGGAGTGGAGTGGACGACCATGGCAGCCTGCTATGATCACAGACACACACACACACACACACACACACACACACACACACACACACACACACACACACACACATGCACGCACGCACGCAAACCCACTCACTCCCTTGTTCACACACGCATGCACGCATGCGCACGCACACACACACACACACACACACGCACACTTACTCACTCCCTCGCTCACGCATGCACACACACACACATGCACACGAGCACACGCACCATGCACACACGCACAGGGAGACAACCCACCTGCGAAGCCACCATAGAACGGAAGACCATTGCTGACTGCTCAACAAGGGAACGAGCGTTGCATGCAGCCAGCAGGGTGTTGAATGTGACTATATCGGGCTGGAGGACAGATTGGAGAGAGGGGGGTGTTTGGGGGGAGGGGAGGGGGGGGGGGGGGGGAGAGAGAGAAAATGAGCACGGAGTATTGCATGCCGCCAGCAGGGAGTTGAATGACTGTGTCTATATCGGGCTGGAGAAGAGATTGGAGAGAGGGGGTAGGGCGGGATAGAGGGGAGAAAGGAGCATTGCTAGCTGTCTGCAGAGCATGGCTAGCTGTCCTGTCCCTACTTATGCAAGCTGTCTGCAGGGCAGAAGAACAGAAGTTCCAGTTTGAGACGTCTCGAGAATAACCGGTAGAATTTAGGAGCCTCAGCCTTTCAGCCCCATTGGCCTCAGCCTCGCAGCCTCTCAGCCTCTCAGCCCCATTGCAGCTTCCGTGCATCTAGGCCCACTCTTGCACACTCCCTCCCACACTCCCTCTCACGTTCCCTCCCTCGATCCATCCCCCCTTTTGCCATCCTCACCTGCTCACCGCCCTGCCTCAACTTGGCAAATATATACACCAGCCCATCCCACGCCATGGCGCACTTGGCACACTCTCATGCTTGTTACAGTTTCCAAACATGGTTCCACGCTTCCACAGACTCTTTCCCACCCTCTCCCCCATTCCTTATCCCCTCACCTGCATGCCAGCCCATCCCATCCCACGCCATGGCGCCCTTGGATTGGGTCTCTTCCATGCATCTTCCCCTGGTCCCCTTGCAGAGACATGCGCAAGTCGCACTAGCACAGTAGCCCCTCCTTACCCCCTCACCTGCACGCCATCCTGCCTCATCTTGGCAAAGATATCCACGAGCCCATCCCACGCCATGGCGCCCTTGGCACACGCGTGCAGCACGGTGTTGTAGGTGATGCTGTTGGCCGCCACGCCCTCACGCTTCATCCTTGCAAGTAAGTCAAGTGACCGCTCATACTGGCGAAGGGCAAGGGAAGGCAGCATAGCAGAGCACAGGGAGAGGGGGGCTTATTGCGGCATGCGTGCAGCACGGTGTTGTAGGTGATGATGTTGGCCTGGCCGCCACACCCTCGCGCTTCATCCGGGTTAACAGGTCAAGTGAGCGCTCATACTGGTGGTCAGAAAGACAAGAACAGAGTGCGGGAGCAGGGAGGAGAGGGGGGGAGTTGTCGGCGCATGCGTGCAGCACGGTGTTGTACGTGATGCTGTTGGCCGCCACACCCTCACGCTTCATCCTTGCAAGTAAGTCAAGTGACCGCTCATACTGGTAAAGGGCAAGGGAAGGGGGCATAGCAGAGCACGGGGAGAGGGGAGCTTATTTCTGCATGCATATAGCAGCGTGTTGTACATGATGCTGTTCGCCGCCATGCCCTCCTGCTTCATCTGAGCGTGCAAGTCGAGTGAGCGCTCAGCACTCATACTGATGGTTGATGGGGGGTATTTTTGAAAAATACCCTGCAAATTGATGGGGGGCGGAGGAGGAACGGGGGAGGGAAGGAACGGGGCGGGAAGAGGGAGCGGGTGACCCTCCGTTGGCACATGCGTGCAGCACAGTGTTGTACGTGATGCTGCTGCCCGCCACCCCTTCCTTTTTCATGTGGGCTAGGAGGTCCAATGGGCGCTCATACTGATGTTCGAGGGGGATGAGGGAGAGGGAGACCCCAGGCACATGAGTGCAGCACGATGTAGTATCGGCAACAGGGGGGGGGGGAGACAGAGGGGGGAAAAAGGGAGGGGGGACAGGGCGGGGGAACGGGGCGGGGAAACGGGGAGGGGGAACAGGGCGGGGGAACAGGGCGGGGGGAACAGGGCGGGGGGAACAGGGCGGGGAAACAGGGCGGGGAAACAGGGCGGGGAAACAGGGCGGGGAAACAGGGCGGGGAAACAGGGTGGGGAAACAGGGTGGGGAAACAGGGTGGGGAAACAGGGTGGGGAAACAGGGTGGGGAAACAGGGTGGGAAACAGGGTGGGGAAACAGGGTGGGGAAACGGGGTGGGGAAACGGGGAGGGGGAACGGGGCGGGGAACCGGGCGGGGGAACAGGGCGGGGAACAGGGCGGGGAAACAGGGCGGGGAACAGGGCGGGGGAACAGGGCGGGGGAACAGGGCGGGGGAACAGGGCGGGGGAACAGGGCGGGCGGGGAAACAGGGCGGGGAAACAGGGCGGGGAAACAGGGCTGGGAAACAGGGCGGGGAAACAGGGCGGGGAAACAGGGCGGGGAAACAGGGCGGGGAAACAGGGTGGGGAAACAGGGTGGGGAAACAGGGTGGGGAAACAGGGTGGGGAAACAGGGTGGGGAAACAGGGTGGGGAAACAGGGTGGGGAAACAGGGTGGGGAAACAGGGTGGGGAAACAGGGTGGGGAAACAGGGTGGGGAAACAGGGTGGGGAAACAGGGTGGGGAAACAGGGTGGGGAAACAGGGCGGGGGAACAGGGCGGGGGAACAGGGCGGGGGAACAGGGCGGGCAGGAAGCGAGAGCAGGTGAACCTAGGCGCATGCGTGCAGCAATGTTTACCTAAGCATATCTCTTACGCCCATACACCTTTTATGCAGTGAACGGACCATTCCAGCGTCGAGGGAAATAATGCTCGTTCAGCATCTACCTAAGCATGTCTCTTACTAACCATACCATACCGTACCGCTCAGCACCATACCGTTCCTCCCATAGTCGTTGATGAGGCCAGTGACGGGGAGCACGTTCCACTCTCGGAGCATGTCTCGTGCTTACATGCCATTCGTACCTTGTGGCACCTCAAGTCAAGGCACGGCATGTCTCTTACTCACCAAACACGGCATGTCCAAGGCACGGCATGTCTCGCACGTACCATGCCGTTCCTTCCATAAGCGTTGATGAGGGCGGTGAAAGAATACACGTTCCACTCCACCCCGTGCTCTGGCATCTCCTCAAACAGCTCTTGAGCCCGGTCCAACATGCCCTCGCGACCTGATTGGGATTGGGGGAGGGGAGGAGGGTTGGGTGGGGAGGAGGGTGAGGGAAAAGGGAAAGAAGGAGAACCAACAAGCACTCCACCACCCCGTGCTCTGGCATCTCCTCAAACAGCTCTTGAGCCCGACCCAGTATGACCCCTCTCTACCTGCAGGAAGGATGGGGAGAACGGGGAAGGGAGGCGGGGGGCAGAAGAGGGGGGGGGGGGGGGAGGGGGGAAAGAGAGAGGGGGGAGTGGGTAGTAGTAGTGAGTTCGAAGGATAATGGAAGTTCATAGACCACTACCCAATGTGATGATGCCATGCACGTACCCATGATGCCATGCACGTACCCATGATGCCAGGCACGTACCCATGATGCCAGGCACGTACCCATGATGCCATGCACGACGTACCCATGATGCCATGCACTACCCATGATGCCATGCACGTACCCGTGATGCCATGCACTTACCCATGATGCCAGGCACGTACCCATGATGCCAGGCACGTACCCATGATGCCAGGCACGTACCCATGATGCCATGCACGTACCCATGATGCCAGGCACGTACCCATGATGCCATGCACGTACCCATGATGCCATGCACGTACCCATGATGCCATGCACGTACCCATGATGCCATGCACGTACCCATGATGCCATGCACGTACCCATGATGCCATGCACGTACCCATGATGCCATGCACGTACCCATGATGCCATGCACGTACCCATGATGCCATGCACGTACCCATGATGCCAGGCACGTACCCATGATGCCGATCATGATGGTGTAGATATACTCGTTGGGCGCACACCATTGCTGCCGCTGCAGGCACGAAAAAAAACCATCACACATAAAGGCAACTCAGTTTCGTTGGCAATCTACTAAAACATGATATATGCACCGTTTACACACTCCCACTCCTTTCCTCTGCTTCATGGGCAACTGCTGAAAACATTATCGCTTGCTCGGAAGCATCGCTCAGAAGACGTTAGTTTTTTTAGATTTCTCAGAAATTGTTACATGATTTCCAATTTTTTAGGCGCCTCAAAAATCGTTACATGGTTTCCTTCCTCGGTTCCGGTCGCCCCTCTGCGCGCCCCTTGTTCCCCCCAGACCCCCCTCCCTCGCCCCCCTGCTCTTTCTACCTGCATGTACTTCAACAGCCTCATGCCTCGGTTCCACTCGCCCCTCTGCGCACCGCTTAACCCAATGCCAGACCCCCCACCCCCACACACCTGCTAGCCTCACACCACTGATAACCCACCTGTGCCGCATGCCACCCACCTGCATGTACTTGAACAGGCGCATGGCGCGGATCCAATCGCCCCTCTGCGCGAACTCCTTGAAAATCAGAGCAAAGTCCTGAAGGGGGACGGGGGCGCGGGGGAGGGTGGGGAACGGGGAGCGGGGGAGAGGGGGGGCGGGGGGGCGGGGGGGGAAGGTGGAGTGGGAAATGGGTGGGGAGGGAAACGGGAAGCGGAAGGCAGACAAGGAAAAGGGAGGGAGAGTGGAGGGTCCAGTCACCCCCCCCCCCCCCCCCCCGGTAACTCCTTAGAGATCAGGGCAAAGCCCGGACAGGGGAGCGGCGATCAGCGGAGGGGGGACGTGAAGGCGGGAAGGGGTATCAGGGGAGCGGCAGGTTGAAGGGCCACGTGTGGGGGGGGCAGGTTGAACTCCTTAGAGATCAGGGCAAAGCCCTACTTTTGAGGCGCCTCAAAGGTTGAACTCCTTTGAGGCGCCTCAAAAGAAGCGAGGGAAGGGGGATCAGCGGAGGGGCAGGGTAGCTGGTGACGGGCCAAGGAGGGGGGGGCGGGAGAGGAGGGCCAAGGAGGGACGCGAAGAGGGGAAGGACAAGCCCAGCATTGCCGCCAGCGAGATGCAGGGGAACCTTGGCCGTAGGGTTTCCCGTGAAATCTACCGGCAGCGCCAGCTTGCCCTTGATTGACCGTCTCCGTCCCTCGCGAGATCCAAACCCTAGCATCGTACCCTGCTCCCAAACCCTAAGTCGGCACTCTGCTTCCAAACCCTAATACCGAATCCTGATCCGAACCCTGATATCGTCCCCTGCTTCCAAACCCTAAAATCGCACCCAGGCTTAAAACCCTAAAGGTTACAATACCAACCCCTCTGTTGCTCCTAAACCCTACCGCCGGCGTCAGCTTTCCCTTGAACGTCTCCACGCCCTTGAGCGAGATGCAAACCCTACATTCGAACCCTGGTTTTAAACCCTTATCGTTGCGCTAGCATCCCTAATCGTACCCTCCCTGTTCCCTGTAGCCCCCCTACCTAGTTTTGAGGCGCCTCAAAACTTGCTCCCTGTAACCCACTACCGGCAGCGTCAGCTTGCCCTTGAACGTCTCCGTACACCGCGAGATGCAATCGCTAACATCGCACCCCGGTCCCAGATCCTGATAAAACATACCCTAGCTACGAACCCTAATAATACCCCTTATAGAGCAACCCGTCTGTTCCCGCTAAGTCCTACTGGCAGCGTCAGCTTGCCCTTGAACGTCTCCATGCACCGCGAGATGCTGCCACGTGGTGCCAGCGAAACGAGGTTGCTGATCACCGCCTCCAGCTCGTACGGAATCTTTCCGCCTGGCCGCCCCGCGCCCCCCGCGCGCCCGCCTGCCGGAGCGAGCTTCTGTTTCCGATCCCGCGGGGGCGCGCGGCTTCCGCCTTCCGCCGCCGCGACCAGTACGTCCGCGCGCGCGAGTGCATGCGGAAGGCGGGCGGGGTTCTCCTTCCCCCCCCTTCCGCCAGGCACGGCTCTAGTACTGCGGAGTGCATTGTGGTCGCATATTTTCTCTGCTGGCGGCGAGAGTTTAAAGCCCGAGAAACGCGGAAGCACGGCGGAGCGATGGCAGCTCGAAGGGGGGCAATGGACGGCTGGAGATGATCGGATGGTGCGCGGAAGCGACAGTTGCGCTGCCGCGGACGCCATTGCTGCTGAAGGGAAGACGGTAGGGGGGAGTGGAGTGGAGCAAATGATATTTTTAGTATATGTATGAGAAGAAATTCCAGCGTCCTTGTTATATGAGATACAGAATTCAGTGTATGGAATTTTTCCATACCCGCTATAAGTCATTCTTGTCCTAGCGCTCGAGGGCTCGTTCTATATGTGAACGTCGTTTTATGAGAATCCGTTACTTTGCTGTACAGAACGACGCTCGTAGACCAATAGCGGACAAAGTTTAGATTTCGAGGCCGTGCGACTACTTTTGCGAAACGCTTTGCGACAAAGGCCAAAGAGTAATAAGTTAGTCTTCAACGTATTTTCTGCATCATCAGTTTTCCCTAGCCTCATAAATACGCCTCCTCACTGCGACCTTCAGCACAACTTGAACACACTCCAGTGTATAGCAGCTTGTAGGACAAGCCAAGTGCCAGGTTGTCGCTACGCTAGATGCGCGCCCGGAGCAGCAGTGTGCGACGATGCTTTCGCGTCGCAGGTGGAGCCGACCACGTGGACGAAAGGCCTTTTCTCGCCCGTTCGTAAGACTAGCTAATTTCTAACAGACCAGTCATGAGCCTCGGCCGTTCGTGAGCCTCGGTCGAAAGCTCGCCCGTTCGTGAGACTAGCTAATTTCTAAGAGACAGAGTCATGGCGACTGCTTTAGTAGCCTCGGCATTCTCGAGGGCTCCTCAGAAAAGGATGCCTAGACGAGCATTCTCGGAAAGTTCCTGGCGCCGTTTTTCCCCTACTTCGACAACTCCAGATGAGACGAGTTGGCCTTTGAGAACTCCGAAAAGCCAACTCGCTTCGTCAGCTCGGCGCGCCTTGCACTCCTCCGGAGCCTGGTCGCATGGAAACGCACCAGGCATGCTATTTCACGTGCGCCTCCTCTGCCTCGTCGCATGCCTGCTGTCGCACGCGTCGCCAGCTGTCGCCGCGCGACCAACCATCGGTACGTCGCGGTCGCTCTTGTGGCGCCCACTCTCCCCTCATTCTCCCCTGCCGTCTACATCTCCAACTTTCCCTGGCCTCTCTATTTTCTACGCGCCTCAAAAATAGACTCCTCCTCTTCATTTCCCCAGTCTCTCTTTCCCAGTCTCTCTTTCCCCAGTCTCTCTTTCCCCAGTCTCTCTTTCCCCAGTCTCTCTTTCCCAGTCTCTCTTTCCCCAGTCTCTCTTTCCCAGTCTCTCTTTCCCCAGTCTCTCTTTCCCAGTCTCTCTTTCCCCAGTCTCTCTTTCCCCAGTCTCTCTTTCCCCAGTCTCTCTTTCCCAGTCTCTCTTTTCCCAGTCTCTCTTTCCCCAGTCTCTCTTTCCCCAGTCTCTCTTTCCCCAGTCTCTCTTTCCCCAGTCTCTCTTTCCCCAGTCTCTCTTTCCCCAGTCTCTCTTTCCCCAGTCTCTCTTTCCCCAGTCTCGCTTTCCCCAGTCTCTCTTTCCCAGTCTCTCTTTCCCCAGTCTCTCTTTCCCCAGTCTCTCTTTTCCCAGTCTCACTTTCCCCAGTCTCTCTTTCCCCAGTCTCTCTTTCCCCAGTCTCTCTTTCCCCAGTCTCTCTTTCCCCAGTCTCTCTTTCCCCAGTCTCTCTTTCCCCAGTCTCGCTTTCCCCAGTCTCTCTTTCCCCAGTCTCTCTTTCCCAGTCTCTCTTTTCCCAGTCTCTCTTTCCCCAGTCTCTCTTTCCCCAGTCTCTCTTTCCCCCGTCTCTCTTTCCCCGTCTCTCTTTCCCCAGTCTCTCTTTCCCCAGTCTCTCTTTCCCCAGTCTCTCTTTCCCCAGTCTCTCTTTCCCCAGTCTCTCTTTCCCAGTCTCTCTTTCCCCAGTCTCTCTTTCCCAGTCTCTCTTTCCCCAGTCTCTCTTTCCCGTCTCTCTTTCCCAGTCTCTCTTTCCCCAGTCTCTCTTTCCCCAGTCTCTCTTCCCCAGTCTCTCTTTCCCCAGTCTCTCTTTCCCAGTCTCTCTTTCCCCAGTCTCTCTTTCCCCAGTCTCTCTTTCCCCAGTCTCTCTTTCCCCAGTCTCTCTTTCCCCAGTCTCTCTTTCCCCAGTCTCTCTTTCCCCAGTCTCTCTTTCCCAGTCTCTCTTTCCCCAGTCTCTCTTTCCCCAGTCTCTCTTTCCCCAGTCTCTCTTTCCCCAGTCTCTCTTTCCCCAGTCTCTCTTTCCCCAGTCTCTCTTTCCCCAGTCTCTCTTTCCCAGTCTCTCTTTCCCCAGTCTCTCTTTCCCCAGTCTCTCTTTCCCCAGTCTCTCTTTCCCCAGTCTCTCTTTCCCCAGTCTCTCTTTCCCCAGTCTCTCTTTCCCCCAGCCTCTCTTTCCCCCAGCCTCTCTTTCCCCAGTCTCTCTTTCCCCAGTCTCTCTTTCCCCAGTCTCTCTTTCCCCAGTCTCTCTTTCCCCAGTCTCTCTTTCCCCAGTCTCTCTTTCCCCAGTCTCTCTTTCCCCAGTCTCTCTTTCCCCAGTCTCTCTTTCCCAGTCTCTCTTTCCCCAGTCTCTCTTTCCCCAGTCTCTCTTTCCCCAGTCTCTCTTTCCCCAGTCTCTCTTTCCCCAGTCTCTCTTTCCCAGTCTCTCTTTCCCCAGTCTCTCTTTCCCCAGTCTCTCTTTCCCCAGTCTCTCTTTCCCCAGTTTCTCTTTCCCCAGTCTCTCTTTCCCCAGTCTCTCTTTCCCCCAGTCTCTCTTTCCCCAGTCTCTCTTTCCCCAGTCTCTCTTTCCCCAGTCTCTCTTTCCCCAGTCTCTCTTTCCCCCAGTCTCTCTTTCCCCAGTCTCTCTTTCCCAGTCTCTCTTTCCCCAGTCTCTCTTTCCCAGTCTCTCTTTCCCCAGTCTCTCTTTCCCCAGTCTCTCTTTCCCCAGTCTCTCTTTCCCCAGTCTCTCTTTCCCCAGTCTCTCTTTCCCCAGTCTCTCTTTCCCCAGTCTCTCTTTCCCCAGTCTCTCTTTCCCAGTCTCTCTTTCCCAGTCTCTCTTTCCCCAGTCTCTCTTTCCCCAGTCTCTCTTTCCCCAGTCTCTCTTTCCCCAAGTCTCTCTTTCCCAGTCTCTCTTTCCCCAGTCTCTCTTTCCCAGTCTCTCTTTCCCCAGTCTCTCTTTCCCAGTCTCTCTTTCCCCAGTCTCTCTTTCCCCAGTCTCTCTTTCCCCAGTCTCTCTTTCCCCAGTCTCTCTTTCCCCAGTCTCTCTTTCCCAGTCTCTCTTTCCCCAGTCTCTCTTTCCCCAGTCTCTCTTTCCCCAGTCTCTCTTTCCCCAGTCTCTCTTTCCCCAGTCTCTCTTTCCCCAGTCTCTCTTTCCCCAGTCTCTCTTTCCCCAGTCTCTCTTTCCCCAGTCTCTCTTTCCCCAGTCTCTCTTTCCCCAGTCTCTCTTTCCCCAGTCTCTCTTTCCCCAGTCTCTCTTTCCCCAGTCTCTCTTTCCCAGTCTCTCTTTCCCAGTCTCTCTCCCGTCTCTCTTCCCAGTCTCTCTTTCCCCAGTCTCTCTTTCCCCAGTCTCTCTTTCCCCAGTCTCTCTTTCCCCAGTCTCTCTTTCCCCAGTCTCTCTTTCCCCAGTCTCTCTTTCCCCAGCCTCTCTTTCCCCATCTCTCTTTCCCCAGTCTCTCTTTCCCCAGTCTCTTTCCCCAGTCTCTCTTTCCCCAGTCTCTCTTTCCCCAGTCTCTCTTTCCCCAGTCTCTCTTTCCCCAGTCTCTCTTTCCCCAGTCTCTCTTTCCCCAGTCTCTCTTTCCCCAGTCTCTCTTTCCCCAGTCTCTCTTTCCCCAGTCTCTCTTTCCCCAGTCTCTCTTTCCCCAGTCTCTCTTTCCCCAGTCTCTCTTTCCCCAGTCTCTCTTTCCCCAGTCTCTCTTTCCCCAGTCTCTCTTTCCCCAGTCTCTCTTTCCCCAGTCTCTCTTTCCCCAGTCTCTCTTTCCCCAGTCTCTCTTTCCCCAGTCTCTCTTTCCCCAGTCTCTCTTTCCCCAGTCTCTCTTTCCCCAGTCTCTCTTTCCCCAGTCTCTCTTTCCCCAGTCTCTCTTTCCCCAGTCTCTCTTTCCCCAGTCTCTCTTTCCCCCAGTCTCTCTTTCCCCAGTCTCTCTTTCCCCAGTCTCTCTTTCCCCAGTCTCTCTTTCCCCAGTCTCTCTTTCCCCCAGTCTCTCTTTCCCCAGTCTCTCTTTCCCAGTCTCTCTTTCCCCAGTCTCTCTTTCCCAGTCTCTCTTTCCCCAGTCTCTCTTTCCCCAGTCTCTCTTTCCCCAGTCTCTCTTTCCCCAGTCTCTCTTTCCCCAGTCTCTCTTTCCCCAGTCTCTCTTTCCCCCAGTCTCTCTTTCCCCAGTCTCTCTTTCCCAGTCTCTCTTTTCCCAGTCTCTCTTTCCCCAGTCTCTCTTTCCCCAGTCTCTCTTTCCCCAGTCTCTCTTTCCCCAGTCTCTCTTTCCCCAGTCTCTCTTTCCCCAGTCTCTCTTTCCCCAGTCTCGCTTTCCCCAGTCTCTCTTTCCCAGTCTCTCTTCCCCCAGTCTCTCTTTCCCCAGTCTCTCTTTCCCCAGTCTCTCTTTCCCCAGTCTCTCTTTCCCCAGTCTCTCTTTCCCCAGTCTCTCTTTCCCCAGTCTCTCTTTCCCCAGTCTCTCTTTTCCCAGTCTCTTTTTCCCAGTCTCTCTTTCCCAGTCTCTCGTTTCCTTTCCCAACCCCCCTTTCTTCCCTCCCCCCCTCCCCCCTCCCCCCCCACACCTTTCCCCCCTCAACCCGGCCGCATTCTACCTCCCCTTCCCCCCGCCCCGGCCCCCCCTTTTGCCGCGCTCTTCCCTCCTCTCTCCTTTCCTCTAACATTCCAAACCTCCCTCATCCCACCAGTGCGCTCCCTCATTCCTCAATCCCCCCTTTGCTCCTCACTCGCTCCACCAGTTCCCATCCGCATAGACTGTGGACAGCGCTGTCCTTCATTCCCCCAACTTACCACCGCACCCCATCCTCCCATACTGGATGCACCACTCCTCGCCACTCCATACCCCTCCCCCCTCCCAGGCCTCCCCACCACCACCCGCATTCACCCCTACCAGCTCCAATCCAGAAAGACTGTGGCGAGCTCTGCTCCTCACCCCCCCATGCCCCATGCCCCCTGCCCCATGCCCCATGCCCCCTGCCCGCTGCCCCATGCCCGCTTGTCCCCCATACTCGCCTCCGCCACCACCACCATCCGCATTCACCCCTACCCGCTCGACTCCAATAGACTGTGTAGGCACCGTCTGTCATCTCGCCAACCACCGCACCCCATCCCCCCGTACTGTACAGAGCTGCCTCAATATACTGGATGCACCACACCTCATCCCTCCATACCCCTTGTCTCCCCCCCCCCCCCACCCACATCATCCCCACCCCACCAGTTCCCATCCGCATTGACTGTGGAGGCACGGCTCCCACCACTATTAACGGGATCCAATGGCAAGCTGATCAGTACTTCGATATAAGCACATCTGGTAACCAGCGCAAGAACCCCACAGACCAGCGTAACGGGTTACCAGTTTCCCTCACCGAAAACGTCGCCCTGGGGAATCTTTTATCCTCAGTAGAAGCTTCTCTCCGTTATTTCCCAACATTAAAAGGCTGCTACAGGGTTCCCGTTACACCCGGACGTTACTTAGTGCGAGTTGGTTATGCATATTATAACTACGATAACCAAAGTGCGCCACCGTTTTTTATGGTTAAGTTGCAAAACACTGAAGTGGAGACGGTGGATATGGCTGTAGTGGAGCAGAGGCTTGTGTCGGGGGCGTACTACTCTGACTATATGGCGTATGCTCCTGAGAAGATAGAACAGGGGGGGCGCAGAGGAGGCAAAGGGATGGCACCAGGAGCAAAGGGAGGAGCAGGAGGAGCGACAGAGGGAGTGGGGCAAGGACCATGGGGGGCAGGAGCAGCAGGAGCAGCAGGAGCAGCAGGAGCAGCAGGAGCAGCAGGAGCAGCAGGAGCAGCAGGAGCAGCAGGAGCAGCAGGAGCAGCAGGAGCAGCAGGAGCAGCAGGAGCAGCAGGAGCAGCAGGAGCAGCAGGAGCAGCAGGAGCAGCAGGAGCAGCAGGAGCAGCAGGAGCAGCAGGAGCAGCAGGAGCAGCAGGAGCAGCAGGAGGGGGCATAGGGAGGGGAGGTGATGGCGCTGCAGCACAACCAACCGACGGCACTGTAGCAAGTGCAAGAGTCAGCAAGGGAGCGAACAGAGCCAATGCAGCCAACGGAACCAACGGTACCAATGGTACCAATGGTACCATCTCGATCTGTTTCATAACTCAAGACCCCTCCCACGCCCCTCCCATCATCAACTCTCTAGAGATCCTCCCTGTTCACTCAGCAGCCTATGACGCTGCCGCCCTGGGCCAAGATATTATCCTCTCCTCGTACCTCCGGATCAACATGGGCGGCGGGCAGGTTGGGCCCGAGCCTGAGGACCCGGGGTTCCGAACCTGGATGGCGGATGTGGTCTGGGAGAAGGAGATGGCTAGGCTCGGGAGGGCAGGAGCAGGGAGGAGGAGAGGGAGAGGGAGGGGGAGAGGGATCGCTGGGACTCGAGAGGCACCTGAGTTTCTACCTGGTGCGATATTTGAAGACTGGAGGTCCCCAGGTGGGGTAGGGGTGCAAGGGGTAGATGGGAAGGGGCAGGGGCAAGAGGGGCAGGGTCGCAGGCTGCTGGTGTCTCAAGAGGCACCTGAGTTTCTACCTGGGGGAATATTTGAAGACTGGAGGTCGCCAGGTGGGGTAGGGGTGCAGCGGGTAGGCGAACAGAGGCAGGGGGAGGGAGAGGGGGAGGGGGGGGGGCAGGGGCATGGACATGGGCAATTGGGGCAGGGGCAAGGGGAGGGGCAAGGGGAGGGGCAAGAGGGGCAGCAAGACGGGCAGGGGCATTCTCGCAGGCAGCTCCATACACCGTTTGATCAGCGCTCCCATGAGCTGGTGTGCACCAAGTGCCCTACCTTGCTTCCCCTGCGGCTAACAGAAGCCGATGCACGTTGGAGCAACCACGGCCACACCACGGCTCTGCGGCACCGCCGGAAGCACTTGCTCCACGGCAGATCGCTTATAGGACCAGGCACCCCCCCAGGCACAGCAGGAGCAGCAGGAGCAGCAGGCACAACAACTCCCCCTCCCCCAGGCATTCCAGTCACAGGGTTCCGAATGGCGCTCATCCCAGTGGACCCCTCCAACCTCTGGTACATCCGCTTCTACTTCGCTGAGATGAATGGGAGCGCGCAGGTGGGCGACCGGCGCTTTGACATCCTCCTGGGGAGTGGGAGTAGGGTTGCGACTGTGGGGAACAGGGTGGGGCTGCTGGGAGGGGGAGGAGGGGGGGGCAATGGGCCTGCTGCTGGTGGAAATGCTGCTGGCGCTGCTGGCTCTGATGTTTCTGCTGGTGTTGGGTTAGGAACATCAGGGGCGGCAGCAGGGGCGGGAGCAGGGGCGGGAGCAGACGCAGGTCGTTCTGGCGTTAATGGAAACAGCAGCAGCAACAGCAGCAGCGGAGCATCGTCAGCATCGTCAGCATCGTCAGCATCAGAGTTTGACATTCTGACGCACGTGCCGCCCCGCACGGCTCTCATCGTCCCTCTCCTCTTCAACTTCTCCCGTTTCTCCCGCGGCCGCACAGAGGACCTCGAGGTGAGGGCTGTTTCGCCTCCACTTGTGCTGTTTGTTGACTTCTGAATTCAAAGCTGCCTCTTGAGGTGCTTGACTCCTTCTCAACCTCTCCTCTTCAACTTCTCTCGCTTTTCCCGCGGCCGCACAGAGGACCTCGAGGTGAGGGCTGTATGGCTTTACTTGTGCTCTTTGGGGTGAAGGATTGATTGAGTGGTTGAGGAACCCAGTTCGCCCCGCACGGCTCTCATCATTCCCCTCCTCTTCAACTTCTCCCGGTTTTCCTGCGGCCGCACGGAGGACCACGAGGTGAGTGTACAAAAAACATGAGCTTGTAAGCTCTGCTGCTGGGTAAAGTCAGTAGCCTACTCTTCAACTTCTCCCGCTTCTCCCGCAGCCGAACAGAGGACCTCGAGGTGAGGGCTGTTGCTTGGGGTGAAAGAGTGAGAAGTGAGTCAGGAACCCAGTTCTCTGTGCACCTCTCTCATCGCTCCTCTCCTCTCCCGCTTCACCTGCGGCCGCACAGACGACCTCGAGGTGAGGGCTGTTGCTTGGGGTGAAAGAGTGGTTGAGGAACCCAGTTCGCCCCGCACGGCTCTCATCATTCCTCTCCTCTTCAACCTCTCCCGCTTCTCCCGCTTCTCCCGCGGACGCACGGAGGACCTCGACGTAAGAGTTTCTTCATCCCAGCTCAATGGGCTACGTGGTTACCGTTGATGGGTTGAGGCACCTCTTGCACCCATGCAGTACGGGGGTGTTATGTGATAAATAATACAGGACTGTGCCTGTAGTACGCGGGTGGTATGTGCTAAATATTACAGGACTGTGCCAGTAGTAAGCTAAATCATACGGCTGAACAATCTTAGTGCATGGAATGAGTCAAGCCGTATGATGATAGGCGATAAGGTGACTCAGCCAATCGCTCTCCTCCCTCCCCTCGGCCAGGTAGGCGTGCGCACAGCGGCCAATAGCACGCTGCCAGCTGTCCTGAGTGCGGTGGAGCTGTTTGAAGTGGTGCCGCTGTCTCACGAGGAGGAGGAGGAGGAGCCAGAAGAGGAGGTGGTGGTAGTGGCAGGAGGAGGAGGGGGGGCGAAGGGATTGGGAGGAGCAGCGGCTGTAAGCGCACAAGGGGCACCGCTGCCCAGCACAAGTGGTGTTGGGACCAGCACAGGTGAGTCGATTGAGAGGGAAGAGGGGGAGCAAGAAGAGGAGGTGGTGGTAGTGGCAGGAGGTGGCGGGATCCGGAGGGTTGAATGCGCATGGAGAAGGAGTGACATTCAGCATACGTGGTACTGGGACCAGTGCAGGTGAGTGGAGTGAGAGGGAAGAGGGGGAGAACGAAGAGGAGGTGGCGATAGCAGGAGGTGGGGATGTCTGGAGGGTCGAATGCGCAAGGAGAAGGAGCGGCATCCAGCATTAGTGGTACTGGGACCAGTGCAGGTGAGTCGACTGACAGCGCCGGACAGTTGGGGGATTTGGAGGGACTGTGGAGGCGCCTCAAAAGTCGACAGTGGGGGGATTTGGAGGGTCGAATGCGCAAGGAGAAGGAGCGGCATCCAGCATTAGTGGTACTGGGATAGCGCCAGACAGTGGGGGGATTTGGAGGGTCGAATGCGGTCGGGACAGTCGGGGCGGAAGGAGGGGGAGCAGCAGTATGATCGGGAGCCACATCCATCCAAAGCAGTGTCCATCCAAAGCAACATCCTTCTAAGCCAACATCCATCAAAAGCAACATCCTTCTAAGCCAACATCCATCAAAAGCAACATCCTTCTAAGCCAACATCCATCAAAAGCAACATCCTTCTAAGCCAACATCCATCAAAAGCAACATCCTTCTAAGCCAACATCCATCAAAAGCAACATCCTTCTAAGCCAACATCCATCAAAAGCAACATCCTTCTAAGCCAACATCCATCAAAAGCAACATCCTTCTAAGCCAACATCCATCAAAAGCAACATCCTTCTAAGCCAACATCCATCAAAAGCAACATCCTCCTAAGCCAACATCCATCCAAAGCAACATCCTTCTAAGCCAACATCCATCAAAAGCAACATCCTTCTAAGCCAACATCCATCAAAAGCAACATCCTTCTAAGCCAACATCCATCAAAAGCAACATCCTTCTAAGCCAACATCCATCCAAAGCAACATCCTTCTAAGCCAACATCCATCAAAAGCAACATCCGTCCAGCAAAGGTAAGAGATTCTGGGACCAGAGCTGGTGAGTTGACCGACGACGAAGCAGGATGCTCGAGTGCTTACCTTGTAGTTCTGTCCAATTCTCAGCATGCTTTCTATTTTCAGCATTCTTTCTACTTTTGCCTGTATACTAGCCCTCATGTTCTTCTATATGGTAAATACTGCTTGTGCTGTGCGCTCGTTCTTCCTGCTTCTGTGCCCCCTTTACAGGAACGCCTGTTTGGGTGATAGTGATCATTGCAGTGGGGAGTGCCCTTGTGCTACTTATATTGGTGCTCGCCACTTGCTGGTTTTTGCGTGGCCATCACAGATTCAAACGCTTAGGTATGTGCCTTACGACTATTCCAAGCTACGTGTCTACACCTTTCCAAGAGCCTGACATTAATGTGCTAATATGGTGTATGTTTGTTTGTGGTGTTTCGTTTCTCTGTGTAAATGGTTGCAGAAGATGAAGCTTGATGCCATCAGAATGGGATTTGTTATTATTAAATCAATCATACAAATTAGTATCAAAATCGCACTTCCTGTTATAGGAGCTCATTTACATGCTCCTATCATATTTGATTCATGTACGCGCTCCCATAAAGCTAACTTCACTTTGATCAAGTTATATCTTTGTTGATAGCCAGTTGTTCAAGATGGCTTGAGTGTGGGATTTGTACGCGCCAATGGCTTACGAGCCGTTGTTGACTTTGCTGAGCTGCGCGTTTGGCTTGTGCTAGGCTTTTGGCGGGAAAAAATCAGCACACATTTCGCGTCTCAAAATGCCGTGTCGGCCAACGCTGACAAGAACAAACCGCACTGATGGCTCGGCGAAGGAACGTGAGGGACTTGGAGAAGCGCCCTGCGACAAACGAGCGTTCGCGACAGCCACGAGCGTCAGCAAGCAGTCGCAGCTTGATCTACCCATTTCGTCAAAGCACACGTGGTCCCCACAGCAATCTTTCTCGACAAATCTGTACCGTAGATATTGAATTTCCAGCCGTCCGATCAGTCAACCAGGACTTCGCGCCAACCCTTCGCCGTTCCTCCAAATTGCTCTAGTTTCGCAACAGTCGCCTTGCCCAACCCCATTATCTTGCCCCAAGTTGCGCTTTGCTCGTCGCTGTTATCGAAACCTTCCCCTGCTGTGTGGGGATGACAACACCAAGGGAAACAAAATTCTGTGGCAGGGAGGTTGCCTCGTTTGCCTGACGCCAAAAAATCGATGACACGGATGTCTTGTTGTTGTGAGGTAGTCTGCCATTATGTGTCGTATTGTCTCTTTCTTGCTCGACTTTCGCTGTTCTGGTAGTTCCGTGTGCTTGAGCGTCTCTCGTGAATCTGCTGATAGACGCTGGGTTCCTAATGCCGTGCTACACAGCTGTTCTCGCACGGAGCAGCATGCCCGCGTTGTGCGTATAACGAAAGGCTTTTCCACTTCAAATAGGTTTAAAATCCTAGGAGGATGTTCATCGTAGCGGACAGGAGAGGCGCTCTGACCAAGGAGCAGACGCTAGAGTCGATATTCGATTTTATTCCAGGAAATTCCGTAGGTTCGGCACCACCGCGAGGCTCGGCACCACCGCGAGGTTCGGCGCCGCCAAGAAGACACACAACAGGCCATGGCTCCTCCTCCGCCTCCTCTTCCTCCTCTTTATCATCCTCTTCAGCCTCCGCTTCAACCTCCTCGCCACCCACCAGCGTTCCGCACTCCACTTCCCGTACATTCTCACTCCCCCAGCTCCCCACTCCAACCCTAGATTCACCCCCCGCGGTCTCCACGAATTCCGCTCAGACCGTCAGAAATCCCGTTCCAGCCTTAACGGATTCCGTCCCCAACTCGACAGATTCCGTCCTGACCTGTGCAGAACCGCTTCGCACCTCTTTTGACTCCTTTCTCATACATGCATCCAACCCTGGCACAGCACACGCCGATACGACCGGTATCCATCAACACACACCCGAGTCGCAGGAACGAGCATCATCATCTCCAGACTCGGCCGATTCGGGTTCCTTCAAGTTTCAAATCTCACCATCGCTTTCCGGCGTCCAGCATTTACAATCTCCAAGCCTCAACTCAGCAGCAATCGAGGTCATCCCGTCACCCGCTCCCTTCGGACCCGACGCGTCCGCTCGGTTCGGCCCGTTCCTACCTCCCCCTGTCGAGCTCGGTCCTGCCGTGACCATCCTCGGGCTCTCCAGGTCGCGCTCTTCCCCTGCGAAGTGCGAAACGGATTGCGTAGCGATTCGTGAAGCGGTTGCGACAGCTGGCGAAAGCGGCGAAGCTGTCGCTGAGCCGAGCAAGGTCGCAGAGCCTCAGATGTCTGGTAGTAGCAAACAGGGCGGCCGGGCGGCAGCGGTTTCGCACATGTCAGGAGATTCGCCGTTAGTACGAGCGCAGTCGTCAGGGCCCAGCGGTGGATCGTCGCAGCCGTCGCGAAACACCGCCTCCTCAGCGCTGCCCGAGTCGCTTGCAAGCGGTCAAGCCGGTGGTATCTTTCGAGTCTCCTCTCCGCCGCGAGTGGCGCCGCAAGGCCCGGTGGTTCCGGATATCGAGAGCCCTTGTACGGGAACGACCAGCATTCCGGCATCCTCGCTACAGCACGACCCGATTGGAGCCTCGGATCCTTCGCCTTCTTGCGTGCATTGTGGCGGGTTAGGCTCGGGGGAAGGAGTCGCGGGGATGAGGGACGGGGAGTGTGCGGGGAGGGGGGGGAGGGTTGGTAGGCGGTGCTGTGACGCTGCTAGGCGCAGATTGGACTGGGGGGAAGCGGCGCACCAGAGTTGCGCCAATGAGGGGCAAATCGGCGGAAAGGTTGCGGGCGGAATGGAGGAGGAGCGCGGAGAAGCGCGGACGCGGAGGCAGGCGGAGGGACCGGGGGAAGAGCAGGCGGCGGTATCCACGATCTCAGTGCGCGATAAGAAGCGGAAATCGGTCCACGTGGCAGCTCGTGAGGGGGACGTGGATGCGCTGCGGGACGCGCTAGCGGTCAGACCGAGCGCCGTGAACGAGCGCCAGCTGCCAGTAAGCGAACCTTGGAAACTGCAGACCTTATTACTCGCTATCCTTCCTATTTACTCTTCGTAGTGCCGGCTGTCAGACCGGGCGCCGTGAACGAGCGCCAGCTGCCAGTAAGCGAACCTTGGAAACTCCAGACCTTATTACTCGCTATCCTTCCTATTTACTCTTCGTAGTGCCGGCTGTCAGACCGGGCGCCCTGAACGAGCGCCAGCTGCCAGTAAGCGAACCTTGGAAACTCCAGACCTTATTACTCGCTATCCTTCCTATTTACTCTTCGTAGTGCTGGCTGTCAGACCGAGCGCCGTGAACGAGCGGCGGCTGCCAGTAAGCTTGATGATTTCTTGACATTCCTCGTCCTCCCCATCCCGAATCTTCAAATCTCCAAGCCTGACCACTCCCAATCCTTCCTAAATTTCCACACCTCCCGCTCACCACCCTCACCCCCCCTCTTCCCTCCATTCCCCTGTCGCCGAACCCTCAGGTGCGCCCGGACGTCTCCCCACCTCTTCATTCCGTTCCCATCCACCTCTTCATTTTGAGTTGTATTTTCGTTCCCAATCCTCTCCACTACCCCACGCCCCCCCCCCCCCCTCCCAGGTGTGTCAGACGCCTCTCCATCTCGCCGTGGCTGAGGGGCAGCTCGAAGCTCTCCGCTTTCTCCTGGACTGGAGGGGACAGTGCGGCGGAACGGAGCTGCGGGCGGATGTGGAAGCGCGGAATATGGTGAGCTGTTTAGATGAATGGTGAGCTGGCTTGATGCATGGCAAGGCAGTTAATCGTGGTACTGTCGTAAAAGCATGACGCTGAGGGCTGAGGGCAGCTCGAAGCTCTCCGCTTTCTCTTAGACTGGAGGGGACAGTGCGGCGGAACGGAGCTGCGGGTGGACGTGGAAGTGTGGAACATGATGAGCTTACAGCCATGATTGTTCCCAGGCGTGTCAGCTGTACTTTTGAGTCGACTCAAAAGGCATCTCATGGCAGCTCCCAGGTTTGTATGTCAGCTGTAGAGGCGTGAACCTCGAGGGCCTTCGCTGTAGAGGCGTGAACCTCGAGGGCCTTCGCTGTAGAGGCGTGAACCTCGAGGGCCTTCGCTTTCTCCTGGACCGGAGGGGGCAGTGCGGCGGAACGGAGCTGAGCGCAGAAGTGGAAGCGCGGAACATGGTGAGATGAGTTGAAATATCTTGGGGCTATTCACGGTCGGATTGCTGCTTTAACATTTTGCTGAGGGGCAGCTCGAGGTCCCAAGGGTAGCAATGTGGACGCCATTCATCTGCTTACCCATCACCTCCCCACCTACCCATCCCCCCTCCCCCCTTCTGTAGTTCGGTGTGACCTCTCTGCACGTGGCGGCCAAGAGCAGCAACGCGGAACCCCTCTTCCGTCTTTCCTCCTCGTCCTTTTCCCCCGCTTCCCCCTTAACCCCCGCTTCCCCCTTTTCCCCCGCTTCCCCCTTTTCCCCCCCTTCCCCCTTTTCCCCCGCTTCCCCCTTTTCCCCCACTTCCCCCTTTTCCCCCATTTCCCCCTTTTCCCCCACTTCCCCCTTTTCCCCCACTTCCCCCTTTTCCCCCACTTCCCCCTTTTCCCCCGCTTCCCCCTTTTCCCCCTCTTCCCCCACGCGGAACCCCGTCCTCACCCACCTCGAACCCCCAAACCCACACCCCTTGGCAGTTCGGCGAGACCCCTCTGCACGTGGCGGCCAAGAGCAGCAACGCGGACGCTATTCGGCTGCTGATACGAGCAAGCGCAAGGGCGGACGTTGCTGCCACGGTAAGCGCCCCCAGCCAGACCCACTTGGGGCTATCCTGTCATCCCCCGTTATCACACTGTCACCCTGCCATGCGTGCATCCCACTGCCATCCCCCCCATCACACTGCTGAGTCATGACCCATGGTGCTGCATTGCATCCTCCACCCATCATCCCATCCCGTCCCATCCCTCCCTCTCGACCATCCATCCATCCGCCCCTCCCCTTTCACGCCACCCTTTCAGCATGGCTCCTGTCCATCTAGCCGTGTGGGCTGCTGTCAGATGACTCCGTACTTTTCCCCCCATCCGCATCTCTCTTTACCCATCCGCATCTCTCTTTACCCATCCACATTTCCACCAGAACGGCATGACTCCTCTCCATCTCGCCGTGTGGGCCGCTGTCCAATCCGCGTCCAGCAGCGTTGCCGCGCACCCACCTGGCAAACCGCCGCCAGCAACAGCAGACCCGGCACCTGAACTGGCACCTGAGCCGTCACCTGACTTGGCAGCTAGTGCAGCGCCTGGATCGCCACTACCAGCGCACCAGCAGCACCTGAAGCAGCAAGCAGACCACTCACCAGCAGCAGCTCCACCTCTCTCCCCCTTCCCCTTCCCATCACCTCCGCTGCTCCACTCCCCAGGGGCACTCTCTCCTCGTCCTCTTTCCGCCCAACCACTTTCCCCAGAAGCCTTCTCCCCGCGTCCCCTCTCCCCCCAACCCTACCCCCCGCGACCGCTCTCCCCTGTCTCCTGTGGCCCCGCCTTCCCAACGTGCCCGCCACCTACTCCCACGTCGCCCACCTGCCTAGAATCCCTGCCTGCTGCTGCTGCTGCTTCTGGTGGCTCCTTCGCCTCTCCGGGTACTGCTGCTGGCTCCCTTGCCTCTCCTGCTGCTGCTGCTGTGGGAGTGGGGAGGGGTGGTGTTAGCAGGGAGTGTGGTGTGGTGGCGGCTGTGGCGGTGCTGCTAGAGGCCAATGCTGACCCGTGCGCTGTGGATAAGGTACGGTGCAGAGGGGTACGGGGGGATCAGGAAGTATACAGCGTATGTGTGGATGATAGGGTAAGGGGGTATGTGGTGTGTGGCGGTGTTTGCTTGAAGCCAGTGCTGACCCGTGTGCCGGCAATTAAGTGAGGGGGTAGTAGTATTGTGGGTTGTGCGGTGTGTGCTATTTGGCATCACTGGGGTGCGTTGAAAGCCATACCTCTTTGTTCCTCTTTGAGAATTCTAAAAAAATATATTTAAAAATCTCAAGAATTCTAAAAAATCACTGGGGTGTGTTGAAAGTCTTACTTCTTTGTTCCTCTTCCCCCTTCCCCCCCCCCCCTCCCCCCCCATTCACCCCCTAGCATCAGGATGGCAACACGCCCATGGCACTCTGCTTTCCAGCTGGCAGCACCCTCACCAGGATGGCTGCACGCTCATGGCATTGCTGCCGAGCCTATTTTTGAGGCGCCTAAAAAATACACTCCTCACGCATGGCTACACACGCTCATGGCACTGCTGCCGAGCTGTGTCACGCGGTGCAGTGTGTGTCATGCAGTGTGTGTCATGCAGTGTGCGGCAGGAGGTGCAGGCTGTGGTGACACGCGCTTGTGTCCCTCTCTCCGAAATGCCTCCCCTGTTCCAATTCCCCTCCCTAGTCCCCACCTTCCATCAGGACGGCAACACGCCCGTGGCTTTGCTTACCCGCCAGGCCATGCAGTGCAGAGCGGGTTGGGAGGTGCAGGTTCTTCTCACACGCTATCGTTCCTCTTCCCCTCCGTCGTCCCCAACCGCCATCAGGATGGCAACACGCCCATGGCGCTGCTGCCCAGCCGGGCCACGCTGTGCAGCATCTGCCGGGAGGTGCAGGCGCTGCTGCAGCGGCACATCAGCAGGAGGACACGGCTGCAGGTACGGTGGGGGGGGTTGCGCGTGAAATCATTTCCTTTACATATATTGTGGGTGCGTAGTTTGTTTGGAGATGCACACATGAGAGGTGCAGGCGCTGCTGCAGCGGCACATCAGCAGGAGGACGAGGCTGCAGGTACGACCCTGGGCGTGCCTCTGTATAGGGGGTACGTATGCATAGGTACGGGGTGTGGTGTATGGATGCACACACCGGCAGGTGCAGGCTCTGCTGCAGCGACACATCAGCAGGCGAACGGGGCTGAAGGTACGGTGTGGGTTTGCGTGTGAAACCAGTGCATGAACAAATTTTGTGGATTTTTTAGCCGACTAAAAAATCGACTCATTACACACGTGTGGTTTGTTCGGAGATGCACACATGGGGAGGTGTGAGCTCTGCTGCAGCGGCACATCAGCAGGCCGACGAGGCTGCAGATACGATCTGCATTCCTTCCGAATAAAAGCAGTGAATGATATGAATGTATGTGTGTGTGTTTTGCTCAAACACGCACACATGGGGGGAGGTGCAGGCTCTGCTGCAGGTCAGATTTGTTCGAATTCTCAAGAGGCTCTGCCGCATTCTGTTTTTGTGTTTTCTCCCCCCATTTCTCCAACGCATTCCAGGCTGAATTGGCTGTGCACGGAGCAAAGCTAGTAATGGATCAGCTTGAGAAGGAGTTATCCTCGTTAGTAGGCCTTCACTCGTTAAAGCAGCAGCTAAGGACATGGGGCAAGGGCCTACTACTAGACCAACGACGTCGGGCACTTGGTCTGCCTGTGCCTCCCCGTCGCGCCCCACACATGGCTTTTCTGGGCAGCCCGGGCACCGGAAAAACAACCGTGGCGCGGGTGCTTGCCCGGATGCTGGCACTGGTGGGTGTTTTACCCTTGAATAAAGTAGTAGAAGTCCAAAGGACGGACCTAGTGGGGGAGTATGTGGGGCATACGGGCCCAAAAACGAGGAAGAAAATCGAGGAAGCAGAGGGTGGTATCCTGTTTGTAGACGAGGCTTATAGGCTGATGCCGGCTCAGAGGAGCGAGGAAAAAGACTATGGGATAGAGGCTTTAGAAGAGATAATGACAGTTATGGATTCCGGGAAGCTGGTGGTGATATTCGCGGGGTATGCGGAGCCCATGCAGCGGGTTTTCCAGGCTAATGAGGGGTTTAAGCGGCGGGTTACTAAGTACTTCACTTTTGACGATCTGAGCCCGAGGGAGATTGCACGGGTGATGCTGCTGAAGATGGGGTGTGGTCAGGAGGAAAGGGGGGAGCAGATTGGTCAGGAGGAGCAGGGGAAGCGGGATGGAGTGGAGCAGCAGGTTCAGCAGAAGAGTAAGTTTGGGGGACAGGAGGAGGTGGAGGAGGGGAGGGGGGGTGGAGTGGAGAGGCAGACTCAGCAGAGGGAAGTGGGGTTTGGGGGACAAGTGGAGCCAACTCGGCAGCCGGAACAGGCTCAAGGGGAGATGAAGATTGGGGAGCAGATGGAAGGGGAGCGGCTTGACGAGCCGCGGGATCAACACGGAGAGTGTCGGGATGAGAGGCACGGGCAGGGAGATGGGCAGGTGGGATTGGAGACGGAAGGAGAGCGGAGGGGAGGTGAGGGGTATTCTAGAGGGGAGGAGTGCAGCAGCCTGCTGGATAGCAGGGCGCCATCTGACAGTAATGAGCACAGTCACTGTAGCAGTAATGGTTCTGCTTCCAATGCTGCCGTCCGCTGCAGCAGCGATGTGTCGGTAGGAGGGGGCGTGAGTTGCACTGCTGATCTCTTAGGAAAGCCGGCTGGTCTCTTGGAAAAGACACCTCAAGGAATGGAGGTGGGTGGGAGTGGTGCAGGAGGAGGGGAGAGCAGAGGAGAGGAAAGCAGAGGAGGCGCCGGTAGTGGCGGCAGCGATGCCGCTGGTAGTGGGAGTGGGAGCAAGGAGGGGAGTGAAACGGACGGTGGCACGTCTCCCCTTATTGGCTTCAGGTGAGTTTGAGTGACAGCTCGTATGGCTTCAGGTGAGGTCAATTGATCCTCTCTCGCACCCCCTGAGCTCATTCCCATCTTCCTCATTTTCCCATGCAACCTTTCCTCAGGCTCCACCCCTTGTGCTCGGAAGAGGCCCTGGCAGAGGCCATCACCACCGCCCACACGACAGCAAAGCAGCGCAAGGAGCGGAGCGGAGGCATGGCGGTGCCAGTGCTGCTGGATGCAAGGGAGTGACCACTCTCCACTTCTCGCGATTATCCTTCCCATTCAACTCCTCTTGCCCCCTCTCCCCCCTCCTCTTTCCCTTACCCCCTCCCAGGCTCCACCCGTTGTGCTCGGAAGTGGCCCTGGAAGAGGCCATCACCACCCACACGACAGCCAAGCAGCGCAAGGAGCGGAACGGAGGCATGGCGGTGCCAGTGCTGCTGGATGCAAGAGACCATCTGGATCTACGGCTGCCGTTGGACTGCTGCTGTGCGGAGGAGCTGATGACCATCCAGATGCAGGACATTGAGGCTGCCCTGGAGTTGCTGCCACCGTGATAGGTGAGAGGGGACGTGACGGAGGCAAGGAGGCATGGCGGTGCCAGTGCTGCTCGGGATGCCCGGGGGACCATCTGGATCTATGGCTACCCCTGGACTGCTACTGTGCGGAGGAGCTGATCTGATGACCATCCAGATGCGGCTGCGTTAGAGCTGCTGCCACCATGATCTGATGTGGGATTGGGGGGGGGAGAGGGGAGAGGGGAGAGGGGAGAGGGGTCTATGGGGGTCCATGGTGGTGAGGGTGCTGGAGGATGCATGCAGAAGGTCATCTGGACCTGAGACTGCCCATGGCCTTCTGCTAGGAGGAGGAGAGCTGATGACCTTTGGGTTGCTGCCACTGTGACATGGCGCATCGATGCATGTGGGTGGGATAGGGTGTATGTGCCCCCAAGGCTGCGCGTGGCTGGAATGCAAGGGAGGATGAGCTGATGACCAATTGGGATGCAGGAGGTTCACCCAGCGTTGGCGTTGCCGCGGCTCCCTGTGAAGTGGAGCAGTAGGGAGAGGGGACGTAGGAGGGCGAGGTGGCAAAGAGATTGACTAGACTGTAGGTGACATGAGAAGATGATTAGAGGGATCGTTTGAAACTTCGCATGTGGTGGTTACTTGGATAACTTGACGAGGAGGGTAGGGTTGTTAGGTGGCAGGTTGGGCTGGCCCTTAGGCGCAAACACTGACTCTTACTCGACTAGGAATGCATGCAAGTGGTAATAACGTGGTGATAGGTGTTGGGCTGAGAAATGCCCTTAGGATCTTTCCAGAGACTAAGTCCCAGTTGTAAAAGACTTGAGTAGTGCAGCGGAAGTTGAGTAGTTGAACCCTTGTACTAGTATATGAGAACAAGTGATTGATTAAAAGAAACAAGCATACAGGAATATATCGAAAGTAGGAAACTAAAGCAGTTGTAGAATACAGTTAAAGGATCCGTTTCTCGAGTCGCACAGTGACTCGATTGACGGTTCTGTTACCATCCTTGCAGTTGTAACGGTCAGTCGCAACCTCCGGATGCGACTCTTCGTGTCCATTCGTGTTCTTTGTCCGCCCCTTCGTGTATCCTACGTTGACTCGCGTACCCGTTATGACTTTCCTCAAGTGTAGTGTTTACACTTCAGAAACGCTTAAGTCTTTTAGATATTTCCAACACTCCCCTTCGTTTCTGGAGTGCTGACGTGTCTTGATTCGGCGACGTTTATCTGCCCGGTCAGTAGCATGCAGTGGTCGAACTTTGCTTTCGCCAGTTTCTTCGTCAGGTAGTATGCGGCCATTTCTGTTGTAGGGCAGTAACTGAGTTGAAGTCTCCCCTTCGCGATTTCATCTTTGACGAAGAAGTATCGCAGGGCGATGTGCTTGGTTCGGTTGGCGAAGCCGTCTTTGTTCGCGATTTTGATCGCAGATTGGTTGTCGCAGAGGAGTGAGAAGGTGGGCAGGGTCGCAATCTTGGCTTCCTCGAGCAACTCTCGCAGGTAAAGTCCTTCCTTGGTCGCAGTGCAGAGTGCGATATATTATGCTTCAGCCGAAGATAGTGCGATTAGTTCCTGTTTGCTCGACTGCCAGGAGATAGTCCCGATAGGTTCCAGTCGGTAGATGTAGCCCGTTCTCGATCGTCGATTTTCCCTGTCTCCCGCGTGGTCGGCGTCGACGTATCCGAGTAGTTGTACGGACGATGTTGTTGCTTTACTGTAGGTCAGTCCGGTCGTCGGCGTAGAGACGAAGTAGAGTAGTGCCCGATTTAATTCCTCGAGATCTTCTTGTTCCGGCTGTTTTAGATGCGTCGCTAGTTGGCTCGCGCTGTAGGATAGGTCAGGTCGACAGGTTACTGCTGCGAATAGCAGGCAGCCGAGCTTCTGCTGATACTCCTGGATTTGCTTCGTGGGGAGTTTTGCGGAGGTGTCGTTGTTGTTCCCGTAGCGGTAGGGAGTCGCGACTGTAGTTGGTGTTAGTCCGAAATTCTTTGCGACGACGCCTGCGTATTTTCCAGCATATAAGTAGAACGCCGAGTTGTCTTCGACGACGTTCAGACCCAGGTACTGGGTTACGGTGTCTGACACCGTGAGTGTCAAGTCTCTTTTTAGCTCCCCTTCGAACCAGGTGGCGATGTCAGTAGTGGAGCCGATGTAGAGCAGGTCGTCGACGTAGACGATGAGTAGAATGAATTCCCTTCCTTTCTGTAGTCGGTACATGCCTTGGTCGTGCGGCAGTTGTAGGAATCCGATTCCGACGAGGCGACCGTGAAGGTGCTGCTGCCAAAGACGCGGGGCTTGCTTGATCCCGTAAAGGGATTTTATCAGCTGGCATACTTTTGTGGGGTCGTCGATGAATCCATGGGGCTGCTCGACGAAGATCTCGGCGTCCACATGTGCGTACAGGAAAGCATTTGCGACGTCGATTTGGCGCAGTGGTAGTTTCTTCGTGGCCGCGACGGCGAGTAGGATGCGCAAGGAGGTGTGACGGGAGACTGGGGCGAATGTTTCTGTGTAGTCGGTTCCGCATCGTTGATCGAAGCCTCGTACGACCCATCGAGCTTTGAATCGTTCGATGGAGACGTCCGCATTGGTCTTGATACGGTACACCCATTTTCCCGAGAGAACGTTCTTCCCGTTGACGTTCGTTGCAGGTACCAGCTTCCATGTATTTTGGTCTTGCAAGGCTTTTAGTTCCTTTTCCATTGCCTCCTTCCATTTCGTCTTATGTTCCCCCCCCAGAGCCTACGACAGAGTCGTTGGCTCGCGCGGAGATGGCGGCGGCGGGTGCTGGACGGAGACCCATAAGCCGAGGATTTGCAGTCCCGTGGGTGTGTGTCGAGGGGAATTTTCATTCCCGGAATAGGCTGCTTCGTCACCATCTTCTGGATCAGGTAAGAAGTTGGGGCCGATGCGTTCTGAGATATTCGTGTCGACCGGGTGAGGTGTAGCGTAACCTTGGTCAGCGAAGTGGTAGAGGGTGTCGAGGTTGTTGCTATCGAGAGGATTGTCTTCGTCGAGTGGAACAGGTACGGAGCAGTAAGGGAGTGGTCCGGCAGCTTCCGAAGCTCCAGGTACGTCTTCTTCTGCTGCGTCAACCTCGGCAGCACGGTCAGCGAAGGAGCGAAGGCCTGTGACACCGTCGATGGGGTCATCTGTGTTGGCGACGTTGTCCAGGTAATGCTGCAGCGTCAGTCGTTCGTAGAAGATCACATCACGTGATGCCACGGTATTTTTGTCTTGTATGTCGAGGATTTTCCATGCTTGAAAATGTTCGGCGATGCCGAGGTGTAGTCCCCATCGTGCTCGTTGAGTGAAGCGTCCTGCTCTGGCTGTGTGGGGTCTGTATTTTACCATGCAGCCCAAAACCCGTAGTAATTTTGTGCTGCCCCTTTTTCTTGTCCACAGCAGGTGCGGTGATGCGTTGTTGGGAAGCGATGACGAGGATAGCAGGTTGAGCAGGTGGACTGCATGGGTCATCGCGTCTGGCCACAGTGCGTTGGGCAGTCTCATCCCTAGGAGTAGCTTCCGCATCGTCGTCTGCAAGGTCCGGTTCATTCTTTCTGCGACCCCCTGCTGCTGGTGTGCGTAGGGCAGAAATACCAAGCTTCTGATTCCTCTTTCCGCCAAGTAGGCCCTGAAGCGTTGTGATTGGTATTCGAGTGCGCCGTCTGACTGGAAGCTTTTGAGCTTCGTTCCTGATTCTCGTTCAGCGATGGGAAGCCACGTCTTGAAGGTTTCGAAGGCTTGGTCTCTTGTCTTGAGGTTGTAGTGCCAGACATATCTTGTGGCTGCATCGATGAACGTTATGACATAGTTGAAGTCGGCTTCAGTGTCGTCTCGAGGCATGTTTAAGATGTCGCTGTAAACCTTTTCCACCGGTGCGTATGCAGGTGCGCTTGGATTGTGATGTGACGGAAAAGGTTTGTGCTGAAGGTCTGCTTCGGGGCATGTGAAGCACCGTGCGCGAGGTCGTCAAAGTTCTTGTCCGCTTGTTGTAAGGAGAGCGTTTCGTTCTAACACTTCGGCTTGGATGGTTTGTAGTACCGTGCTATTTGCAGGATGGCCAAGGCGTTGGTGCCAGATGTCGTCGGAGGCGCGATGACCGGGCGAGCGTTGGTATATGTCGGTGTTGGAGAAGAACGCGACGACTGTGGCGGGACTTCGACAGACTTCTCGTGTGATGGGCATAAGTTGATCTGCTTCGGTTGGTGGTCCTCGGACCGTTGGTGGTGGTGCTCGGTTGGGTCCTGCTGCTGCTGCTGCTGCATGTGATGGTTGGGAAGGGACGCTTGCTGGTACTTGTCTTTCTTGTCTGATGACTGCTAATGCTCGTGTTCTCTCTGCTGCAGGTATGGTGTTGGAGTACCAGAATCCGTCGGGGTTGAAGTCGGGGTCAAGATCCGGTGGGTGCGTCCAGGCTGCGAACGACACGATGCCATCGCTGTCGGCAGTACCGCGGTCGGGGACGAAGTCCAACACGAAGACGCCGGACTTCAGGAGAGCTCGACCGATGAAGAGATCGCCCTTCCCGTGGTAAAGACGAAATTCGTTGGAGTCCGAGTCGCACTCCAGGTGAATCCCTTTTGCCATTAACTGGCTGACGCTGAGGAAGTTGTATCGCAGATTGTCGACGATGAGAACTTTGTTGTTTTGTAGTATAACGTTTGTTTCTATGGACTGTAACTGAACCACTCCTTGTCTTTTTGTTTTCAGGTTCTCGTTGTTGGCGACGGTGATGATGACGTCGCGATTGAGGCGCCGCTCTCACTGCACGAAGCGCCCGGAGGAGCACATGTGTTGACCGCAGCAGCTATCCAAGAACCAGGTGTTTCGTCCGGTGGGTTCGGCGTTGGCGACTGCAGCGTATGTCGGGTTGACCTGAAGTCCTTGTGAGCGCGGCGGCGGCAGTTCCTCTTCGTCTGGAGCGTAAGTGGGTGGTGATCCGGGTGTGCAGCTGTCGATGTGTATCATGCAGTTGATGATGTCCGGTGTACTTTGCGCAGATGTGGAGGAGCGCCTTGGCGGGCTTTCTTGAGTGGAAGCGACTTGTGGGTCTACTGGACGATAAGCTCGGGGACGTGTGCAGTTGACTTTGGAGTGTCCGGATGTTTGGCAGTTGTGGCAGAACGGCGGCACAATGGTGAGTCCTCTGTTGTCGCGTTGTTCTTGCTTCCCGCGTCGATTGTAGTTGTTGTCGTTCCTTCGTTGAGTGTAGAAGACTAATGGTTGCTGCTTTCTTGGTTGTCTTTCTTCAAACAGGTCCATCTCCTGTTGTTCATCATGAAGCTCGACGCAGAGGTGCATCTCCGAGATTCGTCCGTGGGCGCGAAGGAGCGAGCGGGTGGTTCTCCATTCTGGCCCGAGCCCAGCGAGGACAAGCGTCACGAAGCTTTCTTCAGTGATTGTTCCTCCGCACCGAAGCAGGCGGTCGCGGAGTGTCTGGCATCGACTCATATACTGTATCGCCTTTTCTCCGGTCTTCATCTGTATTGTTGTCAGTTGCTGCATGAGTCTGCTTTGTGTCACGCTGTCGTTTTTGCTTGATAGAGACACTAGAGGTGATGCCATGCGAGTTCCGCGGAGTTTCCATAGCTTCGATACGTTCTGATGCTTTGCTGCTCTTGTGGTGACAGGTTTCGCAGGAGGACTATGTACGCCAGCAGCGACTGATACGTAAAGATTTCTTGGTCTTTCGCAGTGCCGTTGCTTGGGAATGGCAGGGACCCGTTGAAGTATCCCAAGAGATGCGTAGCCTCTATCAGCAGCTCGAACTCAAAGCTCCAGGTAAAGAACTCGTGTCCGTTCAACGGTGAGGATGTCTGCAGTTTGATCACGTGCGAAAACTGCGCCTGGAGACTCAAAATCTCGTTTGGTGTCTGTTGTGATGCAGCTGCTGTTGGTTGGGCACGGGGCGGCATGAACTCGATCGTCCCCGGTGAAGAGTGATAAGGCGCAAAGGTAGGCGCTTGATTGTGTCGCCCGAATGATGAGTTGTCGAGGCTCATCGGCGCTAATCCCATGTTTCCTCCGTTGCTCTGTGTTGAATGCGCAGGTGTCCTTGTCTGCTGCTGTTGGTCGAAGTGCGACATGAAGCTGAAGAACCTTTCCATAAGGTTTGGATCCACGCTTGAAGAGGGTGATGGGGTCACCATTTCCGGTGCTCTTCTTGTTGTTTCTTGAGCAGCGCCGGTCTCGGTTTGTAGTCCTGAAGTGTGCAATCCAGAGTTGCCGGGTTGAGTGTCTTGGGTGCTGGGAAAGCTCGTGGAGATTTTCTTGCCCTTGCTGTCCATGACTTGTAATCAATGAAGTCGTTGAATTGCAAATTGTAGATAGCGTGTAGTGTTCAAATTATATAAGTTATAATTTATATAGGCTTGGTAGGCTGTTACTGAACCTTTTCTGTAGAGGGTACAAACCCCTCCTTGTACTCCTCTCTCTTCCTAATCCAACCCTCTTTTCTCTCGACACTTTTCCTACCCTCCTAGCTAAACCCCGCCGCCACATTCATGGCGCCTTCTTCCTGCCTAGTATCCTAGCCTAGAGCTACTTAAACATGGTATCAGAGCAGGACGTCCTTCCTGGGCCTGCTCCCCTCCGTGCTTCCGCTGTGTTCTCGTTTACTGCCTTCCGACTTCCTGCCGTGCCGCCGTGGCGGCCATGCCCGTTCCTGCCGTGCCGCCGCGTCGTGACGCGTGGCGTCGACGCCACACTGCTGTGACGGCGCCGTGCTTACCATCGCAGCGGCGACGTCCCACCGCTGCATCGACGCCGCGATGTGTCGGCGTCGTAATGCTGCCGTGGCAGCGTCGTCGGACGGCAGCTTGCCGCGCGACGTTCATGGCGCTGCCACACCTGCTGCCCGCACGCCAGCCTCAAGCGTGAGGCTGGACCACGCCCCGCCCCCCTTCCCCTGTGTCCTGTATCTTGCCGCAGCTGACGGCTGATTCCCGCCGGCCGTCCCACCCTCGCGGGGTCTAGCCACGTCACCGAGAGGTGCGGGTGCCGCCGCCGCCGCCGCTGTTGTCGAAGCCGCCGCCGCCGCCGCTGTCGCCGCTTGCGTCGGGGCCACGCAGCCGCACGCCGCCGCCGCCGCCGCTGTCGACACTGCCGCCGCTGCCGCCGTCGCCGCCGCAGCCCCTGCGGTCGACGTCGCCGCCTCACGCACCGTGGGGTCGACCGACCTAGTGCCGCTGTCACTGTGGCTGGAATGGGGGTGCTAGGTTAGGGGGTGTGTGGTGTGTTGGGTGGGTGTGTGACTACCAAGCCTAGGGGGTGTGTTCAAATGATATAAGTTATAATTTATATAGGCTTGGTAGGCTGTTACTGAACCTTTTCTGTAGAGGGTACAAACCCCTCCTTGTACTCCTCTCTCTTCCTAATCCAACCATCTTTTCTCTCGACACTTTTCCTACCCTCCTAGCTAAACCCCGCCGCCACATTCATGGTGCCTTGTTCCTGCCTAGTATCCTAGCCTAGAGCTACTTAAACATGTAGTTGCTGGGAGTTTGGTCTCTGACTAGCTCTCATACCATGTTGGGCTGAGAAATGCCCTTAGGATCTTTCCAGAGACTAAGTCCCAGTTGTAAAAGACTTGAGTAGTGCAGCGGAAGTTGAGTAGTTGAACCCTTGTACTAGTATATGAGAACAAGTGATTGATTAAAAGAAACAAGCATACAAGAATATATCGAAAGTAGGAAAGTAAAGCAGTTGTAGAATACAGTTAAATGATCGGTTTCTCGAGTCGCACAGCGACTCGATTGACGGTTCTGTTTGTCAGAAACTAGCTTAGCTAGGAAGCCATAGAATGGCACAAGGTTTAGCTAGGAGCTAGGAGGAGCCATGAGAATGGCGAGAGGTTTTAGGTGCTAGGAAAGTTGAGAAGAGAAAAGGGGTTGGATTAGAAGAGAGGGGAGTACAAGGAGGGGTTTGTACCCCCTACAGAAAGGTTCAGTAACAACCTACCAAGCCTATATTAAATTATAACTTATATAATTTGAACACACCCCCTAGGCTTGGTAGTCACATGCCCACACACACCCACACCCCCTAACCTAGCACCCCCATTCCAGCCACAGTGACAGCGACTCTAGGTCGGTCGACCCCACGGCGCGTGAGGCGGCGACGTCGACCGCAGGGGCTGCGGCGGCGACGGCGGCAGCGGCGGCAGTGTCGACAGCGGCGGCGGCGGCGGCGTGCGGCTGCGTGGCCCCGACGCAAGCGGCGACAGCGGCGGCGGCGGCGGCTTCGACAACAGTGGCAGCGGCGGCGGCACCCGCACCTCTCGGTGACGTGGCCAGGCCCCGCGACGGTGGGACGGCCGGCGGGAGTCAGCCGTCGTCTGCGGAATGGAAGAGGGCACAAGGGAAGGAGGGGGGTGGGGGGGGGGGGGGCGCCACAGGCTGACATGCGGGCGGCCGGTCTAGCGGCGCCACAAGCGTCACGCGGCCGGCTGCAGCCCGACGACGCCGTCATGGAGCGGCGTCGATGCCGCAGCGGGGCGTCGACGTTGCGACGGCAGCACGACGTCGCCGTTACGCCGACCGCGCGCTGTCGCGTAGACGCCGCGGCAGCGTGACGGCGCCGTCACGTCGCGACAGCATCTTGACGCGACGGCGGAGCTGCGGCACGACGGCGCGGCCACAGCAGCTGGACGCGGGCGCCATGGACGTCGACGGCGGCGCCGCGGCACGACGACGCGGCCACAGCAGCTTGACGCGGCCGCCATGGCAGCGCGAGATAGAGAGAGAAACGAGCACGCAGCGGAAACGCGAGGAGCAGGCCCACGCGGAACGAACTGCTCTGATACCATGTCAGAAACTAGCTTAGCTAGGAAGCCATAGAATGGCACAAGGTTTAGCTAGGAGCTAGGAGGAGCCATGAGAATGGCGAGAGGTTTTAGGTGCTAGGAAAGTTGAGAAGAGAAAAGGGGTTGGATTAGAAGAGAGGGGAGTACAAGGAGGGGTTTGTACCCCCTACAGAAAGGTTCAGTAACAACCTACCAAGCCTATATTAAATTATAACTTATATAATTTGAACACTGTTACCATCCTTGCAGTTGTAACGGTCAGTCGCAACCTCCGGATGCGACTCTTCGTGTCCATTTGTGTTCTTTGTCCGCCCCTTCGTGTAACCTCCGTTGACTCGCGTACCCGTTATGACTTTCCTCAAGTGTAGTGTTTACACTTCAGAAATGCTTAAGTCTTTGAGATATTTCCAACAATAGGCTCTTGAGAAACTGTCATTTGCATTCGTTTTGATTCATTCATAATCGTATTTCCTCGTTGATACCATAAACACCGATTGTTGGTTGGTTAGTTTGATGGTAGTAACATAATGTGTTTTGGAGCAAGGAAGCTTTTGCGTGTCAGAACGAAGCTGAAGTTCCACTCTTGTCTGTAAATCGAGTTTCTCCTGAGGCGGTGCAGAAAACGCCCCTCTTATTTGGGAAATAATCAATAAGGGTCCTCACCCTGCCAGAGGCGTGAGCAAAAAATGTCCGGCAGCTTTCTGCCGCGAGACCTTGTCTCCGAACCTGTGATACATCGCCTTCGTCGTACAATACGTAAATATTTTTGGTTCGCGACACAGCTCAGGTTTGTGGGGCGCGTCGTTTCCTGACCCTGTGAGGTGGGACATTTATACGAACAGTGTTTTAGGGCATTAAAAAATAAACTAAAACCCGAGGGCTCTCACATGCGACTCCGGGTGGCATCAACCCTAAAATCGCAAGAGAGCTGCATGTTTAGGGTTGATTCCATCTCGAACGGAATTCGGTCCCAAATGGGTTTTATGTTTTTGCCTTTTCGCTGATAAACGTTTACTGGGAAGTACTACAAATAAAACGGAGTGTATTACAGGTTCGGAGGTAGACGGACCTTTTTTGCTCACACCCCTGGCAGAGCGAGGACCCTTTCTGATCATTTCCCCTCTAATTTCAGGCAGTGCCCTGCGTCCACGACAGTAGGCTGCCTAAACTGCTGACGTGGCCAGGTGAGGGCCAAGGGCATCCACAGTGCTTATCGGCACATTGGGAATTCCGATAAGCTGCTATTGGTCACACTTTCCGTCTCGCACCGCATGAGAAAGCCCACCGACCATCACATCATGCGAAGGGCTCGCGACTGCTTGGCGAATTTCGCGAACGCAATCAACGTTCAGGATTCGGTCGAGTCAAGTAATGGCTGTAAGCGACGTATTCAACAATGTGCGACTACCCTGGGCGCCGCCGCCTTATCGAGCCGCTCGTATCAACGTCTCGCAGCGCGAGATTCGTTCATTCACCCATCAAGAAAAGGAAGCAGAGGGGAGCGGAAAAGCAGCAACAGGTGCTCAACTCGAACGTCGAACCGGCGCTGGAGCAGCCTACAAATAGCGCCCCTTTTTCATTTTCTTGCATCGAGATTTTTCCTGATCGAACTCTATAGTCGGCTAGTTACTAGCACCTCTCGCTGCTCTCGTCTTTTATTCGAGTAGCTTGCAAGTCGACGCCATGGGTCGTCTTCGCGCGATCGTGGCTCTCTGTTCGCTCGCCATTCTTCTGGCTGTCGCGACTTCCGCAAGCGCCGCTCGCGCTGATCCCGCGAACTCCATTGACGCAATCGAAGGTGAGTGTTCGGGAAACCGATCATCGGAAGCTGGTGCACGCCTTGCCACTCCCTTTGAGCTTGATTTCACTCGCTTACAGTATCGTTTGGCTTGCACTCTTCCGTGCAGGCGGCATTTCGGGAGACGTGGCCGCTGCTGCGACCCCTGAGCAGTCCGCCGCGAGGAGGGACCTGAGCGAGGACCATCATCACGAGGAGCACCACCATGACGAGCATCATCACGAGGAGCACCACCACAAGAAGCATGAGGAGCACAAGAAAGAACACCACAAGAAGAAGGAGGAGCACCACAAGAAGAAGGAAGACCACCACCACGAGGACAAGCCCAAGCCGAAGCTGACATGCATGGAGAAGTACCAGCTCAAGTACGCGGCGTGCGAGACAAAGGAGGATGATTGCAAGGCCGGGGCTGGGAGTGACGCGTCCATGGTGATGGCGTGTGAGGACGCGTCCACGAGCTGCGAGCGCAAGGCGTACGCGTCGTTCAAGAAGTGCAAGTACGGCAAGTTTTCGTGCAAGGACTGGTGTGCTTATAACACGAGGCGGTGCGAGGTGGAGGGGGATAGCGGGTGTGCGAAGAGGGCTGAAATGTGCTACAAACGGTGCGAGCCTAAGAAGAAGGAGCACAAGAAGGAGCACCACAAGAAGGAGGAGCATCACCATGAGGAGGAGCATCACCACGAGGAGCACCACCACAAGAAGCATCACGAGGAGGAGCACCACCATGAGTAGATGTTACTTGCCATCATTTTGATGACTCTCGGTGCTGGCGGTGATTGCTTCTTGAAGCCTGGATAAGTGTGGTGGGGTTGGGAGAACGAAGGGATGGAAATTCAAGCATTGTAGCATTTGGTGAGTTTGGGCTTTTGAATGCATGGTAATAACTCATTTTGGAATGGATAATTCCCACGTGATGCAGAATATAAAGAACACGAGGCATACTTCCAGCAACCCACGGGAAATTGCATGCAGCGATTTGATGGTGTATTGCAGCGATATATCGGAACAAAACAACCGAGTAAGGCCGTGTCGACACAATTTTTTTTGCAGTATCAGGCACGCTGGCGAAGCCGAGTCCCATACCAGAGATTCCCGCAAATGTGTGAATTTCCCGCATTGTAGCAATGTGGGTAGGACACATCAGTTCTGCCTCGCCAGATCAGCCGCCACACCTGAATGATGGGCGCACTTGACCGCGTTCAAACCTACCAAAACATCTCCCACCGTAATGAATTGACCCTCTGCTAGGTTGCTATGTCAACACAGGGCAGGGCACTTTCCAAAGTGGAAATTTTGAAATCAGTACCGTACTTGAGATATCTGCAAAGCACAGAACCTATAGAAAATTATAGCACGCCGAATTGCACTGGAAACCGAAAGCGAGAAAGTTGTCACTTAGGAAGGCCCTCGGAAGAGTTGCCAACCGCCCCTTCAGAGTCCAAGGACTCAAGAACTCCAGGCGCCTTGATCAGTCACGTCATCGGCTAAATACAGGCTAGCGGCGCGAAGTTATTGACGACACTGATGGATAGTAGTCTCGTTGGGAGCCGAAGTCGTGCGAAGCCTATCATGCCGACGCGACTTCTGGCAAGTAACAGTGATTTTAGCTCAATCGACCCCCGCCGTAGCGGGCGTCACGGCCACCGTACGCCTGTCTTTCTTGTTAGAGCCTTTTCCCCGATCTTACTGAAGGATCAGAGGAATCCTTTGATCGCGACCTTCCAGAGAGCACGACAGGCCTCCGAGACCCACTAGGATCCGTTCGGCGACCGATCGGATTGGTTCAATCTCTAGGTCGCTCTGACTGCATGACGCTGCTCTCAGAAGCGTGACCCCCACGTCATCATACCTAGCCTGTGGCTGCCGGTCATTATCCTGGACGTCATTTTCCAGCTTCGATCCTATTTAATCATTCTCCAAGTCGACCCTCGCACCATCATACCGAGCTGCGGCTGCCAGCCAATGACAGCGATTGTTTTCTCGAGAACGCGAGAACGGACTTAATCTGGCGCTGGCTGAAAACGCTACGGGAATTGGTGATTGCGATCAGTAAACGTCGACGGGACAGGACTGGATGTGGATAGGTCTGGCCATGGCGTGTGCCTTTCTGTCCCAGTGCTAGGGAACCACTGCGGATTTGCGTTGGCGGTTTCTGCCGATGTGTCGCTCCTGTTTGTAAATGACATTTGAGTCGACTCAAAAGTTGGCGGTTTCTGCTGATGTGCCGCTCCTGCTTATAAATGTGTCTGGTAAGAGAGTAGATACTGCCATCTTAAAGAAGGGTCGAAGCATTGGTGTTTCTCCTGCAGTTTCGCTGTATTGGCTTTTCAGCCTGTATTATTGGAAGTCTACTCAAATCAGTCCCCTAAGCCATGGCCATGGCCTTACCGAGACGCCTCGTTACGGGCTGCCTCTTTTTGCTGCTTTCAGGTAAGGAGGATTTCTTTCCCCTTTCCTTCCATTTCCCACATCTCTGGCTCCCTTGTATGCTTCCCCTTCTTAACTGCTGCGCTCCATCTTCACATTCCCAAATGACCCCGTCTTGTGAAACTTGTTCTTGTTTCCACTTTCCAAACTGAATTTCTTCGTTTCTCTTTGCAGCATCAAGTGTCTTAGCTTCAGTTAAAAGAGGAAGCAGGGGGCCACCTGATTCCGTGGCTGAGACGTCGCCACATTATTATCAGCAGCAGCATCGCCGCATCTTGAACAGTGAAATTCCAACAACTCTCACTCGCGACGCTCCAACATCCAACGTTCCTGCTACCTCAACCCTCTCGGAAGCTGCTTACCAGCTGGCTCTCGAGCTGCTGACTGTGTTGCTGAATGACCCAACACTAAGCAGGCTAGTTACATCCAACTTTCCTACATCCAACATTCCTGCATCCAACGTTCCTGCTACCTCCACCCCCTCAGAAGCTGCCTACCAGCTGGCTCTCGAGCTGCTGGCTGTCTTCTTGAATGACCCAAGGCTAAGCCGACTGATCACCAGGGCAGGTGCTCGGTTTGGCAATGTAGATTTGCCTCAGTTAGGAAACACTTTGGGAAATGGTGGTGGTGTGTCCGTGGGACAGGGGTCAGGCTCCAGTAGTGAAAGTGGGGGTTCAAGAGCTAGTGAGTCTAGTATGCAGAGTAAAGCTAGCAGGAGCAGCCAGGCCAGTTTGAGTAGCATGGCTAGCAGAAGAAGTCGTGCTAATCGAAAGCAAAATCTTGCATAGGCTTCCTTATACTAGTACCGTGTAAATGATACATGCGATTGTAGCCGTTTTGCAGTGCACTTATAACTGTTTTCAGTTTTTAATCGAAACAAACCGAAGGTACCCTGCAACGAACCCATTCAAAGGACAAACACTTGAAAGCACCCAAATTTGACTATTTTGAAAAATGAATGGCACATCTAAATGCTATTTTTTGCAGTTGAACACCACTGTATTGAAATGAACCGAAGTGAATCTATTCTAGCATTCTGTTTCTCTTGTTTAGGATGTGACAGACAACTTGCCGCCATGGCTCCTGCCACATCTAGGGCGGCACGAGCTCTCATGAGCTCTCGAAGAGCTTGGCGCTCGGCAGCCTTCGCTTTCCCTTTCTCGCGACAATGCGACAACGTCATTCCGCGTCGGGGCTTCGCCTGATTTCCCTCGCCGGGCAGCGGCAATTCCAAACTGATGCACGACTCCGAGTCGTGTCGTGACCAGCACCTTTAGCTGTCAGTGTCGCGGCATCGAAAATGCCGGGTCATCTTTCAAGCTGACTCTGCTTGAAGCAGATGAAGCTGTCGGATCAGAGAGCTTACGACCGTAGATCTGCACACCGTGAATGAGGTTTGATAAATTCGTTTTGAAGACGTCTGAAATTCTTTTGTTCTTTTGCCATGCACCGTGGCTGTCATTATCCGTCCAGCGGAGAGACCAATCAGGCGCCTTCGCTATTCCGTTCCGGCGACTCGTCGCCGTCACGATCAGGAGATTGTTTCGCCACCGTGCGACGAGTTCGCAAGGCAGGATTATTTGCTCTTCAGCGAAATACGTCGTCGTTTGCACACGAGAGCGACCAACTCCTCTCGGTTGACGATTCGTCGATCGATTCATGAGAATCGTCAAAGGGATGTGAGGGTGTAAGGGACGGAGAATACTGGCGTGACGGCGACAGGCAGTCTTACACCTAGAAGCACTCATTTACTTGACCTGACAGTGACTGATTTGACGACGACTGACCTTGACGGTGTCACTGACAATGACTGTTGTATCTTCCGCGGGAAAGAGCTGTTGTACGACATATGCGCCCCAACTCGGCGTAGCACGCCTTACATCCCGTGCAGAGCTATTTATCTGGTGGTTGTGCTTATGCAACAGCGGCACTGGCATGTGCAGGCTGTAAGCTTTTTGTAATTCTGAAGACCCAGTTTCTGACACGTTGGCCCCTTTTCGATACCTGCACTCAGTTCTTTAGCACAGCGGAAAGGAGTTTTACGATTCCATTTATCCTAGCGCCTCAGCGCCTCTCAAGCCTTTCAGCAGGAGAAACTCGGTCGTCATCCATGGCCAGAGAAGCGTTGAACAGGACCGTTTTCCTTATGGATGGCAGCAGCGGGTCGTGTTTTCCAGGACGAGCTTTGCTCCTTTGCTCCCTGCTGCCATTACTCGCCAGTAAGTATCCTCATGGCTAATTCTGTTTATTGTAGCTCTTCCTCTTTGCTGGCTTCCCCTGCTCACTTTTTTCAACGTCTTTCCCCCCCCCCCTTCTCCTGCTCTGATCAACCCTCCTGCCTCCTTTGCAGATCTATGCGCTGCTTCAAACGCAACCCAAACACAAACAATGCCTAGCAGTGTTTCTCCTGCAGGAGCTCTTTCCCTCCAACCTAACAGCTCTGTTGTGCCCTTACCCTCCCCAACCATCCCCTCCCCTACCGTCTCCTCCCTGACTCCTCCTCCTCCCTCTCCCCGCCCTCCCTCACCTGCTTCCATTCAAAGCCAAATTGTGAGCACGCTCGTCCAAGCTGCCACGTCAGCATCAGATGCAGTGGTCCCAATGCCGATCCAGCTGGGCAGCGGCACCCCCAGCAGCAGTGGAGGCTCTTCTGGGGGAGGCTTATCCCTGTCCTCCTTTTTTGACCCGGATTTCCAATCTGAGCTGTTCTTTGCAACGATGACCCAACTGCTGGGGCTGCTGCGAGGCACTGGAGGAGGGAATACAGAAGCAGCTACTCAGGGAAATTGGACCGGAGGAGCGAATGCACAGGCTGCCGGTAATACTGGTAGTACCAGTACCACCAGTGGGAATACGACGAGAGGGCCGAGTCAAGCTAGCCAAGCAAGCCAGAGTAACCAGTCCAGCAGCAACCGGAGGCAGCGCGCCAGTGGTTTCAGTGGCAATGGAGTCTAACCTAACACGTACTGTTACCCTTGACACGGCAGGGTAGCTACAGGGGCAAGTGCGTAGTAAGTAATGATAACATTGTGACATTGGTAATCAAGATGCATGTTCTGAAATTGTAACATTGTTATGGTGATCTCAGTGGCTGGATGATGCAGTGGAGTGAACCGCCACCATTTGTACCAAGCTCTCTGCAAAAACAATGTGACTGACCGAACCAGGAAATCTGATCTGATAATCTCATCAGATATCAGTCACACAACACTGCCATTCATAGCAGATCCATTGCTGCTGCTGCTGCTGCTGCTGCTGCTGCTGCTGCTGCTACTGCTGCTGCAGTCACGCCACTCTTGCTCCCATCGCCTCCTTCAGCTTCCCCCAGAACCCGCTCTTATCTGCAGGCAACTCCGTCCCTGCCAGCACATGCGCTTTACCAGGCTTCCCCGCAGGTTCCTCTGCTGCCCTCACCACCCACACCTCCCTATCTTTCCTTATCTCCAAAATTTCCGCCTCTGCCCCTCCGCACCCCTCCGACATCCCCACATCCACTCTAATAGCCTTCCCTCTACAAGTAGCGTTGATCCCTCCCGGCTGCTGAATCGTGTGGCCCATAACCATCCGGTGAGAGCCTGGGAGCATCTCGAGCGTCCGTTCCAGCAGTCTGCAGTCGCATATCGAAGGGTCAGTGTGGGAGTATTCTTGAACCCACACGACCGCGTTCCGGGTGTGGAAAAAATGTGGCCCGCGTTCGGGCAGCCCATCCGGCCGCCGGGCAGGCGAAAGAATCCATTCCTGCCCCTCCTGGTTGATACGCTCCAGGCCGTATTGCACGTGTTCGGGCAGCAGCCCTCCGTGCACAAAAACTGTGCTGCCCAGCCGAAGTACACTCGGGTTGTCCGCAAAAAACCGCTGCAGAAGCGGGCTGCCCGGAGACAAAGCTGCCATGCGTGCTCGAAGCTCCGACCTCACACGTTCGGAAACCGAAGCTAGAGGATCGGGAGAAACCCTACCTCCTTCACAAGCTGCCCGGAAACCAATCCCCAGCCTCTCCCATGCTGCCCATCTCTGAAAATCCCTCCTGCCCTCTCTCGTTGCGTAACGAAACCAGCCCTCGAAATTCCCCGTCTCGTGGTTACCAAGTAACACGTGCACCGCGCCGCCGGCTTGCCTCGCTTCCCGCCTTAATTTCTCAAATAGGTACACAACGGCTAGTTCCTGGCCTCCCCGATCTAGAAGATCCCCAACCTGCACGAGAACCGTCGATTTTCCCGTCCAGCGATCGTGGCCGTCGATCAGCCCTGCCGTGCGAAGAGCTTGTCGGGCCTTGGCGATGTCGCCGTGAATGTCGCCGATCGCCACCACCCGATCTGCTGCCGGAAGCACCGTCGCTAACGGAGGCGGCCCCTCGGTGTTTCCTGGACTGAATGAATCCGTCTGATTGACGGAAGCCGTCTCCCGTTCTCGTCCTGATTGGTCAGTGGCAGGATCTAACGCTGCTGATTGGACAGGCTGAGTCCACCGTGGCGAATCCTTCGCACGGCCCGCGAGCACGTGGCCGCCGACGGCGAAATCAACGAAGGCGTCGACGAATCGAGACCAGACGTGCGGCACGGCTGCGCAATGCGGTTGAGTTGTTGTAGGGGAACCGGGGAGCTCTCTAATGGGGATACCCATGCTGAGCAGAGGGACGAATAGATGACAGGAAAATCCCTGGGTTTTACAGTCCCTTCAAATCTGGACCAGCAAATAGGCTCGGAGCTTATGGCGAGGAAATTCGCTTGCCTATCTGATTTAGCATAACGAGTCTTTACGCGGTGAGCACTCATTCCACGTTAACTAAGGGTATGAACTTCACGTCAATCTCTACGGTTAAGTGCTGTAGGACAAGGATTCAAGAAGAGCTGATCGAGTAGAACCATTCCATCAAGACTCCGTTTTTCAAAGAAAAGGCCCCCACGTGAAGCAGCACTTATGGTACACTGATTCAGGTTGCGATTACACTGGGCGTTATATGCAAGTCTGAAGAATCGAGATCTAGGCTGCATCTGGAGCTGCTGCGAGAATGACATGGCGAGATTGAAAATGCTGCTGGAATTGAAGAATGCGAAGTGCTGCGAGCAAGAGGCTTGGGGTGCAGGAAAGGAGAACCGTGGTGCCTGGGAGGGAATGTGCTGGCGAAGGGACCAGCATCAGAAGCAACAGCAGCACCGGCAGCACCGGCAACAGCAGCACCACCAGCACCCGCAGCACCAGCAGCAACAGCAGCACCGTCAGCAGTACCAGTTGAAGCGAGTGTAGCATGCCCCTTGGATGCTGAGCCAAGCAGACTTAGATGACTATCGCCAGGCGAAATTCCACGCACATCTCCAATCGCTGCTACCTCTGCATCCTCCTCCACTCGATGCATGGCCCTCTTTGGACGCCCTTTTTTCACACCTATCACCCCCACCACATCACGAGTCAACCTCCCCCCCCCATAACGAGATGGGTTGCCTGCAGAATTTCTGAAGGGTAGTGATGGCTCGGCCATGGCAGTTTCCCGTGCAGGAAATGACGAGGTGGACAAATGGGACAGGAGGGACTTGGGCGGTTTGGGCACACCCCCGTTGATGATGGGGGTAGGCTTGGGCGCACTTGTGTTAATGAAGGTGGTGCCATCAGGTTGGGCTTTAATCGAAGCAGCTTGAGCGAGGTCAGGCATGGATCTGGACGTTCGGGAGATCCGGGTGCGGTCCTTGCCATCTGCTGCGCTTGGGTGAGCGTCCCCAGGCAAAGATTGAGTCGTGTTTTCGGCACTGAAGCCACACTCAGTGGAGGAGTGGCCGTCTGGCTGCACACGGGAGGAAGCGCCAGGCGATTTGCACAGCAACTGTGTGTTTCTGGGCAGGCTTTGAGGTGACTCTAGAGCCTCGGGAGCCTCGGGAGTCGGGTCCATCAGCAGCATTGGACGGTCAGGATGATCTCTAGAATCATGGAGAGTCCTTGCTGCAGGCATGGAGGCGGATTTCCTAAACGACCTATTTGGATTCTTAGGTTGTGCTGCTGGTGGTGCAACGGCTTTGTCGGAGGCAGACTTGAGGAATGGACGATGGCGAGGGTATTGCCGATGAAGCAGGGGAGTAGCTGCGCGTGGCAGTTGGTCGCGTGCCGAGCCAGTGGAAAAAGACCCTCCTCCTCCTGATGGTGCTGGTGCTGGTGCTGGTACTCCTGCTGCTGCTGCTGCTTCTACTGCTGCTGTTGCTGCTGCTGCCCTTGTGCGTATATCAGCCTGTGTAATAGCCTGTTTGCTGTGCTCTATATGAGTATGTGCGTCCAGGGAACCGCTTCTAGACAAGTCCCCCTTATGCCACGCTCTCCCCTTATTTCCCCTTCCTTCCTTCTTCTCTCCTCCTCCCTTATTCTTCACCCCTCCTGATATATGCTTGATTGAGGGCCGGGGGGAGTTGGCTGAGGGGCGGGGGGAGTTGGCTGAGGAGCGAGGGGAGTTGACTGAGGGGTGAGGAGAGTTGACTGAGGGCCGGGGACAGTTGACTGAAGGACGGTGAGAGTTGACTGAAGGACGGCAAGAGTTGAACGAGGAGCGGGGGGAGTTGACTGAAGGGCGGGGGGAGTTGACAGAGGGCTGAGGAGAGGTGACAGAGGAGCGAGGGGAGTCGGCTGTACAGAAGGTGGCTGGTTGAAACTGGTGATGTGGCACGCTGATGGAGAGGTCATGTGGTGACATGGCAGACGGCAGGTGTCGCGATCTTGCAGACTGGTGGCGCAGCGAGCGGGCAGAATGCTGATGTGGCGAGTCATGAGGAGAATCTTGAGTTGGCAGCTGGACAGAAAGTGGGCGAAGAGGCTTGAAAGATGGGCCACAACGAGCAGTCATTGTGGCTTCTGCTGTTGCTGCTGCTGCTGCTGCTGATGATGATGATGATGCTGAAGGTGCTGCTGTTGAGGGTGTTGCTTTTGATGTATGCCTTAGGAGCCATGAATGCTCTGAAAGGAAAGCACCAAGGGAAAAGGGCAAAAGGCGAGGGATGGGCTTAGGAGATTCTGAAAATATAAAGAGCGGCAGAAACAATACCAGGAACATAATGACAAAAACGGTGATATTCTTACTGAGGATTTCTGATGGCCTTATCCGCTTCGCAGGATCCCTAACCAGCAATCTTGACACTAGATCTTTCGCCTGCCCGGAAATCGACTTCCATGGGCCATGTGACACGTCAGCGTCTCCACCTCCCAGCACCTTCTCGAAAATCCCAACTGGTTCGTCCGCAAAAAATGGCGGGTAACCGCACAGTAGCATATACACGACAATCCCGAGGCTCCAAACGTCTGCTTCGGGTCCGTAGTAGTTCTGCAAAACCTCGGGAGCAATGTAGTAAGGGCTGCCTGTAACTGACGAAAGCTTTTCGCCAGGCTTAACGAACGCGGAAACTCCGAAATCGCCCACGCGAACGCGTATAGGTGCCGCGTTTCGCAGCTTCTCGCCGCGCGTCCCTTGGACGTTATTCGCAGCCGTCGCAGCTGTCCACGTCGGAACCACTCCACTGCGGCTGCTAGGCAGCGAGAACGGCGAAGAATCGTTACCCCTATTCGTGACTCCGCTCGTGTGACAAAAACAGCGACTGTAAGTTATACTTCCGCTGCATGCGCTAAAGCTGCTTCTGTTGGACGAATGAGTACATTCGGAGCTGTTGAGCTGAGCGTGATTGGCGGCGGTTCTGCCGCTGCTGCTGCTGCTGCTGCCGAAGCTGCCACTGCTGCTGTAGTCATGCTTATTAGTTGTACGATGTACGTTATAATCGCAACGGCTGCTAGAGCTTGCACAAGAGCCGCTGCTGCCGCTTGTAGCAATAGTGACCAAGCCGCCAGCGCCAGCACAGAAGCCTTGAGATTCGGAGCATTTAACGCCCCCTGAGGCCCCATAAAAGTCGGCGCAATGAACGCCGAAAGACGCGCCAGGGAAGCCGTCGCTAAACCCGTCGCCGCTGTTTCCCGATGCTGTAATTTCCGTACTGGCGATCCCAGAAACGAAGATGTTTTCGAGCTTCAAGTCTCTATGAACGAGACCCACGCGTTCGAAGGTGACAAGCGCGTCGGCGAGCGTCTTAACCACGTGCGCCACGGTTCGCTCGGGGAATCGGCCGTTAATTAGGAGGTGGTTGAAGAGATCGCCTCCTTCGCATAGTTCCATGATGACGTGGACGGCCTGTGACGTGGCGCAGGAGGTTATAACCGCCATGGAGGTGGGTGGGGGGGGGGGGGGGGGGGGGGGGAAGCGGGGGAGGAGGGGTGGGGGGTGGGGCTGGGTGAGGAGGGAGGGAGGGAGGGGGAAGGGAGAGTGTGGGGGGGAGAGGTGAGAGGGGGAGAGGAAAAGGGCACGAAAGCATGCAGGACCAAGGGAGAAATATGCGTCACACAGGATCCTGCATGCTTCCCCTTTCCCCTTGCTCCTTTCCTCTTCCCCACGCGACGGAACAAAGGTGAGAAGAATGCGCTCGGAAACGGAATCTTGTGGCCGCAGTCGACGCGAAAGCACGCGGAAGAGAGTATTCTTAAGCCTAGACACCTGCTCGTCCTCTAAAACTTCGTGTAGTCGAACCACCTGCGCCGCGCCCTGTAGCACCTCCATTGCCGCCACTTCCGTCCGAACCGCGTCCACGTCGTCCGGCTCCGCGAGCCGCGCTTTCTCGATCGACTTGCAAGCGAACAGCTGCCCGTAATGCTGCCCGGGCCGCAAGCACTGGGTGAGATACGTCGAGCCCGCGGCGCCGCAACCGAGCTCTGGCCCTAGCCGGTAGTGTTTTTTCAGCTGCCCGTATGCCCTGCCCAGAATGTTGACGGTGTGCTGGCGCTCCGCAAAACGTCCCGAGCGGCGAAAGCGGAGGTCGGAGCGGAGCGCGAGTCTCAGGCCGCCGCGAGGCGGCTCCATGCATGATAGTCACTATACACGGCGCACTCCACGCAGCAAAAAGCCAGTAATATCCCGTTTTCGAAAAAAACGGCAGAAACGGTCGAAAGTCAAGCAGCCTACAGGCCGACGTCGGACGACTCTCCGATGGACTCGGAGGGCGCGGTGGGTCCAGATTGAGCCCAGTAAGACTTATTAAACCCGAACTATTTGCCGATTAAAACCACTAACTCATAAGGCCGCGCATCTGCTGTACAGACAGGGCGAGCTAGAAACGGCGATTCCTCCTGGATTTGTTGTTAGAGAACACAGTCCTCAGAGGGTTTCACCAGCGGAAATCACGAGAGGGATCGGCGAGCTGAGCTCCATCGCACGCGTGTCATCGCATGGCTGCCTGTTTCTAGTGGTCGGTACAGAACAAGCAGCTTCCACTGAGCGGCATTGTACCGTCAGCCGGGCAGTGACGGGTGCGCGGTGGTGTTGGTGCTGACTGACTGAGGGCGAAACGACCTTGATTGACGGGAAAATGTGCGGCTGAATCCGCGCGGGATTTATTACAGTACGGTGTTGGCTTACTCTCGCTCCGTAGGCAAACGGGTGGAGCAGGCTGGCTCTGGACTGTAGAGAGCAGAGTCGAGCCCCTAGGTCTTGAGCTTCTGTGAACAGCTGGCCAGTGATCAGTGGGAAGCGGCTGCTGCTGCAGCAACAGCATCGCGACCCTCGCATTTTCGCGATGAGGCACTCGCACTGGCCCATTGATGTGTTGATCTCCGTACTGTACATGGCTCTGCCTCGTGCTGTTGTGATTGTGTTGACCAATTTGCATGGCTGCTCTCTGGATGGCTAGTGCGTCGGACGCACCGACACGAGCCTGCATGACACATGGACGGAGAGAAAAGCTTGATGCACGAAGGGGGGAAATTTCGTCTCGTGCTGCTCTCTCAAGTGGAGGCAGGTTCGGGAAAAAAGACTCAAGAGTGGATGAGATAGGAGATGAGGGAAAAGCGTGGGTGGGATGGTGGGGAATGGGATGGCAGAAGAGGAGACGGACGGAGGGAGGGAGGAGAAAGAAACTGTACTGAAAAAAGCGGGAGGCTTGTGGCGGGAATTCGGTGGACAGATGGACGGCAGTTATTGGGTTTGGACTGATCGAACGGAGCTGAACGGGAAGAAGGCGGAGGCAAGGGCAGAAGTCTGGAGGTTCGGAAGACAAGGTGCGAGAGGAGTTATGGTTATGACGTGATGGCGGGAAATGGGCTGGTTTGGATATTTGGCTTGATCTGGGGTCCACAGTGCACACCAGCCACACAAAAAGAGGCCAGCCGCAACTGTGTGCCTCAGCTCAAACAAACCCACTTCAGGTAAGGCCAGTCCACCCGATGCTGATGTGGCGAGGGGACGACCACTGGCAACGAACCGTTTCCATCACTGAACAGTTCCGAACCGATATTTCCTCAGACCAAGTGCCGAAATATCCAAGTTGCGCATGGCGCTCTCCTCGTCAACTGGATGCAATGGAGTCCAACAGGTGGGGCACAGCAGGTGCACTGCACAAGAGCCGTTTATGTATGTTTCCAAAGTTACTCGCTGCACTACGAAAAGTTTGCGGATAGTCAGACTAAGTGCGCATCTCTTTCTTGCTCGCTACGAGACTTGGGGGGTTTGTCTATATTTCCATTTCCCACCCGGTTTCAAAGCCCTTGCCGTAAAAACTTCAACGGAAAGGCCATAGTTTCAGTTGGGGAACCCGATTAACATAATACTCAGTGCCACTGGGCAGCAGGCACGTGCATCCGTTACAGGTCAAGACTCTCTGACTTGCCGGAAGCACAGGCCCTCATGTTGCAGCCGAAAACAACGCGTCAGCTATCTTAAGGGACTTTCCTACGGAACAAAATGTCATGCAACATCGTGTCAAACTTGTATTTACAGGCACATTTGATGGACAAACTACCACATGACACGACTTCGCCTGACGTCATGCCTCGAAAGAACACGCCCTCACTGTAAGGCTGCTTGGTCGTCACGACATATTCCCTGCATTGGCGGCATGCTATAACGAGCAGGTCTGCTCATATTCACAGCTGTATAAACATGCAATATATTGTTTCGTTTCAAATTTGTGATGGCCAATTGAAAAATAAGCATAAGGGGTGCTGATGGCGATTTGGAAAACTGCACCCACTATTTTACTGGCAAGGAGTGGTTCCTGATGCCACAAAATTCTTCACCATTATTAAAATGAAGATGACAAGCAAAAAGCATGGAGTTATGTGTTGGGGGTCACTCCTCTAGAGAGGTCTAGAGTCACCATCCCTCCCATTGATAGGAACACCCCCTGCCACGGCTCTCCGTTATTAGTTGATGCATAAAGCCACCCTTTCCCCCTCCCCCAAGCTGAGTTTTCACCTATCTACCACGGCCCTGGTCCAACATCTAGGCACCCACGAGTGCACTTATTGCAGCACTTCTGCTCCTGGTTGCAGCAATTTCCCTGCCCGCCCTATTCCTTGCACTCCCCTTGTGCTCGCACTCCACCCTCCTTGCAAGATCACTTGCCGCTGCTGCATTTCTTGTACCCCTTGTTAGCCTGTGCCTCGCACTCGGACTTCTGAGGCTTCACCATCCACCACCATGCTCCTCTTCCTGACGACGCTTCTCCTCGTCCTGACGGGCCTTCTCCTCGTCCTGACGGGCCTTCTCCTCGTCCTGACGGGCCTTCTCCTCGTCCTGACGGCGCTTCTCGTCGTCACGGCGACGCTTCTCCTCGTCACTGCGTCGCTGATCATCGTCACGACGGCGCTTCTCCTCATCCTCGCGACGACGCTTCTCCTCTTCCTGGCGGCGGTTTTCCTCGTCGCGCTGGCGCTTCTCATCGTCGCGTTTGTGCCTCTCGTCGTCAAGGCGGTGCTGCTCGTCGTCAAGGCGGTGCTGCTCGTCGTCGCGGCGGTGCTGCGCATCATGATCATCGAGCACCCGCCTCACTCCGCCGGCAGTCGGGCGTTGCGATCCTGCACAAATAAATCGATCAGAAGAGAAAGCAGTCAAACTGAACACTCTCGACGCACGGATTTTGAGCCCCTCAAACTGAACAAATAAAGCCTGATCGTGCTCGACGCACGAATTTTGAGCTCCTCGTCGTCAATCCAGTGCTGCGCGATATCATGATCATTGAGCATTGATGATCATGACTGTCAGCATCATGATCATTGAGCACGCGGCGCATTCCACCGGCATTCATTCTACGCGGTGCTGGACACCACGTAAGCTCTCAAATAACAACATAAAATGTCGTTAAAACTCCTACTGATTCGACTTTAACTTTGGTCAACTTGTCTACCGGCGAGGGGAAATAGACCGTCGAAGATATTGCGCCACTAAAAGGTTCAGAGTTTGATCGTTGAGCCAATAACCAGAGAATCGACAGGAAGTAACGGGCGGCATCATACCTCCGGACAGAATTGTCAGTCGGCCTTCTGCAGGCGAGGGATACGAGAGCACGACGACGAATGCGACGAGCACCGTCGCGAGAGTCGTGAACACTGGGAAGGCGCGGGCCATGCTGATGGCTTAGTAACCAGAAATTCCAACTTCAAGTTGGAAATATCGCTGAGATATAGAAGCCCTTCTAGATGCTGAGACTGCCTGGCGGTTCTAACAAGAAGCGGGAGGGTTGAGGCTTGAGTTTCGCCGAGTGAATGATGGGATAAGATAGAGCGTTTGCGAGCTGGCTTTTATCATGGTCGAATATGAAGTTTGCCTTTAGGAGAGAAATCGCCGCGATTATTGGGAAAGGGTGGTGTGGCGGCGCGAGGAAAAGAGCGGATTTGTTCCGCAATTATGCCAAGTCGCTCTTATGAGGAGTAGGAATCTGCGTAACGCAGTAGCAGCAGCCACTCCTTCCGCTGCCGACTGAAGGGTTTCGATGCGCGAGCATTTCTGCTTGGAACTGTTTTGAGGCAGTGAGCTGAGCTGAGCCGACTGGACTGAAGGTATCGATGCGTGGAGCTGCGCTCCAATAATGCGTCCAGTGGAACCCATTGAGCTGACCAGGAAGTCTCGAGGCGCGAAATTATCACCAGCCATAATGGGGGTGGGAGATTTTCGTGAAGAGCTGGGCCTGCGAATTGGCGAAGGTCAAATTACATAAATTTAATAATCTGCTTAGCGGGCCTGCTTAGATCGAATTCTGAAGTTGGGCCGACGACGAAGTTTTCCCTTCGGCACCAAGTTTTCCCATGCGACTCGGGAAACTGTGGTGGATACCATCCTTGCTGCGAAACGCTCGCGATAAGGCTTGCGAAAACAAGCCGCGAAAATGCGACCTGCAAAACTTCGCGGCCAACTAGGAAGCGCGCACAACGGGCTGCGACCCATATGCGACCTGAAAAATGTACCGGATGCGCGTCTGCAACCTGTCGGTTGAAATTTGCAACAACACTGGTACAAAAAAACCCGCCAAGAGCCCCAAAACATACCAAACGCGCGCAGCGCCGTAAATCATCGAGTGCCACTTCTCCTACCCAATTCGACAACCTCTCGTACAGACGAACAATCAATACAAAAAGGCGTACAGCAGACTACTACTGCAGCATGACTACTTCTAGTTTCTGAAAACAAGCTACAGGTTCCTCCCCGCTGAACTCCTACACCATGGGCCGGAAAAACAAGGGCCAGACAGAGAAACGCAAGGGAATCTCGGAGGTCGAGGCGGCACCGCGCCCGACACCACCCTTTCTCCAGTACCTGTCGGATCTCGAGGCAAATGGCATCAAGCGGATCCGCCTAGTCGGCGTCACGGACTTGCCCGCTAGGAGAGGAGGGAAATGGAAGAATGGGCTTGCTGCGTCGACGAGTGGCCATGGCAACGACGGCGCGGGCGAATACGGCTGCGGGTCCGAGCTCGATGCGGACACTATCAACCCCGAAGACGAGCGCTATTGTGACTCCGACGGCTACACCGCTGCCGACCAAGTGGACGACGATGGCGACGAGGACACCGAAACACCTGCAGACGGTGCAAACAGGAGGGGCAAGGGGAAGGTGTCCGGCGCGAGACAAGCGAGTCGATATTGGGAGGAGGACGAGCTTGCAGAGCTTGCGGCGGCAATGTGGGCAGCGAAAGAAGACTTCGACACGCTGAGGGGCAAGCAGGGAGGGCAGCCATGGAAGAAGCTACGCCGCGTGCTGCGCGAGGCGAATCCCAACTAGTGCCGTCCTAGTTACGCCATGCAAAAATGTTGGGCGCGCCTCAAGAGTCGACTGGATGAAATCGAGGAGGCAGATTCCAGGTCCGGTAACAACCCGATGCCCAAGCCGAAGTGGTACCAGCATGCATGGAATTACTGGAATTGCGACCGCGCTCCGAACCCCCATGTCGTCGACGAAGGTGGTGCGCGCATTGAGCACGCGACGCCGCGGACCGCGCACGGCACGCGGTCCGCACCTTCTACCGCACCCCCCGGAACTACCGCGCCAGGTACGGAAACCACACACAAAACCAATGTACGGGAACCCCGAGTCATTGAACAAGCTTTCAATCACGCACTCAAGACACGGGGCCTTATTACAGAGCAGGGCGCAAACGAACGTTGAGACATAACCTCAACTAACCCACACTACCCCAACTCCCACACTCCCATCAGGCTCGACGGTTTCACCTGGAAACATCGCGCAAAATAGTCACGCCGTGGAGCCGCCGAGAAACGACGGTCATCAGGTCGTAGCCGATACGCTCACCCGTGTGATGGAAGAGCGTACAGCGCGCCAAGAAGTCGTCATGGGGAAGCTCGTTTCTGTTCTTGAGCTCCTCACCCAGGCGGCCGGAGCCGCGCCAGCACCTGTCCCACTGCGGGCTCCAACGGCTGGAACCCGCAGTGGGACAGCCTCGCCTGGTGGCCGTCACATCGACGGAAGCACCATGCCATCTGCATTTCAGCATGGTGCGCCACACGGTGCCGGCTTTGCTTCAGTGTACCCTACATGGTTTCCATCCGGTGGCTCGCCGAAACGTGACGTCAGTGCGGTTCATCCGCAGAATGCGCCAATTCGCGCATCGGTCCTCCCGTTTCCCGCTCCCGATGCTGTAAATGTCGCGCACGTCGCGGCGCCAGCACACTCTACGGACGAGGGTGGCGGGCCGGCGCGCCACTCGCACCTTGATTCCGCGCCGGCGGCACGCACGACCGCGACGGTTGTCATGGGGGCAGATGGAAATTGGTATTTCACTGCCCCCCCATTTGATGGCCATCTTCACCATGCCGCATGAGCCATGCGGCGTGGATGTGTGTGCCGAAGTCCCGGCGACGCGCGACCACGGCCTCGCGGTTGGGCGCAGGAGTGGGCTGCCATACGTACTCCGCCATACCCCGCCTCTCCCACCACCTGTTCAATTCTCTAGCCGTGCCATCTCTCCACTGTCCGCGTGATTGTCTTTTAGCGGAGGCTTGGTACTCTATCATGTTATGTAGTACCACTGCACATCCAGCTCCCGCGCACACCCGCCAAAGCCGCCCCCCGTGACATCCTCCGAAGATCCGAAATCTGTTTTTGAACAACCCCATGGTCCGCTCCACTGCCATCCGCGTTGATGATTGCACGTAATTAAAACTCTGCTCCCATCCTAGCAATATTCTAGCCTTGCTGGCGTGTATCGGAACTAAACAGAAATCCTTCAAAGGGTATGTCGCGTCACCCAACACTTGGTATGGCATGATCTCGCCATTTTCCATGCGTGCATAAAGAGCACTCTTGGTAAAGACCCTTGCATCGTGTGCGGACCCTGGCCATCCGACGACATAGTCCCAAATACGGCACTTGGAGTCCACGGTCAACTGTAATTGCACGGAGTACATTTGTTTCCGACAATAGTACTCCGAGCGCCATTCGTGGATGCCGCGGACTTGTAAGTGCGTGCCGTCTACAGCCCCTATGACGTTGGGTATCCCTCTGCAGGCGCGGAAATCCAGCGCCATCTCGGCCATTTCTTCTCGTGATGGGAATTGAACCCAGGCTTCTTTGTAACGTTTCGGGAAAGAAAGTAGGAAGCGGTCAACGATGCAGTGACAAACTGTCTTCGGCACCCCGAAGTAAAGACTCATATCCAGATAGGTCATCCCCGTCGCTAAATACTTTATCGGTATGAGAATACACAGTGGTAAAGGAACCCCATGAGAGACGATGATGTTGTGGTAATCATTAGCCATGCCCTCTTTCAAGTGTTCTAGTATGTCTCGGTCGATTCGGAAAAGGTCCTCAAACTCAGCATCGTCGAAATCGTCGATGCGGTCCAGCCACCACTGGATCCGCTCACGTCTGTACTCTGCATAGCGCTTATGGCGAGCGCGTCGGGTCTCCGCGCGTTTAAGCGCATATTCCACGCCGATCGCATCGAGGGCTTCCACTACGAGCTGAGCTACAATTATGTCTGTGACATCGTCGTCGAGGCGCTGCCATTCCATGAACGCGGCTACTGCTGCTGCGGCGGTTGCCAGAGTGTGAGCCATGGCGGAATAGGACCTTCGAACCCGCACTGCTAAACTGTACCCAACGCGTTGCGATGTTGCTGTTATATGGCTAAAGAGGCGATATTGGGGTCCAGGAAGTTCTGCCCGTTATTCGTTTCGTGCCTCGTTTGTTTGTGTGCTGTTACGGGCAGCTCATGCGGTAACCGTGCCACTGGGCCGTCTGTTTTGCAAACGTGGCTCACGTTCAGTCGAGGCGCATTCACCCACAGTACCAATTTTCGCCGGACGTGTTGATCGCGTTGGTCGTGCGCCCACGTCGCAGGGCACGTTGGCGAAACTTTTGGTTTCGGCAAAAGCCGAAGCGCACAGCCCAACATTGCATTCCCAATTTTAGACATTTCGAGCCGCATGGGAAAACTTTGCTCGTCGGCCCAACTTCAGAATACGATCTTAGTGGTGTGGTTTGTTTAGGGGAATCCCACACGCATTCCAATCTCGATGAGTGATTTCGTTTTAGCGAAATACACTGGCAAAACGAACCTCCTTGGAACGCAGAGCACCTCATTTCACCGCAACAAAATGAGCTCTCCCGACTGGCTCTGACAAACCTCACCCACAGCTCAGGCTCTTGTTCCACGCCAGCACATGAGGCCAGGGAGGCTCGAGGCGAGTCGAGAACCGAGGCATTCTCGTCTCAAGGGAGAGAGAGGAGTGAGGTGAGGGGGTGTTCCTTGCTAGTGTCAGTTCCTCTGGGTCGGGTGGAAAACGGATGAGTTCAAGAGTATTCTGATGTGGCAAGGCAATCATCGTCGTGGTAAATCTCTTCGACCTGAAGGCAAAATACACCCCTGAGCGGCTGTGCGTAGCTGTTTCCTGCCAGCAGCATTCAGCGGGTTTGGGGGTACGCAGGGAAAGGGGAGACATGTCACTTGCCCATAGCCTGAAGGCTGGAAGGAAGACATGTCACTGAGGGAAGGAAGCCTGAGTGAAGGAAGCCTGAGTGCATAGCTTGAGAGCTGGAAGTTGTCAAATCTGCGTAGGATAAGTGCCAAGTCCCGTCATCCCATCGTGGTATGGTTACCATGATGGTATGGTATGGTTACCATGGATGTTACCTGGACGGCTCGCGTCGCGAGCATACGACGTCGGGTCACTTGACAACTCGGAGCAGCGTTCAGCGTGATGCGACTTCTGCTCGGTCGTAGAGCAGAAGTCGCATCCTCTGAATGCTGCGTTATGCGACTTGTGCTCGGTCGTAGAGCACAAGTCGCATCTTCTGAACCCTGCGTTATGCGATTTCTGCTCGGTCGTAGAGCAGAAGTCGCATCCTCTGAACGCTGCGTTATGCGACTTCTGCTCGGTCGTAGAGCAGAAGTCGCATCCTCTGAACGCTGCGTTATGCGACTTCCGCTTGACGGTTTCGTGTAGAAAGCGGGTTCTCGACTCGATTCGAGAGCAAGTCGAAGGGAAAGACGTGACGAATCATGTCGCATCACTGCTCCGAGCAAACCCGGTTCGCAAAGGTGCTCTGAACGCGAGGAGAATCCGCACGAGCTGACGTGACAGTGCTGCCATGCAGAATCCAGTCCGACTCGCTGATGGAAACCCGCGGCCGAAATGCACGCCGATCTCCTGGTCGCGAAACGCCAGTCGCGACGATCGTCCGCACATCCCAAAAACCAGGGCCGCAAAATATCACCCCCAGGACAAGAGTAGACGTGACAGACGCCAGCCAGAATCGCCCGTCTCGCTGATGCAATCTTCGGTCCTGGTTCCTGCTCGCGCCGTGTGACTCGCAAGTACAAATAGAGGCTCGGACCTTGAAGCCAGCCAAGTTTGAGCTCTGAGTTTCTAGCCTTGAACCACTCATACTCGTGTGAGTGCATGTATTAAGGAGCTTACCTGGCGACGATGACGCCGCTCAAACTGCTTCCGGGGCTCGCTTGCCTGCTTCCAGCGATCCTCCTCGTGCTGTTTTTATCAGGTGACTTTGGAATTGCTCGAATGCGTGTTTCTTTCCCTCTCTCAACCAGCCAATTCTACACCTCACTGGCGTTACTAGAGCATGTGCACTCTTTTTTAATCTCATCAAGAACCACTCTTTTTCGTTTCTGTAAACCTTGCTTTTTTCAAGCACAAGTTGTTTGTAACAAGGTTACCCCAACGATTCGCACACTGCCATTCCGTCCCCATTCCGTGTTCCTTCTCTCAATCTTGCCTGCAGCATCAACCCCCGCGTTGGCATCTCGTGACAAGGCGCTGGGAAGCCGTGGAGCCACACACGATGCTGATGGCACGCTTGAAAAGTCATTTGTCAGCCGTCGCACGCTGAGCGACTCCACTCCACCAGAGCCCCTGCCACAAGTCCTGCTCAACTCTTTAAATGCTGCCGGGGCTGCCGGGGCTGCCGGGTCTTCTGGGACTCCCGGGGCTCCCGGGGCTCCCGGGGCTCCTGGGGCTCCCGGGGCTCCTGGGGCTCCTCGGGCTGCTGGGGCTGCCGGGTCTCCTGGGCCTCCTGGGGCTGCTGGGGCTGCTGGGGCTTCCGTCGATGCCGGGGCTGCCGGGTCTCCTGGAGCGCCTGGGGCTCCTGGGGCTCCTGGGGCTCCTGGGGCTCCTGGGGCTCCTGGGGCTCCTGGGGTTGCTGGGGCTGCTGGCGCTTCGGTCTATGCCGGGGCTGCCGGGTCTGCAGGGGCTGCTGGGGCTCCCGGGGCTCCCGGGGCTGCAGGGGCAAGCAGCAGCAGCGGTGAAGGGGGTGCCAGTATACCAGCAGTCGCAAGCAGCATACCCACGCCATCACCCCCATCTCCGGGGGCACCATGCATCAGCCACCCTCTCTCCGGCATCTGGTCTCAACTGGCGTCCTTTTTCCACATTGGAGGTGGTGATAGCTGCAATGGGGACGGCGGCGGAGGTGGCGGTGTAGGCGGGGGAGGTGGCGGGGGTGGTGGCGGAGGAGGTGGCGGCGGCGGGGGTGGGGGTGGGGGTGGGGGTGGGGGTGGCGGCGGCGGTGGGGGTGGGGGTGGCGGCGGCGGTGGCGGAGGCGGCGGTGGCAGTGGAGGTGGCGGAGGTGGCGGAGGCGGAGGAGGAGGCGGGGGTGGGGGTGGCGGCGGCGGGGGCGGTGGTGGAGGAGGAGGTGGCGGTGGGGGCGGCGGAGGTGGAGGAGGTGGCGGTGGTGGTGGCGGTGGCATTGTCATTGACAGTATCAGCAGCAGGGCAAGCCGTGCTAGCCGTGCAAGTCGTGCGAGTCGGGCAAGTGGTGCAAGCCAAGCGAGCCAGTCAAGTCGGGCGAGCAAGAGCACGCGTGCTACGCGCCTCCGCTAACACGAGCCGGCAACTGGTGTGTAGTGTTATGCTTCTCTTCCGGAGAATTTCTTGGTGTGTGTGCTGATGAATTGAATACAATGGAACCAGCAAAAGCACACAATGTGACCTCCTGTGCGCACTTACCTTACACTAAGGGCAATGGAAAAGTATAGTTTCTTCTGTGTGCATTCCTTTCTAAACGTACTTGTGTTGCGAGATGAGTCCCCGGGTGCTTATGCAGAATGCCAAAGCCACGCCTTGCTGCAAAATGTGGATCTGTGCTGCAAGGTGGTATTTAGACGGACAGTTCTAGAGAGTTTTTTACGAGCTATAAGGGATTTTCCAGTTGTTGGACGCTGTTGGAAATATCTCAAGGACTTAAGCGTTTCTGAAGTGTAACACTGTACTCGAGGAAGATTACAGGGGAGCACGCGAGTCAACGGAGGTTACACGAGGGGGCGGACAAAGAATGCGAAAGGACTCGAAAGGTCGCAACTGGAGGTTGCGACTGACCGTTACAACATCACGGATGGTAACCGAAGCGGCAATCGAGTCGCTGTGCGACTCGATAAACCGTTCCTGTAACTGTATTCTACAACTGCTTTCTTATCTTCTATATATTGCTGTATGCTTGTTTCTTTAATCAATCACTTGTTCTCACATACTAGTACAAGGGTTCAACTGCCTCAACTTCCGCTGCACTACTCCAAGTCTCAAGTCTCTACAAGCTGGGACTTAGTCTCTGCAAAAGATCCTAAGGGCTTTTTCTCAGCCCAACATGGTATGAGAGCTGGTCAGAGATCAAACTCCCAGCAACTACGCTCCATCAACAAACTGCAACTCAACTCAATTCAACGACTTCATTGATTACAAGACATGGACAGCAAGGGCAAGAAAGCCTCTACGGGCTCACCCAGCGGCCAAGAAACTCAACACGGCAACTCTGGTCTGCACACCTCAGGATTGCAGACAGAGACCGGGACTGCTCAAGAAACAACAGGAAGAGTACCAGAGATGGTGACTCCGTCTCCCTCTTCAAGTGTGGACCCGAATCTCATGGAGAGATTCTTCAGCTTCATGTCACACTTCGACCAGCAACAGCAGACAAGGACACCTGCGCATTCAACACAGAGCAATGGAGGAAACATGGGATTAGCGCCGATGAGCCTCGACAACTCATCCTTCGGGCGACACAACCAAGCACCTACCTTTGCGCCTTATCATTCTTCACCGGGGACGTTCGAGTTCATGCCGCCCCGCGCCCAACCAACAGCAGCTGCATCACAACAAACACCAAACGAGATTCTCAGTCTTCAAGCTCAATTCTCACACGTCATCAAGTTACAAACATCCTCACCGTTCAACGGACACGACTTCTTTACCTGGAGCTTCGAGTTCGAGCTGCTGATGGAGGCCGCGCATCTTCTGGGATACTTCAACGGGTCCCTGCCATTCCCAAGCAACGGCACTGGAAAGGAACAAGAGATCTTCACGTATCAGTCGCTACTGGCGTATACAGTCCTCCTGCGGAACCTGTCACCACAAGAGCAGCAGAGCATCAGAACGTATCGGAGTTATGGAAACTCCGCGGAACTCGCATGGCATCATCTCAAATGCCTCTACCAAGCAAACGACAGCGTGACACAAAGCAGACTCATGCAACAGCTGACAACAATACAGATGAAGACCGGGGAAAAGGCGATGCAGTATATGAGTCGCTGCCAGACCCTGCGCGACCGCCTGCTTCGGTGCGGAGGAACGATCACTGAAGAAAGCTTCGTCACACTTGTCCTCGCCGGGCTCGGACCAGAATGGAGAACCACACGATCGCTTCTTCGCGCCCACAGAAGGATCTCGGAGATGCACCTCTGCGCCGAGCTTCACGCTGAACAACAGGAGATGGATCTGTTCGAGGAAAGACAACCAAGGAAGCAACAGCAGTTAGTCTTCTACACTCAAAGAAGAAATGACATAAACTACAACCGACGCAGCAAGCAAGATCAACGCGACAACCGAGGACTCACCATCGTGCCGCCGTTCTGCCACAACTGCCAGACTTCCGGACACTCCAAAGTCAACTGCAACCGCCCTCGCGTTTACCGAGCAGCAGACCCACAAGTTGCTTCCACTCAAGCAAGTTCCCCAAGGCGCTCTTCAACATCTGCACAAGGGACACCAAATATCATCAACTGCATGGTACACATCGACAACTGCGCACCCAGATCACCACCCACTTACGCACCAGACGAAGAGGAATTCCCGCCGCCGCGCTCACAAGGACTTCAGGTCAACCCGACATACGCTGCGGTCGCCAACGCCGAACCCACCGGGCGAAACACCTGGTTCTTGGACAGCTGCTGCGGTCAACACATGTGCTCCTCGGGACGCTTCGTACAACAGGAGAAACGACTCAACCGCGACGTCGTCATCACCGTCGCCAACAACGAAAACCTGAAGACAAACAGACAGGGCGTGGTTCAGTTACAATCAATGGAGACGAATGTCATACTTCAACTCAACAAGGTGCTCATTGTCGACAATCTGGGATACAACCTACTAAGCGTAAGCCAACTAATGGCCAAGGGGATTCACCTGGAGTGCGACTCTTACTCCAACGAGTTCCGGCTTTACCACGGGAAGGGCGGCCTCTTCATCGGTCGTGCCCTCCTGAAGTCCGGTGTCTTCGTGTTGGACTTCGTCCCCGACCGCGGAACTGCCGACAGCGATGGCATCGTATCGTTCGCCGCCTGGACTCACCCGCCGGATCTTGACCCCGACTTCGACAGTGACGGCTTCTGGCACTCCAACACCATACCTGCAGCAGAGAGAACACGAGCATTAGCAGTTATCAGACAAGAAAGACAAGTACCCGCAAGTGTCCCAACAAAACCATCACCTGCAGTATCAGCAGCAGGACCCAGCCGAGTACCACCACCATCAACACGAGGACCGCCAACGGAAGCAGACCAACTTATGCCCGCCACACGAGAAGCTTGTCGAAGTCCCGCCTCAGTCGTCGCGTTCTTCTCCAACGCCGACATCTACCACCGCTCGCCCGGCCACCGCGCTCCCGACGACATCTGGCACCAACGTCTCGGACATCCTGCAAACAGCACGATACTTCAAACAATCCAAGCAGAGGTGTTAGAACGCAACGCCCTTCTGACGACGAACGGCCAGGAACTCCGACGACCACGCGCACGGTGTTTCACATGCCCCGAAGCAGATCTTCCTCATCAACCTTTCCAAGCCCATCACAATCCAAGCGCACCCACTTACGCTCCGATGGAAAAAGTCTACAGCGATATTCTAAACATGCCTCGAGACGACACCGAAGCCGACTTCAACTACGTCATCACGTTCATCGACGCCGCAACCAGATACGTCTGGCACTTCAATCTCAAAACGCGCGATCAAGCCTTCGAGGCCTTCACCACATGGCTTCCAATCGCCGAACGAGAGTCAGGAACCAAACTCAAGAGTTTCCAGTCAGACGGTGCACTGGAATACCAGTCACAATGCTTCAGGACCTATCTCGCGGAAAGGGGAATCCGACGCCTGGTGTCTCTGCCCTATGCTCACCAGCAGCAGGGGGTAGCAGAACGCATGAACCGGACCTTGCAGACGACGATGCGAAAACTGCTTTTGGGGATGAGGCTGCCCAACGCACTGTGGCCAGACGCGATGACACATGCTGTTCACCTGCACAACCTGCTGTCCTCGTCATCACTTCCCAACAACGCATCACCGCACCTGTTGTGGACAAGAAAAAGGGGCAGCACAAAATTACTCCGCGTTTTCGGCTGCATGGTACAGTACAGACCCCACACAGCCCGAGCAGGACGCTTCTCACAAAGAGCTCGATGGGGACTACACCTCGGCATCGCAAAACATTTTCACGCGTGGAAAATTCTCGACATACAAGACAAAAACACGGTGGCATCACGCGATGTTATCTTCTACGAACGACTGACGCTGCAGCATTACCTGGACAACCTTGCCAACACACAAGACCCCACCGACGGCTTCGCGGGCCTTCGCTCCTTCGCTGACCATACTGCCGAGGCTGACGCAGCAGAAGAAGACGTACCTGGAGCCTCGGAAGCTGCCGAACCACTCCCATTCTGTTCCGTACCTGTTCCACTCGATGAAGAAAATCCCCTCGATAGCAACAACCTCGACACCTTTTACCACTTCGCCGACCAAGGTTACGCTACACCTCACCCCGTCGACACGAATATTTCGGAACGCATCGGCCCCAATTTCTTACCTGACCCCGAAGACGGTGACGAAGCAGCTTATTCCGGGAATGAAAATTCCCCTCGACACACGCCCACGGGACTCCAGATTCTAGGCCTCTGGGTCTCCGTCCAGAATCCGCCGCCGCCTTCTCCGCGAGAGCCTTCAACGTTGTCGCAGGCTCTGGGGGGGGAACATAAGGCAAGATGGAAGGAAGCAATGGAAAAGGAGTTAAAAGCTCTGCAAGACCGAGAAACATGGAAACTGGTACCTGCAACGAGCATCAACGGAAAAAACGTTCTCTCGGGGAAATGGGTGTACCGCATCAAGACCAACTCAGACGGTTCCATCGAACGATTCAAAGCTCGATGGGTCGTACGAGGCTTCGACCAACGATACGGAGCCGACTACACAGAAACCTTCGCTCCAGTCTCCCGTCACACCTCATTACGCATCCTACTCGCCGTCGCGGCCACGAAAAAACTGCCACTACGCCAAATCGATGTCGCGAATGCATTCCTATACGCACCTGTGGACGCTGAGATCTTCGTCGAACAACCCCACGGATTCATCAACGATCCCACGAAAATATGCCGACTGACAAAATCCCTATACGGGATCAAGCAAGCCCCGCGGCTCTGGCAGCAGCATCTCCACGGCCGTCTCGCAAAGATCGGCTTCCTACAATTACCGCATGACCAAGGGATGTACCGACTGCAGAAGGGAAGAGATTATGTTCTGCTCATCGTCTACGTCGACGACCTGCTCTACATCGGCTCCACTATCGACATCGCCACCTGGTTCGAAGGGGAGCTGAAAGAAGATTTAACTCTCACGGTGTCCGACGAAGTTACTCAGTACCTAGGACTGAACATCGTCGAAGACGACACGGCGTTCTACCTACACGCTGGAAAGTACTCAAGCACCGTCGCGAAGAAATTCGGTCTAGCACCGACTGCGGTCCCAACTCCCTACCGCTACGGGAACAACAGTAGCGCCTCCACAAAACTCCCCGCGAAACAAATCCAGGAGTATCAACAGAAGCTCGGCTGCCTACTATTCGCAGCAGTAACCTGCCGACCCGACCTATCCTATAGTGCGAGTCAGCTGGCGACACATCTGAAGCAGCCGCAACAGGAAGATCTCGAAGAACTCAATCGAGCGCTACTCTACTTCGTCTCCACGCCGACGATCGGGCTCACCTACAGCAAGACAACAACACCGTCCGTACAACTACTCGGATACGTCGACGCCGACCACGCGGGAGACAGCGAAAATCGACGGTCTAGGACGGGCTACATCTACCGACTAGAACCTATCGGAACTATCTCCTGGCAGTCGAGCAAGCAGGAGTTAATCGCACTATCCTCGGCTGAAGCAGAGTATATCGCCCTTTGTACTGCGACCAAGGAAGGACTCTACCTACGAGAGTTACTCGAAGAAGCGAAGATCGCGACCCTGCCCGCCTTCTCACTCCTCTGCGACAACCAATCTGCGATCAAAATCGCGAACAAGGACGGCTTCGC